GGTTATTTATATCTGTTGATTCTCATTTAGGTATTTAAATTCAAGTTTACGTTCTGAAACCATTTATTCAATGTATGTATCCAGTTTTATCTATTTCTAGCAATCATATTAACCTATTTAAATACATTTTCACAGTGAACGTATATTCCGAGAAGTATGATGAAATTATTAACATCCATGAAGGTTCGCTGTGGAATAATATTGTTGATGTCCTTATGGAAATGTTCATTGACACATTAATTTAATATTATTAAAGAAAAATACTGTCTGTTATTATATCTCACTTATGCCTCATTTGAAACCTTTGGATATAGTTCTTTTACTATTATTTAACTGGGAAAATAACGCAACGCCCTCTTAAAGTAGCCGTTTTTAAATAGAGAGTTGTAAATTCAAGAGTTTCATTATCTATGTCCAAGAATTCTTAATTTAAATTTCAAGCTAACATGCTTGATGCTTCTTTTTAAATATTCCAAACACCTTCCGAGTGGAATTGTCATTTTTCATATATAAGATATGGTGGTAAAATAAATTATCTAATCTTTAAAATTTTGTTAAGAAATGGTATGTATATATCAAACAATTTGAGAGTGTAAATAATGTTTTTTTTTCGTTTATTGCAATACACTGAGGAATATTGCAGCCATAAAGATGAATGTAATATTTTTTTTAAATTAAATTGAACCCATTTATAGTCTGCCTCATAAAGGTAAAGCCTGATCTCCGTTAGTTAAGAATATAGCTTAGAAAAAATCGTTATTCTAACATTATACTGGCTAGAGTTTGGGAGGATGCATCGAAGTACATATATATATATATGTATTAATATTTTTTCCTGTTTTACACAAAAACTACTCACTAGATTTTTATGAAACTTCTAGATAATGTAGCTTAGACATCATAATAAGATATGGGCTATAGTTTTTATTAAAAACAAATCTTTTTATAATAAAAGTATGAACTTTTACTATGATTTTTATAAATAACCAAAAAGTTTTTAATCACTCGTAAAACATATTTGTTCGATCAAATCCGAATCATAAAGTCACGGCTGTATGAGCCCCTGGCGGTGTGTTTTTCTTTATCCAACCATAACTCCTTGGCCCCATAACACATATCAAAGTGTTTTATACGCTTGTATAGTTTTCGTTACTACCATTCATATATTGTTAAATGTATAATGTTTTTCTTACGAGCTACCAGAATACTAAGTTCACAAATAATAATTGGTAAAATCCCCATGGCTTAAAATACTATTAACATTCTTGTATATGTATTACAAATTTCATATAGTTACAAAATAATAAAATTATAACTTTAAATGCATAATAATATGATAAAAAATAGTAATTTTACATATACATAATTATACCTAGTTCAAACATATCTTTAGAAGAAGGTGATGGAATTGCACTTTGACTATACAAAATTAGAAGAAACTTATGTTTTCAAATTAACACCAATAAAATGAATTTTTTTTATACTAACTAATATTAAAAATATTACCAGTGCTTATTATACAAAATCAAATTGTTATTTTTAATCAGCTAATACAATAGTTGGATTAAAGAGATTCCTAATTCAGAAAAACATTATTACATTCCGTACATACTTTTCGTGGAACACTATAATCAATACATTCTTTTCAAAAGATTAATTTACTATATATATTTAATAACTTTATATTTAAGATAAATGTTTTTTTTATTGGTCATTGATATGGTCATACAGAACTCATTCCATACGTAAAACTTAACAATCCTCCTTAAAATATTTGTCGTAGGCAATTTTTTAAGAGGCAGGATAATTTAACAACATTGATTGCAAATATTATTTTATTCATTCCTATTACAAAAAATTGCTATATATATGTATGTTGCTTCATCCAATTTAATAAATAAAAAAAAGGTCACCATAACTTAAGCAAGGATTGTTGTAAAAATGTAATATTGTAACAAGAACTACAGACGACGTCGATATAAAAGAATAAAATTGAATAAAAAAACGTACTCGTGTAGGAATATAAAGTTAAATCATAAAGGCAAAATAAGTAGCAGTTTATGTAACGGAACACATATAAAAACATTGTATGTGTCTTGGGCCGTTCGTCAGGAAACTTTTAGCTGGCCCTGGATCACTGCCAAACATTCGACGGCTATTTTCGCGTCATATACACGAATACCGTAACAGAACATAATATATAGAATATATTAGTTTGATGCGACTTATCCCTACTAATATTATATGCGAAAGTAACTCTGTCTGTCTATCTGTTTGTTACGCTTTCACGCCTAAATCAATGAACTGAATTTAATGAAATTTGGTACAGAGATAGAGTTGATCTTGAAGAACATAGGATAGTTTTTATGCCAGACTTTTGAAATGTTCTCTTGGAAGCGCGATATAACCGAACTCGACGCGGGAGAAGCCGCGAGCGGAAAGCGAGTTATGTTATAAAACTAAATCTACTCTTCTTACAGACGTTGGGAATTATAATAATGAATAATAATTAAAACTATAAATATCATATTACAGATAGTCCAGGTATGAGCTTCGGTAGTGTTATTGTAATATAGTACTTATTTAACCCTTAAATTCACAATAAGTAACCATCGGCCCGTACTCCGTAGGATTGTATCGCTAGTGTCAAAGCGTACAGCGTGTAAGTGACTCTATTAAAACGGCTGACTAGCATTCATTACCCCCCTGTCTAGTTTTATATTCTTTTGTCAGCGACATTCGTTGCACGGATGCATGAATAAATTGTTTTTAACGCGATTTTTTGAACGTGCACTATGAAATAACTGGTAGGTCAAGATCCCTTTCTCATAGAAAACTCCTTTGTGCGATAGTAAAAGGCGTGCACTATTAAAGGGTAGATCGGGTCCGTTGTGAGCTTACAGTGCATTCTGCTCTATTCATTGGATAGGTAAACGCTCCGGCTACGAAATAAACACGAATATATACATTAAATACACTTATTGTTTAACTATATGTGGTCTAGTTTAACAACATTTAATGATGCTAATTTTACCATATACATAATTTACATTTAAACAAATATCTGTAAAATATTAATATCATCATCAAAATTAGTAGTATTAAGTATATACATATAAATATTTCTTAAATTTATAGTTATACTCATAACTCATATAGCCATAATTACATAAAGTCCATGTCATTCAATAAGTCCACGTAAGAGTAATATCTTTTTTTCTGTTTCTTTGTATAAATCATATTATTATACTGTCATTTCGCATCTTCATTCTTATTCTAAAACAGTGTTCCGAACCTGACCCAATGTTTCCATCCTCACAATGTAACGATCCCTTCAAACTTGTGTTTTTTATAGTGATTTTCTTCGTAGATGTTCCTCGATATTTTTTGTGGTATCTTTCGCTAATGTATCATGTACAGCCACAGTGATTAGCCTACACTCTGATTCACACTGTAATATATTGTTTCTTATATAAAAATAGTATAAAAATATCTTTTATATAAGAAATATGTAGCAATCCTTACATGTTAAATATAGCCATATAGAATTCTTATTAAAATAATTTTCGATGATTGTGTTCACAATATTAATTTCATATCCTTAATAAATTAACATGCATGTGTTCCTAACTTATTTTTATACAACCATTGATCAAAGATACTATAACATAGAATAGAAATACTAACGATAGAAGTGAACCAATATTTTGTCATACCCTTAATACAATGTTAGATATATATATTAACAACAATATAATTGGTAATAATAAAGAACATTAAGATATAATTACACCAAATACACAAATGGAGCGTAATGACAAAAGCTTTAAGATAATTTATGAAGAAACAATAGTGAGTATAAGGCGCGGATGTCCGTAATGTATTGTGCAAGATGGCGTCCGGGCAGGGTCGAGGCACGGACCGACGGCATTCAGCCGCGACCGCTCCGCATAATGAGATGCAGTGTTCCAGATGTGGCGCAGGCGCGGCCCTAACACTTTTTGTGATCCCCTTTTTTTTTAATACGACTTTTACCAACATTGACAATGTCACGAACCGATCTTACTTGCATCTCGATGTAAAATTTGTTTTTATTCTAAGTATACAAAATCCTGAAATGTTAGAAATTTTTGATCGTTTACACATAACGAGAATTGGTTAGTAAATTAAGTTTAATTTTTGTATATGTATAATGAACATTAGTCATAGCTAAAAGGAAGTTTTTTTATACAAATAGCAATCATGGTGCAAGTGGTCTTTTATCACGTTTAAATATTATTTCTTAAACAATTCTATTATTATAATTCGTTTGAATATCGTTCACCCCATGTAAGTTTTTCCAAAGCCAAATGCGGCCTGTAATTTAACACTACCATGAAAGATAAAAATAAATATTTCTCGGTGGTTCCTGGCCATATCTAAATTTAAATTAGTATGTAGGTATAGTGAGACGTCGTCCGTCCAGCGTCTGCCTCACGTTTATTTGTGTTGCCTTAGTCAGAACTGTTACCTAAACCGCACCAGATGCTATTTTACGACGACTTGCCACACAATAAAACAAATAAAGCTTTTACTAGAACAGTTAAAAAGTTATTGCTTCTATATTTGTTCTCTTTGAATGCACAAACAAGAATTTCTCCTTATAAACTAACCCGAGGCGAAATTTAAAGAATAAATCCTTTAATGAAATTAATAAATATCAAACTATGCACATGTCATTAAAGGTTAAAATCATCAAATAGTTATACGAAATAAAAAAAAATCGTCTTACGGATAGATGGGCCATTTTGTGGATGAATAGAAATGTTTCCCGCACATTATTAAATGACACACTTTGAGAACAATAAAAATGTACATAACACAAGTACGAGTATATCCTTGAAGTGACACATGATACATCGATGGTGATGATCCCATCTCGCAGGCACACCCGCGCAGCTCCATACTTCTTTACATTCCATACGATATCTAAGTACTATGGGAAGTAAGGAAGCACGGAACTAACGCAAGGCTATAGGGCTGGCTTCGTTCTTCAATTGTTTCTTAAGGCCGGTCACATTAAGTCGATCCCCGGCAGGACGTGCAGGATCACGCCCGGCCGGCAGCAGGCCCGGGCAGCGAGCGACACGGCCTGGTGGCAGCTCGTCAAACACTGGCGACGCTCTCCCTGCGCACGCGCAGTCCAGCTCTAAAAATGGACTCGACCGGCGGAGTTCGCTTTCGAGTCGCGAGTACCATCCATTCCAAATTTGTATTTTCCCGAAATAGATCCGGTGGCGTCCGTCGGATCGGTTACTCAAACGTGCACCGACCTGCAGCTCGGAGTGCAAGACTCGCGCTGGAGCCCCTGAAGGCTCTTATGTAAGGAGCGCTGTAAACCGCGCCGCGTGACGGTCGTATCCAAAATAAACGTACACGCAGAACAGACGGTCGCCGGGCGCCACATGTGCGCGCTCCCGAGTCCCGATGCCGCTGGAGGGGAGACTATTATTAGTAGAGCAGCATCCACCACTGTCACCTCCCGCGGGGTAGTCGCTCTATACATAGTTTCCATCGCGAGATCTGGCGATCCTTAGCGTTCACTGACCTCCCCTCAAACGATCTTACACCATTTCTCAAATATATATTTAAAGCTGGCGCTATGTGCGTAAAGGAAAAGTTCTATTGAAACATAATAGCGTAGTCATGGGTACACTGTTTGTATATTTGAACTATCGAACTACGTTAGTGTATTGTGGTCGAGAATTTCCGTTGTTGGCTGTAAAGCTTGCCTCTCCGTTCACTCAGTCAATAAAAGAATTTTGGCAAACTTTCATAGACAAACAAGTGGGAAGACAGCCAACTCATCTTTTGTGTTGAGAAGCAACATAGTTTTGTAAGCATTTTTAATATCGCGATGTTTCGCTGAATTAAACATTAAATATTTACCTTTTGTTGTATACGGTTATGAGCAGAAGTAAATAAATAAAATTTCATTTTATATAATAATATTATATAGTATTAATTATAATAATTAAATTTATACACGAGAGATGTGTTTGCTGGAAAGTAATATTGATGCTGGGCGAAGAATGGCTGTGGAACGGCCGTCTATTGAATATCAATGTGACATTGTTATTGGTCACTGTTGCCCCAATCGCATATTAACATAACTTACTATTCTGAATCCGCGGGGAATCAGCTCAATGTTATAGAATATGATCACTCAGGTCACCTACTTGTGTTAAAACCTATTAAAATTACCACAAATTCACGTAATTGTACCTTAACTCAAATATGGTTTTGATAGCCTGGATTAAGTTAAAACTATCAGACATATTTCATTCTAAGTATAAAACTATATAGTTATGAAAAAAACTCCTAAAATTCAAAACCGAGTTTATAATATTTATTCCTGAGAGTACAAAACTGTCAATATTATATATAAATAAATAAATAGCCTATCGATATATGTATGTAAAATTATTCCGCAATAATGAATTTTGTATATAAATAAAAAAGTATTGAAAATATTACTCGAAATACATAAAATAAATACTCTCTTATGTACATAAAACTTGTTATATACTTGTAACTGAAACAAAACACACACTTTCTAAGAATTATCCCAGCAACTAAAGCAGTGAAACAAAGAGCAACTTCTTTCACCACAGGGTTGTAACAATTTAATTGTTGTATTATAAAATTGAAAAAACAAATCTAATTCTATTAACATTCCGTAGATATATTATTATCGTATCGAATTCCTGTAATATTTTCTTTTTTATATTTTATTTGCGAAAATTAATATCATTTTGGACAGCCCTGTATATGTTTCAGTCAATGTTCGGTAAGTTTTATCAGAACTTGAGATTTTACAGAGCCAGTAATTCAGAACTTCTGGCACTACTTATATTCTATAGTCTGCGATTTAATATTATTGAATTTGTGGACCAGTTTGTAAGTCATTAATTATATAACTTAATACAATCAGTTTAAAAGCAAATAGTCTTATATTTTGTAATGCTTTACAATTAATAATTGTGAAAAAATGCTTCAATGATTCGCCTCTATAGTCGGTCTTTATATGAGAAATATAGACTGAGGTATAATTTTAATTTTGCTACACGTGTTAAATTAAATTGTATAAAACATCCGAATTAAAGGAGCTATCTTCACTTTTTATTTATATTAAATAACATACATGTTATTAAGGAAACTTATACTTATTTTCTAGCAAACATATATATGTTTTTTTCTAAGAATTGGTTCAGAAAAAATATACGATTCCACCCTGAATCTTATCCCCAACTCCTCCCCTACCTGCGATCCTGAAAAAGCCATTAGAGTAAACAGCAAGGACATTTCTAGGGAACGGAACGATAAAAACAATTCCCAGTCACAATAGATACGATTGTATTAGATGTAATCGTATGTGTATACTTATAAAGAATTCTAAATGAAAAAATTAAAAGAACGTTTCATTCCAATACAAAAGTATTTTGTGTCATTTTATATTATACACAATACACATTCACTTACTTGAAATAGTCGAACTGAAAATAGTCTTTATCTGATTTTAAGTAGCAGGAAAAATACTCTGTGATATTCATAGAAACTCGTTAAATTAAATAGCAGTCTCTTTTATTTTATTCTCTATATTCTAATAGTTTCTTTATCAATTTCGACATGTTATTCTCTTTAAATATGTCGAATTTTGCTCCTAATGACAATAAATAAATTGATTATAAACTGTAATCACCAATCAATATCGAATCGATATCAATATCGATTAAATACCTAAAGTACAATTCAACACTCGCTAGAAAATAAATCGATTTGTAAACACTTTATGACATTCGTATCACTTATGAGAACGGTTAAAAAGTGATAATGTTTCAGTAGCGCGTGGGGTTACCAGTTAATATATAATACGAAACTGGATCTAAATCTCTATATTGCTCGTCGACCATGTGTATGGAGTTGTTGATTAAAAAGAAATGTACTTATTATTGCAGTGGCGTCACTCCGTGGAGACAAACGCTCAACTAGGTTGACATCATACATTATAATATTGAACAACTCCAATACATATGACTTTAGTAAAATAAATAACTAGAATTCACTCAAAGAACCTATGAGATGTAAAGATTTAAATGTATTATTATATTGACTCTTAACCTCCATTCCTTGTACAGCCGAACTGTAATGTTGGTTATTTTGAATTTCAAATATCTAATTTAAATATCTGTAGATTTCATTGTTCGGATTTTGTAATATGTGACTGTAAAAATTAATAACAGTTTCCATATAAAAGATATAGATGGATATATTAGTAGTGCCATACCGGCTTGCTCGATTGCTTGCGACCATACAATATTTAACACATACTGTAATTAACGTCAATTCTTAGAAATATCTCACGATTGTTTCATTTGAGGCCGGTTAAAAAAATATTTAACTCACCCTTCACATTTTGATGGTTGATTAATTATTATTAATTTAGGTAAAATATGTATCACTTTGTATTCTTCTAGTATATAATTCTCTTGTATATATAAGTCGCACTTAGCAAGGATCGTGTAAGCGCCTGCGTCTCAAGATACGCTCGCAACGACCAAATTCCAACTGTTGCCGTACGTAGGACGAGCGTCGCCCGACCGCGACGCTTGACCTTATTTAATTAGTTCGTTCGTTTTTACTCTTTGAACGTAACGCACTATATTAAAATGTTTAGTGCCTAATTTATTGTTACCATCAACATCATTATGCTCCATTACAACGAGAGGCAAGAATGCTCCTCGATCGTATCACAGTTTACATTTCCCTGCTTATGGTTTTATTTGTTCTATTCGAGATTGACTCGGATGATCAATTCAGAAATAAAATCTCGCCAGAGTTATTAATAGTTGACAGTTCAACAAACTCTGACTTAGTAACTTTTGCATCCTATATCATATATAATGAATTGTACGAAATACTATGTAGTTATATCGTGCCAAATTTTATATATTTTTTTTATAACGAGAGACACATCGAAATTAAGTCATTATGGTTTTGTGTAATGTAAAAAATATAAGATATTAATAAATCTCAGCAGGAGGTCCAAGTGAACCCTGCGCGGGGGTGTTACAGACTTCTTTTCATTAGTTTAACAAAACCGACCCCTGGCCCTTTTATTAAACTTTTGTAGCTATAATGAACTCGAAGAATGTAACAAGTGAAAACAAATAATTTCTAATTTAAAACCCTCTCGATTTATAATCCGACTAAAGATTAAACTGTATTGTTAATAATTAACACTAAGTTTTCAGTTTTTTCCTTTTCCTTTTTACTTATATTTAATTTTTATGACTTCGTAACTTATCTTTTGAATCTTTTATCTTTCAAATAACTAATTTTATTCAAGGCATGTTACTTACCGTAAAAATTTTAATGTCATTTTGATGTCTCAATGTGTTTAAAAATGTTGTAACCGTATACCATCGTTGTTGAATCAGATGGTACATTGTATTTTTTTTGTAGAAATTCACAAAACAAAGTCAAGCAGACTTAACTAATATGACAGATTACCAGTAAAATGCAATAATTCCAAAATAGGTAGATGTTAAAATCATTATCTTCTTATTTCCTTTTTCCTTATAATATGTAACACTATCATCCTAACTTTCTTATTATACATAATATACACACATATGTATGTAGACAATTTTCCCAATTTTGAGAAGAACTCGCATAATAACGCCTCGTACTTATCAAACTAGGAAAGAGTGTATGAGTCTTTGTTGTCATAAAATCAATAAATAATACATGTGAAACTCAAATCTCTACGTTAATTTTTTATTTTCATTTAGATCTCACGTCGTTGTGAATTTTGATGCTAGATAATTTCTATATTACAAAATCCTGAATCACCACATAATTCTTTTAATAAATCTAATATTTTCAGAATCGACGAATATAAAGTATATAAGAAAAATATAGAAATCTAAAAATCTGTAAACTTTTTTTAACATTTAAGATTTTATACGTTACTAATTATGTACATGCATACAAAATTATAAACTTATATATTTTATTGTGTATCATTATATAAGTTGAATACATTGTACTTATACAAAACAAAATGCGACTATAGAACGTATCCTGTTATTGCAATTATGCTAAAGTTATAGAAAATGAATATTATTAAGATTTATTATGATTGACAATGCGAATATTTCCAGTGCCATGAAGATCATGCTGTCCAAGTTGCCTCGTCCGTGGATAGTTGACGATGCTAAAGATGACGGTTATACTGCCCTACATCTAGCAGCATTTAACAACCACGCTGAAGCCGCTGAACTCCTGGTACGAGCTGGAGCACGCCTGGACCTTCAGAATGCTAATCTACAAACAGCTCTGTACCTCGCTGTTGAGAGACAACACACACAAATAGTCCGCCTACTGATAACTCATGGCGCTAATCCTAATATTTGTGATAAGGTAGGGTTTTATTTATTTTTGATTTTTACCTTCCTACAAATCCTGCCGATATTCATATATTTGGAGTTAGGTGATAATTTAAATTTGTAGATATATACTGTTAGGTGATTCATAGCAGTTAATAATTAAATGTTTCTTCTATTTTATCTTCTCTAAGTACATTAAAAATTTGAAAATATTGATCTTTTAAAATTGGTTTAAAATATTGCTAATTCTAATCTATCTTTCTTAAACTTTTATTTAAAAAAATCTCTAAAGTTGTGTCTTCAACTGTTCAAATTAACTTGAGTTTTCGTCAATAAATAACCTTAATATTAATTCACCCTAGGATGGTGACACTCCTCTTCATGAGGCGCTACGTCACCACACTCTACAGCAGTTACGCAGGCTACAGGACACTCGTGATACATCCTTATTAGGAGGCATCGCTCACTCCTACGATAAGAAGTCCTCCGCTTCTATCGCATGCTTTCTTGCAGCTAATGGTGCTGACCTGACCATCAAAAATAAGAAAGGTAGGCATTAGATTCAATCAAACCAACCAGGTTATCATATTTATCTAATCACCAATTACATCAAATTACAGGACAGACTCCGTTGAATCTGTGTCCCGATCCGAATCTCCGCAAAACACTAACAACATGCCGCAAAGAGAGCACCGGCGCGCCAAGTGAAAGTACGCCAGAAAGCGAGGATTCTGCCACAACTGCGACATTTACTCCACAACCAGGACCTAGTACGGCTCCAACCACGGAAACTCCCGCAGAAAATCCTCCAACAGACCCCAGAACAGATGAATGTCTCGTCTGCTCGGACGCTAAACCCGATACGCTGTTCCGCCCGTGCGGGCACATTTGTTGCTGCAACGTCTGTGCAGCTAGAGTGAGTCTAGATTGATAATATATTAATATCAAGAAAATGGCATTAGTGATTACATTTTATTGTTAAAATGTCTTAGAAATTATATACGTAACTTGTAGTACTCCCCCACCAGTATCTTAAGTTTATAGGAGCATACACCTTTGACCTTAACAACGGGCATTCCATAATATTTTATCCTTTAATATGATTGTTCTTTTACCAGGTGAAGAAGTGTTTAGTGTGTCGTGCATGCGTGTCATCGAGACAGCGTATCGGTGAATGCGTGGTTTGTTCGGAGGCTCCTGCCACTGTGATGTTCCGTCCGTGCGGCGATGTATGCGCATGCGCACAGTGCGCTCCACTTATGCGGAAGTGCGTTGAATGCCGCACGCCGCTGCAGCCTCCCGCCGCAGCCTCCACATCCGCCGCCCCGGTAGCACCTCTCCCTCCCTCCCTCCCCGTAGTTCCACCCCCCGCGCCCCTACCCTCCCCCTCTGCTACAGCCATCGCAACCACAGATGCCCAGCAAAATGAAGGTTGGTACTTTGGTCACTACAAGTCTTTGTGGTTCTAGAATGTCTTTTGTTTACAATCATCTTTAACACTACTAGTAGGTAGACGTTGAGACTTGTTAAAAAAAGTTTCTCATAATGTATCAGTCATTTTATATTTAAAAAAATATCAAAATGAGATCAAGAAACATCTCTCATTCTTTATTTATTATTCATCCAAAAAGTAGCAAATTCTGTACAAATACTGATGAAAATGTATCAAATAATAATTACAGGTGGGGAAAGCAGCAATCTGGCTCAATTGCAGGTCAACAAAGGTCAGCCGGCCCCAACGCCCGCCGCGCCGCATCACCTCAACAACGGCAGCCGCTCACAACACGCACCCGCTGACGTACAGAAATTACAACAACAACTCCAGGATATTAAAGAACAGGTCTGCAAATATATGACAATATATGTACAAACCTTAGAACGGATAATTAATATGTTTCTAGGAAACTATACATGATTGTACCCATATAGAACACCTATATGATAACAGCATAGAATTATGGTATAGAATTAGGTATTGATTTGAATAATATTCATATAAAACTAGTCAGTGGTGGCTTAGTGGTTAAAAGGCCCGCCTCCTGTGCACGAGGGCGCGGGTTCGATCCTGGCAAGTACCAATGTGATTTTTCCGAGTCATATGTACTTTCTAAGAATATTTAGACATTACTGATTAATGCATATCCAAAGAGGGTTGATGTCAGGCTCGTAAAAACAATTAACCAAAACTATTCACAACATGTGACCCAAACCCTGGCTGAAGCTGGGAAATAGCCAGGTAGAAGAAGAATATTCATATAAAACTATCTTGTTAAAGTACTCGACGTTTTTAAGCACTACTATTTAATAATATTTTTTTTTCATATAATTTCAGACAATGTGCCCAATATGCTTGGATCGTCTCAAGAACATGATCTTCCTTTGCGGGCATGGGATGTGCCAGATGTGTGGAGACCGCATCACTGTATGCCCCATATGTAGAAAACAAGTCGAGAAAAGAATTCTGTTATATTAAAAAAAAAAAACATACAAAAAAATGTTTTAATCTATGTTACATTATCTGTGGACTACCAAACTCAGTGTTGACAATAATGTATTAATTATCTGTTAACTGCCAAATTCAGTATCGACAATAATGTATTCAGTCTATGGTTTCCAGAAATGTACAACGTCTTTTCCAGTTTTTTACGATCGTAATAACATCTGTTTCATTTTAATAATTAGATGCATTTAATATACAAGTAGATTTAAATTAATGCTTAAGTTATTTTACATACTTCAACTTTATTATTGTAAGTCTATCGTAAACTTACTTTAGAGTTTAGTCTTGTTACTGTTTACTTTTATTATTAAGATAAAATGAAGTTTGAAATATTGACTTTTTGATTAATATCTAGTGGATTTAAATCCATGAATCTTAATAGCTATTACAATTATAGTGGTTTTATATTATTACATGTTAAATTATTACTCCTCTGTTTTTTAACTCAAGTGATTAGAATAAGTGGCTTTCGCTTTATAAGAATGATGAAATTATTATTACTAAAGTCTTTATTTAATTAAATATATATAATTATTACTATTACATAAAATTGTATTGCAGGTAAAAATCTCAATTTCAGTATCTTTATTATTGCAAAATGCATTTCAGATCAGATGTTAAGCGTATTATTGATATGTTATGCTTTTATTACGAATAAAACTTCCTTTAATCATTTACTTTTTTTTATTAAACACAACGCCTTGCCATAAGTGCTTTTTAAATTTATCTTTTATCCGACGGCAATTTATTAATAGCCCCATTATCTTATTGTTTTATAAATCACTTCATTTCATATACATAATTTCTTGAAATACGATAAACGAGTATATAGTATATACCTTAGCGTAGTCATAAATACTGTCGCCATAAAAAAAGTTATTTTTGAATTTGGAATCATTAACTTTCATACGATTGTTCAATGTATTTTCATGTTTTCTCACCAATATATTGCACAATTGGCTGATAAAAAGAACCCAATTGATGCCATTGTATGTATAAGATAAAGTTGTATGAAGCCAAATACAATTATAGTTTTAATCGAATATATGAGTAACGACCTGTTGATAAATAAAATTAAAGCTATTTTGTTGGTGACAGAAAAAGATCGATAGCCATCAAAATAGGAACTCGGCCATCAGTATAGCGTGGTAGAATTCCAAGAAATTCGTTCCAAAATAAAATTATTTCACGTGGGAAGAAGATGGTAGTACATACTACATAGAATTATGTCGACTATCTGAAAAGATGTCTAAGGAATGGATTCTATACTAGTAATTTCTTAATATATATTAACTAATTAACTTAAGCAGTTGTTTTGATTATATATTATATAATATATAATCAAAACAACTGCTTAAGTTGTACGTAAAAGTCGCAAAACATCTTTTTTATGAATAATATTTTCTTTACTTTTACTAAGAAAAACTGAAAACGAAAGAACTTTCCAAATAGTTAACAGAGTACAACGTGGGCATTATTCGACTTCAGTAAAAGTTTTATGTGGTAATAGCTACGGAGTTCTTTAGTCATATCTATACTAATATTATAAAGCTGAAGAGTTTGTTTGTTTGTTTGTTTGTTTGAAAGCGCTAATCTCCGAAACTACTGGTTCGAATTGAATAATTCTTTTTGTGTTGGATAGTCCAGTTATAAAGGAAGGCTGTAGGCTATATAACATCACGCTACGACCAATAGGAGCAAAGATATAGTGGTAAATGTGTAAAAAACGGGAGAAATTATTTCATCTTTGAAGCCTTCCGTTGCGTGCGCCGTGAAAACGGTTCAAGATACACAAAAAATATGTATTAAGGAATAATAGCTCTTTTAATGATCTAAAAAACAGTCCACGACAGTATATGTCTATCTTTTAAGATTAACTCACAAAAACCGTTTTTATGGTAATTAATTTGGTCGAAATAATTTGTTTAAGTTGTATCAACATAATAATATTAATCTTTATTCAAATAAACAAATAAATATGTTGTTGGTTAAGAGTTCATTGTGAATAAAAAAAACATAGGTTTTATCCTGAAAATTCTACGGGAACTTGACCATTCCGAAAACCACGCAAGAACGGGAACTATGTGGGAAGAACCAAAAATCTGCCGGAAGTCACTATTCCACGCGGACGCAGTCGCGGCAAAAGCTAGTTTTACTATAAAACACAACGTCATCAAGATACTCATGAGAAAAGTATTAGAAAATACTTGGTTTAATAAGCAAGAATGTTAATTCCAGCATAACTCGGTGAAAAATCATATAGATCCATTAACCCTATTTTATTCGGAACTTTATCAGTAAAGAATTTTCCAGTTGAAAGAGTGCGTGCAGCGTGGATTTATAACTGGCCTCGACTTGTAAAAGACTGCATTACAGCCCGTGAATATTCATCAGTGGAAGATCGGAGGAAAGTTTTCTATATCGGAACAAGATCTGTAAATTATCAATTTCGCTAAGAACATTTAACACAATGTTAGTGTACCGCTAACTATATTCGCAAACTATTTGCGTAAATTTCTAAACTAAATTTTCTTTTTTGCAAGAATTATCTTTAACTGTCGTGATATATTTCCTATACCACTAAATTAAGTAAAATGCGACAAAGATTCAATGAATTAGATGAAATATAAGCAATAAAAGGAGGAATGAGGAATAAAGTGGAAAGTAGAAATACTGAATGGTGATCGATGAGTAAAATGATTAAAAATGATGTGAACACGGAACAAAAAATTATATTTTCTTTTAACCAAGGTAGAAAGATAACAATATTATTATATATTTTTTATGATTAAGTTTTTAGTGATGGTCTGCTTGTATCGTAACTATAATGAACTTTAACTTTATGGTATCAATTTGACAATGTCAAACATACATTGTGAAGTTGACAGTTTTGGCAGCCTCAATCGTGTATAAATAAAACAAAAATAATATATAATGAAACTTTGTTTTCAACTACTATTTAAATAAGTTTTGTTTGATTTATTAAACGAAATAACTTTATTTATCGCAAATAATCTACTCGCATATTTCGATAAAGTCCAAGTTCAATAACCAAACATTTATTTTATTACTTACAAGTTTAAAATTCTTTAGTCTACTAGATTCAATTGCTTTGGACACTTTTTATATTAAATGGACTAGCAAAAAAAGCCTAAAAGAAATAAGCATGGAAAAACGTAGTAAGCGACATCACACTCCCTCGCCATCGGATTCGGACAGTGCTGAGGAAACCCGGGCTAAGGATATAAAAGAGCGAGATGAGTTCGCCAAGAGGTTACGGAAAAGAGATGAAGAAAAAGTTAAGAAAGTTTCTGAAAGTTCCAGTAAACGGTCTTATGAAGAAGCAGCAAAGAGGTTAAAATTAGAGGCGGAAGACAGAGACAAAATATTACCAAAACTTCGTATACAATCCAGAAGAAAATACTTACAGAAAAGAAAAGATGATAAAGTTATTGAACTAGAAGATGATATTGCCGATGATGAATATCTTTTTGACGAGAGCATGTAAGTTATTTTCATTCAATAACTGTGTCTCTGACCATTTAAATAAATTTGTTGCATTCTAATAATAATATTGTCTTTTGTTTCAATTTTAGATTAACAGAGAGAGAAAAAAGAGAAAGAGAACATAAGAAAACACTATTACAGTTAGCTAAGGAACATGAAAAAGCTCGGGAACTTGAAAATGTTCAAAGATATCACATGCCTCAAGATCTGGGGAAAGGGGAAAAAGGTAAAAAAAGACCATAACATATTAGGCCTTATACATATATCTTTTAGAAATTCCTCCAGATTAAATGGTATTGTATATACTATTTATATTAACATGTAGGTCTAACAGAATTAAAATTCAAAATAAATTTTAACAAATTTTGTTAGTGGCTTTTCCGCCTCACTTTATTCATGCGAACTTTGGTAGTGGTATCTTTGTTACTCATTACACAACAATTGTTATGCTATGATCCTATGGAAATGACATAGAATTTGAGGCTGATATCTAAACTACATTACTACAAAGTTTCATAAAAATCTGTTTAGTACTTTTTGTGTGATAGAACAACATACATACCTACATCCATCTATATATTTGCATTTAAAATATTATTTGGGTATATTAAAAAAATTAAACATGTTATCTCAGGCAGGGGTCTGTATATGTTAGTAAATTTTTAAAGAATGCTAAATTGTTATTAGCATTTTTTTTATTCTAGTTAAGTAAGAACTCAACAATTATAAAGTGCTTGGATGTGACAATTATTTTTACTGCTAAGTAAAACATAACATAACATATGTATGGACACTACTTTATTTTTGTTACAGGAGAATATATTGAAGTTGATGAAAATGAAAAATTGCCAAACTCAGAACAAAGAAAATGGGAACAGGAACAAATCAAATCTGCCTTTTTTAAATTTGGTGCAAAGGATGCAAAGGCACAAGATGAATATGAATTGCTCTTAGATGAACAAATAGATTTCATTCAAGCTCTACAATTGGAAGGCAACCAAGAAAAAAAAGATGAGGAAAAGATATCGGAATATCAAAAGGCAAGGTTAACCATTGAAGAGACAAAGAAATCACTACCAGTCTTTCCATTTAGGGATGCTTTGATAGAGGCTATAAGAAACTATCAAATATTAATTGTTGAAGGTGAAACAGGTTCTGGTAAAACCACACAAATCCCTCAATATTTGCATGAGGCTGGATTCACTGATGATGGCAAGAAGATTGGTTGCACTCAGCCCCGAAGAGTGGCAGCAATGTCTGTAGCGGCCAGGGTTGCACAAGAAATGAATGTTAAACTAGGCAATGAAGTTGGTTATAGCATTAGATTTGAAGACTGTACCTCAGACAGAACTGTGATTAAATATATGACTGATGGTACCTTGCACAGAGAATTTTTATCAGAACCAGACTTGGCATCCTATAGTGTAATGATTATAGATGAAGCTCATGAAAGAACGTTACATACTGATATTCTTTTCGGTCTCGTAAAAGATATTACTAGATTTCGACCGGATCTTAAGTTATTAATATCTAGCGCTACGTTAGATGCTGAAAAGTTTTCTACGTTTTTCGATGATGCACCAATATTTAGAATACCTGGTCGAAGGTTCCCAGTGAATATATATTACACAAAAGCCCCAGAAGCCGATTATATTGATGCGTGTGTTGTTACAGTTTTACAGATACATGCCACCCAACCACTTGGCGATATATTAGTTTTTCTCACTGGACAAGAAGAAATTGAAACTTGCGTCGAAATGTTGCAAGAGAGAACTAAGAGAATAGGAAAGAAATTAAAAGAGCTCATAATTTTACCCGTATATGCAAACCTACCCACTGACATGCAAGCCAAAATATTTGAACCAACTCCCGAAGGAGCTAGAAAAGTTGTATTAGCCACTAATATCGCGGAGACATCTCTTACGATTGATAACATTATATATGTAATTGATCCAGGATTTGCTAAACAAAATAATTTTAATTCTAAAACTGGCATGGAAAGCTTGATGGTGGTACCAATATCTAAAGCATCAGCCAATCAAAGGGCTGGCAGGGCTGGGAGAGTAGCTGCTGGTAAATGCTTCAGACTATACACAGCTTGGGCATACAAACATGAACTGGAAGATAATACTGTACCAGAAATTCAAAGGATAAACTTAGGGAATGCTGTGTTAACATTGAAAGCTTTGGGCATTAATGATCTGATTCATTTCGATTTTCTAGATCCACCGCCACATGAGACTTTAGTTTTAGCTCTAGAACAGTTATATGCTTTAGGAGCCCTAAATCATCATGGCGAATTGACAAAGGCTGGACGGAGAATGGCAGAATTTCCAACTGATCCAATGTTAGCGAAAATGTTACTTGCTAGTGAAAAGTAAGTAAAACAATCCACATAAACGACATTTAATATTGTTTGTTGTCCTGCCATTATTGCTCATTATAATGTGTTAAACATAAACTATGTTTGCAGGTACAAATGTTCTGAAGAAATCGTATCAATTGCGGCTATGTTGTCGGTAAATAGTTCTGTATTTTATAGACCAAAGGATAAGATAATACATGCAGACACAGCCAGGAAGAACTTTTTCCACCGTCATGGAGATCACTTAACCATAATGAATGTTTACAATCAGTGGGCTGACTCCGACTACTCTGTCCAATGGTGTTATGAGAATTTCATACAGTATAGGTCTATGAAACGTGCACGCGACGTACGCGAACAACTGGTTGGTTTGATGGAAAGGGTTGAAATAGATATGGTATCAAGTATATCTGATGACACCAACATCCGAAAAGCCATCACCGCTGGATATTTCTATCATATTGCAAAATTCTCCAAAGGTGGACATTATAAAACAGTAAAACATAATCAAGTAAGAATAAATATTATATTTAAACATACTATAAGCTTAAATATAGCAATATTTTTTCTATGAATAATTTTTCTTTTATTTTTCAGACCGTCATGATACATCCGAACAGTGCTTTATTTGAAGAGCTACCAAGGTGGGTGATATACCATGAACTGGTATTCACTTCAAAGGAATTTATGAGACAAGTAACAGAGATTGAAAGCAAATGGTTACTAGAAGTGGCGCCTCATTATTATAAGTCTAAGGAATTAGAGGATTCTACAAATAAAAAAATGCCAAAAACAGTTGGCAAATCTGCAAATAATTTTTAATTTATTTTGGGTACTAGAAATTTTAACTATTAAACTAAAAATAAATTACATGTTAATAATGTTTTTTTTTTTAATTGTACCTAATTATAAACTAAAAATCAGTAACCCTCCCCTTTCTTTCCCAGTCCCCATATCTTGTAGGTTCTGGCCCTCGAGGGCCACCTACTTCACCAGTATGTGGATTGATATCATCCGGCCAAGCTGGCAATGGATCATCTTTAGCCTTAGTTTCTGCTTGTTCCCCCAAATCTGTTATAGGAGTAGTCTCCCGTAACTTCTTTCTAAATTCAGCCATTCTCTTAGATTCCCCCTTTGCGTCTTCCTTACTTTCATTTGGCTCTGTTTTTGACTGTTCGGAATATTTATTTAAAGACAAGATGGAAGTGCGATTTACTGAAATAAAGACGTAGATGAATACACTTCTTCTCTCTGCTAAACATTAAACAACTGAATCGATGTTTTCTTTTTTTTTTAACAAACCTGCTAATATTTTTGTTAAACCATCTCTTACTTTCAACGTTAATACGTTCATATTGAATGAAACACAAAATAATATAAATTTTATCAAGACTACTAGCAATTGTCAATACTCAGCTAGTAAGAATTTTTTAAATAAAAAATCTGACTATCTACTGTCTATTTATTTTAAAGACCAGTTTTGAGTTTTTGACACCTCTTAATATTATTGTTCTTACAAAGTAACTCTTTGGAAAGAGGTTACTAATCATGTTGTAATTTCCCATTAAAGTTTATTGTATCTTATTTGTGTTTTTTTTAATATGTTATTAATGGAAATGATATTTTATATTTAAGCGGAGGTGATTATGAGTAAGATACCGAATAAATAAATTAGTTTAAATATTTACTTTGGCAACATTTTGTCTTTGGAATTTCGAATGACATTGTTTGTCTATGGAGCTATCATATGATCAATGATCTACTGATTTCATCTTCCTCCTCGAATCTTTTCGTTGTAGCTGAATAGTTACGTCTCTTTAAAAATCCGGAGGGTGATATAAAGGGAAGATGAAGGGGTGCATTTTCAATATCGACGCTGGTTATTTGGAAGGATTGTGTAGAGGTTTCAAGTGTGGTATTCTGAAACAATCAGATTACTTGAATTTGGTACAATGCGAAACATTAGAAGGTAAGTGGACGTAATATCTATTTAACATATGATATATGTATATCAACTTTTTATCACTCTTGGAAAATCAATATTAATTTCCAATTTACAACCACACCCAATCTTATACTCTAATATAATTATTATTGTTTACAAATTGTCGTTCAAAGAGTATTATATCAGTAAAAAATTATTTCAGATTTAAAACTTCATTTGCAAGGAACCGATTATGGTACATTCTTAGCTAACGAGCCCAGCCCCCTTGCTGTGTCAACTATTGATGATAAGCTCCGTGAAAAACTTGTTATTGAGTTTCAACACATCAGGAATCATTCGGTGGAGCCGATGTCTACTTTCTTGGACTTCATTACCTACAGTTACATGATTGATAACATTATCTTGTTGATCACTGGTACACTTCACCAGAGACCCATATCTGAGTTGATCCCTAAATGCCACCCTCTGGGCTCATTTGAACAGATGGAAGCCATCCATGTTGCTGCAACTCCTGCCGAGTTGTACAATGCTGTACTGGTTGATACTCCACTCGCTCCATTCTTTGTGGATTGCATCAGCGAGCAAGACTTGGATGAAATGAACATTGAGATCATTCGTAACACTCTGTACAAAGCTTACTTAGAAGCTTTCTATGAGTTCTGCAAGCAAATTGGAGGAACAACTGCTGATGTTATGTGTGAAATCTTAGCTGTATGTATACAAACTCATCATTATTATACAATATATTCTGTTAATATCAAACTCCTTTTAAATCTAATTTTTTTTTTATTAGTTTGAAGCTGATCGCCGTGCTATTATCATTACCATCAACTCCTTTGGTACCGAGTTGTCCAAGGATGACCGAGCTAAACTATATCCTCGCTGTGGTAAGCTGAATCCTGATGGATTGGCTGCTCTGGCTAGAGCCGATGATTATGAGCAAGTTAAAGCTGTTGCAGAATACTATGCTGAATATTCAGCACTGTTTGAAGGCGCTGGAATGAATGTTGGCGACAAAACCCTGGAAGATAAATTTTTCGAACATGAGGTGAGAATTATTCCTTCATATTTTGTAACATATCAAAATAAAACAACAATTATTAAATGAAATTTAACAAATATTTAAATTCACAGGTATCCTTGAATGTTATGGCCTTCTTGCAACAATTCCACTTTGGAGTTTTCTATTCCTACCTCAAGCTCAAAGAACAGGAATGCAGGAACATTGTGTGGATCAGCGAATGTGTTGCCCAGAAACACCGAGCTAAAATTGACAACTACATTCCTATTTTCTAGACCATACAGTTATATGTCCTTTGAGTTGTTAAACTTTCTTAAATTGTACATACTATTGACAAATGTAAAATATCTTCCCTGAAACGTCTCTATCAAACAAAATCATGCTGCATTGCTTGAAAACTTAAAGACAAAATATTTATTATAGTTTGGTTTAGAGATGCAGTATTATAGCATTATAAATATATTGCCATACACCCACTTGTGATATCATATCACACTATACATGCTTAGATGTAGCGGAAAATTAAATCAAGTTATATTGTTGTCAGAAAATATTTTTATTGTAAAAGATATATTATCTATAATAGTGGTAATAGAATACAGATGTAACCATATTTTTTACCACTATTGAAATATAGAACATATTGACATTCCAGTTAATCCACATTAAAAATTTATGTAATTTGGCCATATACTGATAATAATTTCAAAATTAAGTCATCATAGTCCCTTAGACAATTGTCCTGTAAATTCATTTACTTGTATATTGTCTTGTTGCTGTCGGAGTTTGCGAGTTTTATTCAAAGTTTCTGTATAAATGAATGTAGTAACTATACAATTAAATTCTATATAAAGTTATAATCTTTACATAAAAATTGTGAAGTTGTGTTAGATTCTTGATTAAATAAAAAGTTTAAAAAATTCATATATTTTATTTTGAACTAAAAATAAATATTATATTTGTTCTCTAATCATATCTGTAAGTGATCCTTCGTGAGGAAGAAGGTGTTTAGGCTTCATTAAGTGTACACTGAAATCTTTCCAGAAGTTATTTTTTAACATATCATCATGCACATCAGCAATAATCTTAACAGATTTCTTTGATTCTTCATCTATTATGCATTTCCTAGTTAGCAATGTACCTCTTTTAAATATTTCTGGTTCATTATTATAATTCTCCCCAAATTCCTTAAATAAAATTTCGTTTTTATCTGCTGATAGTGTACCAGACAGCCTTTTTTCAGCCTGGAAACAAATACTAAAGTTAATATCCCTAAAATAATAGACAAAAAAAAATTATTTATTACATTATAATTTGTAAGTGGTACCTGAGATGGGGTTAGATTTCCTTTTAATACAAGAGCCCAAAAAGTTGTGTTATAAAGATTATTTATATGTACATCAGCTTGTCTCCATTTCAAATAATCTATTAAATTTTCCTGAGATGGATACAATACTAAACGTCCATCAAATGTTGGTGGATACTTCAATTCTTCATCACCAAAAAACTTTCTCCAATAAAACACATAAGATGATGTAAATTTACTATTCACAATAGTCAATAATTTAGCAGCACGTCTTTTATAGAGGTTACAATCTTTCTTGAATATAAATGAATACTCATCACTCTGACCATAAGCCAACAACAGCTCATTGAATTCTTTTAACACAGAATAAGCGCTATAATTCATTAATCTAAGAGCTCGTATGTCATTAGGTTTTTTAAAATTGTGGTCGTCTGCAAACTTGTGAAAACACTTTCCGTCCAGTCGCACCACAATCCACGAATTAGGTAGCAAAGTATCATCTAATTCGAAAGTTTTAACATATTCAAAGGAACTTTTAGCCATTTTTGCTAACTTTAAACAGTTTTCCTTAGTTTTAAAAGTTTTGTATAAACGTGGGACACGTACACTGGCAAAAAACATTGGCTTACAATCACTGAACAAAACAGTGGTTACTCTCACATAATTTGCTGTTCATTTAAACTGTAAAGTTTATAGAATTTTATTCAAATCTGATTTATTTTAGTCCCATATCACATATTTGCATTTTAATTGCAACTTTTAATATTCAAATCGAAACAAGTGTTTTCAGTAATTTGACACTTCGAACTCCTAACTCTTAAGTTCCACGAGATGTTGACATCTGAGTGATTTAAACATAATATATTAAACATATTTGTTCATAAATTATAAAATAAGATTGAAAAAATACTTCTACGACCAAGGTATTATTAAGTTATTTTTGTAATTTTAAAACTCAAATATTCAGTCCTTTAGTATGAAATGTAATTTATTTTTGGAGGCAATTTTTGAATTCAAAGAACAGATATATAGAGAAGCATTAATTTATAGAAGATATATTTGATTTGTGATTTTTATGATTTTTATCCCAGAAACTTTCATAGATTTCATGCCGAAAGGGGCGCTAAATAAATATAATATCTTTAGATAACTATGTATAACTGCGTCAAAAATACTTAAATTATCTGAAATTCTCTACATTTGCCACATTTTCATTAAATTATTGTGCATATAGTCATTATATGTTCTTTAATTCATATGTTATTTGTAAGTTTTTTTTATATGTACGTCGATCAAATTCCTACTAATATTATAAATGCGAAAGCAACTCTGTCTGTTACGCTTTCACGCCTAAATCACTGAACTGATTTTAATGAAATTTGGTACAGAGATAGAGTTGACCTTGAGAAAGAACATAGGATAGTTTTTAGGCCAGACTTTTGAAAGGTTCTCTTGGATACGTCATATAACCGAACTCGACGCGGGTGAAGCTGCGGGCGGAAAGCTAGTCTCTCATATTTTAGTTTTTACTCTTATTGGTTGTCAGGAAAATATTGCTCTGTAACGATAAGCCCGCCAAGATTGTTTATAATAATACACCTATGTTTTTAATAGTCGTTAATTTAAGGGTGTACAATAAGAATATTATTATTAGTACAATTTATGTGTACGGAACATAGAATGTAGTACATAAATCAAAATGACGATTACTATAATATAACAACAAAAATGTATTATTTTAAAGCAAAATCAGAAAGATAACATTTATAAGCAGGGGTATCAATGAAAAATAATTAGTAAATAATTTTTTTATTTCATTGCACTAAAATTGATGAATAAGTTATATAATCAATATAGCTTTTTAATTAATAAGTTGGCAATTATATCCTTTAAATATTAATAGTTACATAAGCAGTTTTTTCACTTCCTCCGGCGTCCTACGTACTATTAACTGAGGATCCACATAGCCATTACTTGGTTCATTTACTGCCTGATAAAGTTGTTCATATATGGCTAATATAACTTCAAAAGATCGTTTCTTAACAAATAACTTATGAGTTTGACTTATAAGTAGGTTCAACTGTGGTAGCATATACAAATGTGGTGTAACTAGAAACATGTCGAATTTATTTAAAAATGATTTTAGTGATGTTGTATCCATGCCCGGTATGGCTGATAGGGGTCCATCTATTTTCTCTTGAAGCATTGTATAAATAGGGCCCATGTTCAAATTGGCTACAAGATAACTGGCCTGTTCTGAAGTTAGGGTGTCTATTTGTGCCTCGGACTGAGCCTGAAGTCTGTCATTATATTCATCTAAAATTGTGTAGAGTGATAAAGTACATTGAATATGATAAATACAATTTAACATATAAACTGACATATCGGAGGAGCTCAAGTGGCATGCTGTTTCATTTATTGCATGAAGCAATGGATCTAGGATATGTGTAATAATTATTTTCTTATCCGTCTTGTGTGTGTTTGATACATTCATCAATTCCCTTAAAAAGCTAACCAAATCAGTGACAACAACTGATGGATTTAAGTCTGACGGAGGTGCTTTCACACCATGGCTTAATTCTTTTTGTATTTTACTATCTAAAGTCAAAATAAATACTTCTTCACTTTTCCTTGATAGTTCACTAAGTGTATCTACCATATGTCCTTTACTTATAATAGCTTTTATAATATCTTCGTAATACAGTATTAAATTTGTTATAGACCATAGTATTAATGGATCTTTGTCTGGTTTAAGTATTAAATCGGCTCTGACATTTAATAATGGACATAAAGCTTCCATAATATTTGTCAGAGCCTCTGTTATTTTGTCCTCTTTATCAGACATAGTGCAATGTTTAAGAAGGGTGCATAGGTTTTCTTTCTCCTGTGGAATTATTTGGTAGACCCAAGCTAATATATCACCTATGTACCGCTTAGCATCATTAGCATAAAATTCTATAGGCTTAGACCCGTTTTCCTCTTCTTTAGTCAAAGCGTCTATGAACAATTGTACAACAATTGCTTTTCTTGCATTGCAGTACTCATCTATAATGTTGCTGAAAAGAACTTGTCTATTTTCAAATTTTGCCAAAGCTTTGGGGACAAGAGCATTATTCGGAGAATCAACAATAAGGCAAGCTCCAATTGTCCAATGATATAATTTTTCAATCGCAGCCTCCTGTTGGAGCCCTATGGTTTCCATAATATCAAATGCTGGTGTTTGATACCAACATCGGACAAGTGTTCTGCAATCATTGTTAAGTTTTTCAATATCAGACAATGATGAAAAAAAGTTATTCGTTAATGGTGAAACATTAAAAAGACTCTTCAATTTATCCGGTGATAAATTAAAATTATCCACAAAAGTATTAACCCAAAGTAATTTCTTTTTGGTTTTTATTCTTTCATCCTTGAGTTTCGTGGTTTGAGCAATGATGTGATGGGTTTTTGTTTTTGATTCCTGGAGCCTATTGGACATATCTTGAACTGAAACGTCGAGAGAATTTAGTGAATCAATTAGTCCTTGCAATTTATCTTTGACTTTGCTGAATTCAGTTAAAATTGTTTTGTTGACCAGTAAGTCTCTCTTTTCTATTTCGTTTACAAGAACTCTCCTTGTATACGCCGAGTTAGATGAACATAATCCAGAAACTGTATATAGGGCTTCACTGTTATCTGTTATGATGTGGCTATCAAAGATTTTGTTTATTCGTTGTCTAATGGGATTGTTATAATAAACTGTATCCATTTTTTGTTATTAGATTCGATCAGTAGGTGAACTTATCATAAAAATAATCTCTTCTATTGCTCTGCAAAATACTATCACTTTGATACATTAGCATTTAGCCTTCTTAATTCAGGAATTCTCTTCGGCCGTCGATATGTCAACAAACTTGTATCATCAGTTCACTGTCAACTGCCAAAATATATAAAAATTAGGACTTGGGTCCTTAACATTCCATCCATGTGTGAAATAGTTATTATATAAATTTGAGAGTATATAATTAATAGTAATTTTATTGTATTGGCTGTTTATTAAAAACTCTATATCATTATTATAATGTCAAGAAACCATATATATTTTATATAATTAAATTGAGAATATTTCTAAAGAAGGCTTATGAATTTTTGAATCATATCTTCAAGTCAACACTTTAAAAAATACATTCTATATATTCTACAAATAAAAATAATTTGTTTTCATTTCAGAAATGCAAAAACAAACTTCATAAAAGATTATCTATTTACTAATATTTTCGGCGTGGAATAAGTTTTTATATACTCTCATATCTTGTATAACGTAAATTTCTTCAGTATTCAGTCCTTTTTGTTTTTAAATCATACCATTGGGCAATAAACTGCTTTAGTTTTATACAAAAAGGTATTGTAATGTAATTGTTTTGTAATGTAATAAGTTCTCAGACTTTTAAAAGGTTTTATTGGTTTAATTCATAGCCTATTTTTAAAGAGTAACTGATTTATGTATGATAAAAAAAATTATATACAACCTATGTGTATGCCTACTTGAGGGAATTCATATATCTATTCTTTAATAAACATAACACAGCGATAATATAAATTATATATTGTAAGTTTAATAAGAAAACATTCTATTTAAATTCGTATTCGCAAATAGTTATAATAAGTTCATTTTTTTGTAGATCTGTGAATGTTATGTTCGTCTTTGACAAATTAAGATCTATCTTCTGTCAGGCTAAGCAAATATCAAAACCGCGACCAATATACTAACCTATAAATAATTAAGTGAATTAAAACAATTAAAATGGGTTCACGGCAAATTACGGAAAAATCCTTAGCAATGCTGCGGTCATTGCCTAGAATATCTTTAGCTAATTTACGTGACAATCCAGGTTCAAGAAAAAATGTAATAATACCCTTTAAATTTCCTCGTCTCTGTTTTTAATTGCTGTGTTTTATTTGTTTTCAAATATTATGTGTAATTGTAGAATAAAAGAGGAAGAGGACAATATGGTGGTGACAAACACGGAGCTGGAAATAAAGGCTCGAATCAAAGACAGAATTATATGAGACTTGGCTATGAAACTGGAAACAATCCTTTTTATCTCAGAATGCCTCATGAAAGCTACTACAAGGGTCATCAGTGAGTATTATTACGCAGGTTTTTTAAAATGAAATTATATTTTTAATAAGACATCTCATTATTTTTAATTACTAACAATAATTTTAATTTTTCAGTCACAGAAGAGAATATCCTCCTATATCACTATTGCAATTACAAAAGCTCATAGATACAGATCGAGTGGACATTGATAAACCCATTGACATAGCCAGTATAGTGAAATCTGGTCTGTATCATTTTTTCCCTGACCAAAAACATTTTGGTGTAAACTTAACAGATGAAGGAGCTGACATCTTTGCTGCAAAAATTAATATAGAAGTGCAATGGGCGAGTGAGCAAGTAATTGCTGCTATAGAAAAGAATGGAGGAGTTATAACTACAGCATATTATGATCCACATAGCTTACTTTTATTGAAGAACCCTAAGAAGTTTTTTGAGACCGGACAAGCCATTCCCAGAAGAATGATTCCACCTCCAGATGCCATAGAATATTACACAAGTGCAGAGATGAGAGGTTACTTAGCTGATCCAGAGAAAATTTCAGAAGACAGATTGAGGCTTGCTCAGAAATATGGTTATGAATTACCTGTTCTAGAAAATGATAGCAACTATAGTATGTTATGCGAAAGGAAAGATCCACGTCAAATTTTCTATGGACTAGAACCAGGATGGGTGGTTAATTTAAAAGACAAGTGCATCCTTAAACCTAAGGATGAAGAGTTACTCAGATTTTATGCATCATAATTTGATAGTATTGTTTTATTTCAGTAATGTATAGTGTAAAATTAAAAAAATAATAAAACATCAGAAATATCACATTGGTTATTTATTGTTAATATTCGATTTGACAATATTCGAGCAAATTAAAAACTTTTAACAAACTTTGTTAGTGGAGAACGAGCTTAGTTAAAATCAGTATCTGTAGTGGTCAGGCTTGTAGGGACCTTCGACTGGCACACCAATGTACTGAGCCTGTTTAGGAGTCAGCTTAGTAAGCTTAACTCCTAAATGGTCTAAGTGTAACGCTGCTACCTCTTCATCAAGTTTCTTAGGCAAGGTGTGGACTCCAATAGGGTATGTGTTGTGTTTGGTCCAGAGTTCAATTTGTGCTAACACTTGATTTGTGAAAGAGTTGGACATAACAAATGAAGAGTGACCGGTGGCACATCCCAAGTTAACTAGCCGTCCAGCTGCTAGAACAATTATATGATTTCCATTTTCAAGTTCATAGCGATCCACATGCTGTTTGATATTGACTTTCTTGGCATTCTTTTCCAGCCAAGCCACATCAATCTCACAATCAAAATGACCAATGTTACAAACAATGGCATCATCTTTCATTTTAAGGAAGTGTTCCTTGCATATTATGTCAATATTTCCAGTGGTGGTGACAAAGATTTGTCCAATCTCAGCCGCCTCATCCATTGTTGTTACTTGGAAACCCTCCATGGCAGCTTGTAGGGCATTAATGGGGTCAATTTCAGTGACAATGACCCTACCTCCGAAGCCCTTGAACGCTTGGGCACATCCCTTTCCGACATCTCCATAACCCCCAACGACACAGACTTTACCGGCAACCATAATGTCAGTTGCTCTTTTAATTCCATCAAGAAGTGACTCCCGGCAGCCATATAAGTTATCAAATTTGCTTTTTGTCACAGAGTCATTGACATTAATAGCAGGCACTTTAAGAAGGCCCTCTCGGAACATTTTGTATAAGTTATGAACACCGGTGGTTGTTTCTTCTGAGATACCCTTGATATTCTCAAGAAGTTGTGGATATTTGGTGTGAACCAGGTTGGTAAGATCTCCACCATCATCCAAAATCATGTTCAATGGCTAAAAACAATGAAATATGTACATTAATTATTTTCTCAGAGCAAAAAAAACATAACTTTATTTACTAAAATTAATAGATATTAATAAATTGTGATTTTCTGATTGTAGATCTTTACAGTGGATCACAGCCTTTCCTTAATCAACTTAAAGTGGATAAAAAATTATAAGTTATTACATTACAAATTAACATCCTTAATACCTTTCCATCATTGAAGAATAATGTTTGTTCAATACACCAAATGTATTCTTCATCGGTTTCACCCTTCCAGGCATAAATAGGTATACCGACGGCCACAAGAGCAGCGGCTGCCTCATCTTGTGTACTGAATATGTTACTGCTAGACCATTGTACCTTAAAACCAAAATTGAGCCATAAGTATTTATAATAACCAACTATTCTACACCATTTTTAAACTTTGTAACATAATTAGTGTAATTTATTCCTTTATTGCATAATATTTTATTTAAAGAAAAAAATCTAATCGTAACTAATGCTTTGTTTTCATTTTTCCACTTAAACTTACGTCAGTTTAAAAATATCTCAATCTCACATAAACATTGATAATACGTGTTTATATTACATCACACATAGGGTTAAATGTGAGTTCAGGGAATGTCATAAACAGCAGCTGAGATTAAAATCGTAAACGTAACAAAAATTCGTTTTGAACAATATTGCGTCACAATTTACAACAATGAGATGTAAATATGTACGTTGGAAATAAGATGTTACCTCTTTAACAAAGACTGTTTATCTAATAGATAGATATGATTGAATTGAATATACTTTGAGATAAAGATAAAATCTATGATAGTGCTCATGTTACAGAAATAAGATTGAGTAAAAAATCATTTATTTCTATGGTATGAATGAATGTATTTAAATTAGACAAAATAACAGAATTATTTCCAAAACTTGTAATATTTGTAGATAGTACTGAAGATTATTTGTAAAAAATTATAACTGTTACTTACTTCTGCACCTAATTCAATTAGAGTTTCAATAAGTACAGCGGTTTGAACTGTCATGTGAAGACTTCCAGCTATTCTGGCTCCTTTGAGAATTTTGCTAGGAGCATATTTGCGACGGCATGCCATAAGTCCCGGCATTTCTTTCTCAGCTAACATAATTTCTTTACGGCCGAGCTCCGCCAGTTTCTCATCAGCTACATGTAACATAATTAAAATACAAAATTTGTTAGATTAAATCATAATCACAAAAGTAAAATATGTTTTTTTTTAATTCATAAATCACGAATACATACCGATTTTGTATGGTGGCTTCATTTTTGTTGACAGGTTTGAGTTTTTTTTAAAAATGGTGTTTGATTAAAATCAAACAGTTGCTGAATTACACTTAAGTTAATAAAAATAAAGAATATTTTTGTAGCCACCGGTACACATGCGGTATACCGTCCACAAAGAACGTGGTCTTAGAAATGACAGAATTTATCTTTGAACTTTGACAAATTGCTATACTTTTTTTATAAGCTTACGGATTTGGCTTCTAGAAACATTAGCAATGTTTTGAATATTTTTCATAACACAACTTTAACAACAAACAAATTTAATCGAGTGATAACACCACTTAACACATTTAATCGAGATATAACAATTAAATGACAGATAATACCACTTTATTAAACATCTAAAAAAATATCAAAATCTTATATCTATAATATTTTTTTACTTATGCATCCATTTTTGCACAACTCACTAAATAAAAGTTTTAAATTGTAATAGAAAAGTAAATACATGATGTTAGTTCAACATGGCAATAAGCATAATATTTACATTTATGTTCATATTTGAAAAATACATAATCAAAATTGGAATAGTCGTATAAATTATTTTATAACTAACGAAGAGTAACGCAGACATCCTCACTTAGTCCGGATGTGTTCTAAGTGTAAATGGTGACCAAAACTGTGTTTCACAGACAAAAGAAGAGTGTTCAGTGTGAGACCAGCATATTTTGATATATAAAATAACGAAAGAAGCTCTTATTATACCATTTCTCTACCAAAATTTTAAAATTAAACTGGCAACTTAAACGAACAAGGTAATATTTTCAAAGACATATAAGTTCCCAAATATTGTAGATGGCAGGAACGCTTATGTTTACCGTTACTTTTAAAATAAAAACTTGGAAAATCTAAGTGTTTCCCAAAATATATGTTCTTTTTTAAAGACCTTGTTAATTGCTGTCATAGTAATTGCTAATTGCTCAAATCTATTGCCCTGTATTATTCCCTAAAAAAAGATATGACAAAAAACTGTGTGCCTTTTCATATTATATACATAAGGATAACTGATTGTTAGTAGTTAGTATATTTGATGTTTGCTTCAAGGTATATTATATGATGTCAATCAAAAATTTTCAAATAATTTATCGATTTAAATCTTAATTATTAAGATATAAAAATCCGAATTTCTGGTACGGCTGGCCAACATTCAAAGTTGTAAAATAAATATCTAAGATTAAAATAAATTAAATGTTCGAGATAAATATGGGTAAAATGACAAGACAGAAAATTGAAAATTGTTTTTATTATCGTAGAATGGTTTACAGGATAGTATTCGTAAGCAAAAAGGAAGGAAATAAAAAGATGTAACAAAATAAATTTACTTTTTTTTTGTATCGCGCAGGAAAAGTGGGTGGTATTCATCGACTCAATGCCTATGATTCTAAATCAGAACCTTTCATGGCATGGCACTAGTCCTCACACATTCTCCTATCATCCTTAGCAAAAACACATAATATGACAAAGGCTGCTGACGAAAAATCCGACCAGCTTATAAAACATGGACATATTATGTAAAAACACAATACAACCGGGCTCGTGGTCACGGTACATCACTTATAAGTATGTTAAAGCATAACAAATAGGATTCTATCTCATAAAATTATACCCTTACTATCAGTCAATGACTCGAAATGTCGACAGCTATTTATTAAACGACACCGTCCTCACGAGCCCGGCCGTCTACACGCACTCTATAAAAAATCTTGCATAATTCGCGCAAACATCATCCCTGCCAGTGATGCTCACAGACTAGCAAACACTCAATTACGAATCAAACAATTTGTTTAACATGCCGCTCTCACCAAGCTCTCTCAGCTTGTAAATGTATAACTGCTATTTGAAACAAGTTGATCTTAATAATCACAACGAATTTATTCACGTTAATGTTTGACATCATCGCGATAAAGAGAATGACGAACTTTATTTTAAATTCGAATACTTCAAGGCACTGACGTGGAAGTACTAAGGATTATATACTATATTATAGCGTTTTAAAAATATTGAGGTTTTATTGCTTTTTCAAATAGTGATATTTTAAAATTCCTTTTTTAAAATATTTGTTTTTTTTTTACATTTATTATTATTATTTTTCTGAGATTCATGAAACAAATAACAACGCGATCACAAGAACAGATTATTCCTTATTTAATTACATTATTTTATAGTCAGTGCATTGTAGTCAACATCAATCAGTACGCCAATAAAACGTATCATGGAAAACAAAAAGAGCTTTAACTACATATGTACAAAACATGAGCCCGAGACCAAAGGCAAATTTTCATTTTATTCATCACAAGAATTACATTTTGTTTTAGTTATACGTCACATATTTAACATAAACTGATCCCCTTAAAAATCTAAGGAAACTATTATAAACACTTAATAATTAATTAATTAATGTTTTTCATACAAAATAACGATAATAATAGAGAAATAATACGGCAATATGGAATAGTTGCGATGAATAAAAAGTACAGCACCAATATGGCGTCCTCGAGTCTCGCTCGTAACTTTGATGGAGTCGCTTATACAACATCGATCCGGAGACCGATAGTTGTCTAAGTTAACACACAACATTTACATTTACACATTCACTAACACACATACCTCATCATTCATAAACTCTTTCATAATATCTTACAAAACAATAATAATAATTTATAAAATTCACAATCCCTTGCACATGTGCATGCCTATAATAACATACTTCAACTGACATACAGTCCCTTTCACATAACATACGTAAAGATACCACAGCCACTGTCTATCTATAATACCAAATAGGAAATGCTTCGATATTTTCTTGAGAATATTATGGAAAGATTATTTGTTTGGCATTGTTATACAACACTGCCACGCTAGGTGCATCGGCCTTTTTAAATTATCAAATCAATAAACAAAATAATGCTTCTATTAATGCTGCTGTTACAGATTGTTTTAAAATCTGTTTAATTCAAAATTTTGATATAATTTATTAATAATTCCTGTACTCCTTCTATGATGTCATGAGTTAAGTTTTGTTTAATTATCATTACATCCCTATATATTACATTATATAAAGGATTATATTTGATATAATAAAAGTGTAGTGTTGTGAAGTACATATTTCAGAGAGCTATCGCTATTAATATTTTTAAATTAAATCTTTTTCAATGAGGCCAGCAATGTATGCACCTAACGATTCTCAAAAAAATTACGTGATATGATCTTCCAATAATACACTTGAATTTAATCAGCAATAAGTAGTGTGAAACCTAGTTACTTCACTGTTGGTGCTCCACAATTCTTTGAATCTGTAAACACAAATTAATGATCAATTATCAAAGGAAATATATGTATAATACACTGATAAGAATTTCCTTACTAGGAGAATTGGATGTACATTGTACAAGTCTTCATATGAGTTACTTTTAGAACTTGCCAAAATATTGTTGTATATTGATGAAATTAAGTAAAACCAGAGTTTGAGCAATATCTATTAAATTTAAACTTGCTTAAGGAAAATAAAAAAAAAATCAATTGAAAAAGAAATGTACATTGCATTATACACAAGTACATCGTCTTTCATATATGTAAATTGTTGATTATTTAATATTGACAAATTCTAAAACAGATTTCAATTATTTTGTGTCTCTTTCTAATTTAATTCTTGAAATTTTTCATTTTTTTCAAATAGTCATCCCTACTAATATTATAAATGCGAAAGTAACTCTGTCTGTCTGTCTGTCTGTCTGTCTGTCTGTCTGTCTGTTACTCTTTCACGCCTAAACCACTGAACTGATTTTAATGAAATTTGGTACTGAGATAGAGTTGACCTTGAGAAAGAACATAGGATAGTTTTTATCCCAGACTTTTGAAACGTTCTCTTGGAAACGCGATATAACCGAACTCCACGCGGGCGAAGCTGCGGGCGGAAAGCTAGTTGAATCATAAACACTAAAAGAATTAAGTGTGTAGACTGGTGCTTTAATACTGGATCTTGAAGAGGCTCATAATCAAAAATCTACATTTTACTAAGGCCCATAGCACACGAGGCATTTTAAATTCGCAGACAACGCGCAGATTACGCGCGTATACGCGTTTCATACGCCATTCGATCGCAACCTTGTAACCTAAGCACAGGGGGAGATCGTGAAACGCGCGTCTATTGCGCGTATACGCGCAGATACAGTGAACAGACGCGCTGTGGTCGCGCGTAGCTTTTGCGTTTTGTTCTTTGCTCTGCTCCTACTGCGCTCCTTTGTACGCGCGTTTGTATAGCTTCAAACGCGCGCTTTTATTTCATCAATGTAAGAGCCTGTCCAGAAAGCGCTATTTACGCGCGAGTCAACTCGCGCGTTTTGATTTGTATTGTGTCCAGATGCGGCGGAATCACGCGGGTATGTGATGAGATGGATTTGGTCAGTTATAAAAATGTACTCGGATTTTTAAAATAGGAATGCATGCAGCTCTAGCAACTCGAGAACGCGCGAGTGGACTCGCGCGTAAATCGCGCTTTCTGGACAGGCTCTAAGTCTCTTCTTCAAGTCATGCTTTTTCAATTATGTTTGCCTGTAACTCTCATAGACTGTATGATTATATTTAATCCTATATTATTTGTTTCTACCTAAATACAAAATGATAACAATTTATAATAATTTACCAGCTAGCGAGTGGAGCTTGTTGTTTCAACTTCCTGATTTCCTTAGTGGCCCAGTTGGCTAATGTTTTGGTGCGTGCCGTGCGTGACAGTCGAGCTGCTTGAAGTAGGTCCAGTAAGGGCCTTGTCTCCAACATCGGTAGTACTCTTTGGCCGAACACCGTACATAGATCTCCGGTCAGACCAGCTATCACTGACATGTGGCCGTCCGTACGCTCAGGTTCTGAAGCCACTTGGATCATGAAGTTCACTATCGCCGGTACGTGAGGCTCTACCAGAGCTACGTCTGATTGTACCTGAAATTATAAAGATAGTACATTTACACATGGGGCATGATGGTTAAGCACTATTCAGTTTGTATGAGAAATAATACTAAAATTATGTAAAAGTTTTTGAGTATCAAGAAAATATTATACATATATCATTTAAATTATAATTTTCACTTATAAATATAGATAAACATATAGATTGACTTATTTATTTGTATAACGTCACGTGTCACAGACTATAGATGGTGAGGGCAGTTGTATATAATATCTATTTTATTAAAGTATAGATTAATAATTTCTTTTTTTAGCTTAATTTCGGAGTTAACACGGAAAAAGTGGTCATAAACTAGTAGGATATATTATTCATATAATTTTGTTTGTATTTAAACTATACAATAGTTCGTATTACTTTGTTTTGAGATTGTTTTTTGATTTGTATTTACAAATTGAAGTAATTAGGTAATCCGTAATAATGCACTAACTTATATTGACGAGGCATGGTTAAGAAAAATTTAGTGAAAATGGTTTTATGAAGGTTGTTACTCACCTCGCCACCGGCGCCTTTAAGTCCTTGAATAATTCCTGTATACGCTTCTAACACGCTTTCCCGTAATTCACATAAATATTCAACCATATCATAATCTGACCTATCCACTTGAGCGTTGCTTGCCTAAAAAACAAACATTTTAATACTCTTCTTATTTTAATAAAACTAACAATACATATATGTGTGTATCTCATATATATAACATACCTGCAGCAACATGTCCATTACTAGATTGAAGTATTTTCTAAAATCAGGACCGATACTTAAAGCAATATCTCCGAAAACTGATAGAATTTGAGGCTTTACTGATCGATGTATTGAGTTATCACCAAGGTTTTCTAACAGAAGGAACACAATCTCGTCACAATATGGTAGCACCTGTAATTTTATAGAAATTTTAATAAATTAGTAATCTATTAAAGAATTTTATATGTACACTATAATAACAAAAAAAAATTACCTTGCTTTTGAGAGCGCGACAAATATCACCTGTGACACCGACGGCAGTTATGCATACTTGATATTCCGCATGGTTTTTAAGTCCAACATATAAGTATTGCTTGAACGCATCCATGTATTTGAGGAAGCCCTCGCCTAAAACTTCGACTAACGTTGAAACCGCCATTAAGGCATCTTCCTGTACTCCGCCGGCCTTGCCAGCATTGCCAGCGAACATTGTCAATAATGCAGTCATAATCGCATCTGATATATGAGGCGCGTCTTCTGGCGTCACCTTGCGTAACACGGACTGCAAGGTCGCACAAAGTAAACTCTGAAGATCATTGAACTGAGATCTATCAGACTGACTCGATATATGATTCTCCATTTGAAGTACTTGGTGTAATCTCTCTAATATAACCATTGTTGTTTTCTGTACAGTCACATAGCAATCTGTAGGCGAATTCTTAACCATTTCCATGAGGGCTTCGTATGCTGCCGATCTTAAATTATGTTGCGCCGCATCTTGACGATCTGTTGTTTCTAGTAGTCTTTGAACGATGAAATCGAAGTATGTCGACATACAGTAGGTCTTTGGTTGGTGAGAGTCTCCGCCGTCAACGGCTTCGTAAGCAGCTTCAGCTAAACCCGTGAAAGCCCAACAAACGTTCGCTGCCACACGTGGTTCCGCCTTAAGACCGGTGACGAGACTTTCTAATAATGGCTGTAAATACGTATCATTGATCGCCGCTTCAGGAACTATTTCACATATCCTACCAAAAGTCCATGCTGCTGTATCTCTGACGGCAACACTTGAATCGTACATGGCCTCGATTAAAGTAGGCATTGCCTCTTCAACTAAAGGTTTGAGAGTTGTAGCTTCGAGACCGCCTAATATAGAACCAAACGCCATAAGTGCTGCCTCCCTAAATCTCCAATGTTCACTTTTAATGTTCGACCGAATAAATGGTAATACATGAGGAACAATTTCATCTTCACAGCAGTTCGAAAGTAGCATTAAACACACTGAAGCCGCTTTGGATGGATTCCATTCAAGTTCATCATCAGAATCATCTTGTTTTGTTAACTTTTGCATAAGAACAGGTGCAATATACTGGAGAGCTCCTCTGGCATAAAATCTAGAAGTTCTTGCAGGGGGCCGACCTGTTTATATAATTAACAGGTATATTTAACATGAATTTTTAACATTAACAGACAAATTAACAAATTAATTAATGATAATTACCTGCTTCAGTTGCTTCAGCCATTTCAATAGCCAGATCTACTTCTTCATCGCTAACATTGGACCAAAATTCTATACCTTGTAATGAAATTTCATCAACATCTGATTTCATAGCTTCTAATGTTATGGGAAACAGAGCTTGACCCATGTAAGGTTCCATATATTGATAGTAAAGTGATAGAATTTTTACCTAATGATACAAAAGAAAATAATTACATATCTAATATCTATATCTACCTTACTATACAGGGTGACTGGTGAATTACTATTGATACTTGAGGACGTGATATTTGACGATCATATATGACAAAATAAAAATTAATATAACATAAATATTAATAAACTTCTAAGTAAAGTTAACCAAAACTTATGTAATTAATTACGCATCGTGTGAACATCCTACAGATTAGGTATACACACACACACACACAAGCGCGTGCGGCGCATACTTTATTTATTTATACGGAAATTTGGTCAAAAATCAAGTACCTATTTTTTTTACATAATTCGAATGAGAATCATGTACCGAGTACTCTCCTCAAATATTGATAGTAATTCATCAGTCACCCTGTATATAAATGCTAGAAGACCCGGCGAACTTCGTATCGCCCTATAATCAAGAAATATCTGTTACGTTTTTGGAGTTTACCTATTAAAGCCATAAATCTCCGTGTTTTGAAGTGCGACAGAATGATTGACATATTAGTTAGTTGTCAAATCTAATGTAAAAAAAAAACATTTGTATCAACAACTACTTATAAATTAAAAAAACATTATCCAGCAGACAAAATTGTGAATCTAAACCATTTCTAGATCCCCTTGAAAACACAAAAAATTTCATCAAAATTGGTCCAGTTGTTTGAGAGAAGTTTAGTGACATACACACTCACAGAAGAATTATATATATAAAGATATATGTATATTTAAAACTTACTAAGCACTGAAGGGCTGCTACGCTTATTCTCATATCCGGTGACTGAGTCGCCTCACAAACAACTTCCATAATAAAATTCCTTTCATTTTCTTTATCAAAATTAGCCTTTGTGAATTCTAATGAGTTAAGGAGTGCCTGTGTTGCAGCCAGACGGACATGGTTGCTAGGCTGAGTCGATCTCATTCCATGTATGATGGCAGTTAAAATTGGATTACTCTGTTCTGTTAATACTTCAGCATCAATTTCTTGACAAATATAACCTGAAAATAAACAATCAATACATAATTGTAGGTGAGTTAGCATTATGTAATAAATAGTTCTCAGTAATCTCTTTATATTTAATCTAAATATGAAATTAAAACTGTACATATCAAATTACAAGCTATAATTAAAGTACTGTTTGATGTTAATTTTACACATATTCCATATTTCTCTTACATATATCAATTTATATTAGAGAAATCATCTCGTTGCTCTTAAAATAATCATTACTAACACCATATTTTTTCAAATATTCCTTTACTCTATAAAAACCTAGATATGTATGAAACCTACCAATAGCCTCTAAACTTGCTTCTTTTTTCAATTCTGATGATTGTTCATTGACAACATTTTCTACGAGTGTTGGTATAAGATCATTCCATTGTCCCACTCCGAGCTCGGCAACAGCTACATAGGCAACACATTGGGCTGCTGAACTTGGCCTATTGCTTTCAGTGCCTATTGCTGCTAAAATCTATATAAACACACATTACATATACACTATGTTCAATATTAATAAATAGATTCTAATATAACAGTTGGTAGATTACATTTTTCTTAATATATTGTCTAATGTCTTCAGGTTGGTCCAGCCATCTCTCCTGGTACTGCTGTTTAAGTGTATGATCTTTGGATGTGAGGTGGTTTTTTAGCTGTAACCCGGCCGCCATCCGCGCGACCTGACTGTTGCCACCTTGTACCAGCACATCGGACAGCATCTTGATGAAGGTGGTAAAATTCGTAGCAGCTGCATGGTCGAGATATTTTTCTGCCGCTTCCAATTCATTTCGATCTGGAAATTACGAAACGATACACGTTATTCGCTGTCTAACGTTCAAATAGGACAAAGCAAATCGGATAATTCGTATGGGATTTACGATAACACATGTTGGAGGTTATTTCGAAAATATATATCAATAACCCTACGTTGTCAAAAAGATATGTTTTGATATATTTGAGTATAACAAAAAAAATATTAAACACAGTTACAACCTAGAAACTTCTTTACGTGAAATATTTAAAGATCCTGTTCTAGTCTACCTTGTAATAATTTATTAGAAGAAAATTAAAGACTTATGCATTTCGAAACATAAATCGTATTGGGAATATAACATCAAAGTTAAATTGTAATATAACTTTTATCATAAAATTGTGACTAATTACTGATACTCGTAAATGCAACGTACTAAAGTCAGTTGACAATAAGAAGCGCCATGCTCATAGTAGAAAAAAGCATTACATACCTGGTGATATAGTTTTTTCTAATACCTGAATGAGTGTGAATGTCGTTTCTCCAAGCATTATGTTGCTTTTTTATTTAATTCAAACTATATAGAAACTATAACTGAAGAAAAAATTGTAACCGGCTCACTACGAAAGAACACTCACAAGTCACAAATTTTATAAAAACGATGTTACCAGTAACTACTAACTTGTGGAGAAAAGACGTTTAATTTTTTTATTTGAATTAAGACAAAAGACAAGGATAAAAAAATACAATTAATAAAAAAGCAGTTTCATCAATTAAAAAGCATCAAGTATGGTCATAAGAAACTTTAAAAAATTAAGGAAATTATTATTAATAAAGATTTTTTTTATTTCAGATAAGTTGAAAATTTTAATTTAAGTGACTTAATTATTGATTTTGGGTCATCATGGCCTTTAAATATATTTATTAATAATTTTTTCATACACTTTGTCACTCTATGAAATTAATATTATTATGTACATCTTTGCGAAAATGTGTAGAAAAATCCAAATATATTTCGTGAAACATTGACTCCTATAAAATATTATGTAACAGTAATTGGAAATGCATAATTATTTTTTCAAATATTGATAACCCCTAGAATCCTTTCCTAGCATAATACTTTTTAAAAAACAATTATGTAGTCTATTCTTAATTTTGACAAATGTCGTATTGTCTGTGAGATAACATTCCTTTTCCTAGGTGGACTTGTTTCGTAGTGGACATTGAGCCCCTAAATTATTTAAAATGGTACTAAATCTTCATTTATTTAAGTAATCATGTAGTGTTATAACTTATAAACAGACTTATTAAAGACTGCAAGTGTTGTTAGTGAATATTGTTTATATATTTCACGATAAAATGTCATGTGAATGTTTTCTTTTCAGTCGCTCGTTATCCCGGATAAATTCCAACATATTCTTCGTATTATGAATACGAATATTGATGGCAAACGCAAGGTTATGTTTGCGATGACCGCTATTAAGGGAGTCGGTCGCAGATATTCCAATATTGTATTGAAAAAAGCCGACATCGACTTGGACAAGCGTGCCGGAGAATGTACCGAAGAAGAGGTTGGTAAAGATATTTGGATTTTATGTGTGTGTTTTATTAATTCTTTAAACTTATGATTTTGTTCTGTGAGTAATTGAGGACTACTGTTTATATTGTAAGTACTACTGTTAGTGCTAGGCGAGAATTTAAAATACCTTTAAAATACGATCGTTCCGATGTGTAACTAATTTAATCATGGATGATATCTTTAAAATTATATACATTGTGGTTTATATAAGCAATTTTGAACAATCAATTCTTCTTACAAAAGTCATAAGTCGTAAAACACGATAAACTTCAAGCCAACAGAGGAAGTTGTTAAAATACTACTTTGAATTATAACTGTCCTTAAAATTTGTTAAACTTTTGTAGTTCATGATTAATTTACTTAACGAGTTTCATTATATTTAATTTATAAATACAAAGGTAACAAGTAGTTCTATTCTAACATATAAAGAAAATATAAACTTCCTTTAGGGGTACTGAAAGTGGTTGTAGAAAATGTAAGCATTATTTCCCACCCTTTTTCATAAATTTAAATAACTAATAGAATCTTTGTATTTATACCAAATAGATGAGAGTTTTGGTTGTAAAATGATATCGGAATGTATGTGTGATTTTTATCAAAATTGTTTTAATAACAACAAACATTGTTTTAGGTTGAGAAAATTGTAACAATCATGTCACATCCGAGACAATACAAAATTCCCGACTGGTTCCTCAACAGACAGAAGGATATTGTTGACGGCAAGTACAGCCAACTGACATCATCTAACTTGGACTCGAAGCTTCGTGAGGATTTGGAGAGATTGAAGAAGATCAGGGCTCACAGAGGCATGCGTCACTACTGGGGTCTCCGAGTGCGCGGACAACACACCAAGACAACCGGCAGACGCGGTAGAACCGTCGGTGTGTCCAAGAAGAAGTAAAATAAATAAATAACTTTATTCTCATAAACATTCTTTTATTCACTGACTTACATTTCTCGATACTCTTTGTAAAACTTATCTAAATTTTTTTTCATACAAATCATATTGTTTTGCTCAAATTATTACTAATAATTAAGGAACCGAACAATTTATATTATTTAATTTTTTTTTATAAGCAACTATTAACCTAAGCGACAATTATTTACAACATGGTTAAATGCTCAGTATATATATTGTTCATGAGGAATTAATAAATGTTCATTTGTGATGTTAAATGCTATTTACTAAGAATTCATTATCAATTATGTACAATATATACAAACAAATATTTATTCATATTGTGCTATTATAACCATCATGTATACTCCAGCTAACAGTGCGAGTATTTCTTTGATAGACTGAGACAGTTTGTTAGATCCTTCTAAGAGTTCTGGTATCACTGATACAGTGGCTATGTATATGAAGCCGCCGGCCGTAAATGGAAGGATGAGTGAAGAGACTAGGCCATCTCCCGACCCTTGTAGATATATTGACAAAACGGTTCCAGAAATAGCTCCAAATGCTGTCAGTAGTTGTAGCATCATCGCCTTCCTTCTTGAACATCCTGATTGCACAAGGATAGCAAAATCACCAATTTCATGAGGAATTTCATGCAGCAGAATAGTAATAGTTGTAATGATTCCAATGCTTTGTCCAGCGATATAAGCAGCTCCGATTGCCAGGCCATCAGTGAAGTTATGAGTAAAGTCGGCAGCAAGATTAAGATATCCGGCTATTTTTATTTCTTCCTTTTTGTTCTTCTGTGACTTCTTATTGTTAGTATCAGATTTCTTTTTCTCTGGTCCATGAGAGTGACCGTGTCCTCCATCACATAAGCGAACAGCTTTTTCCACAACCAAAAAAGCAATAATGCCTCCTAGGACACCCAACCCAACAGTAATATCATGGGGTTCGTGTTGATCTTCATGGGAGTGGCTGTGGCTGTGACTATGGCTATGTCCCTCTGCCCCATGAGCAGGCATGAGAGCGTGTGGGATAAGATGTAAAAAGGCATCTCCTAATAGACCACCAGAAGCGAAAGATAACAATATTTTCAATAGCGGTTGTTTTTCCACAGTACCGTCAATCGGTATAAAGAACAAAATGAAGAAGGGTACAATACTGATAAATACGGTAGAACTTAAAGCTCTCACATATAAGTCATAGTTGGACTCCTGAGGAATGTTTTTCTTGATTTCTGGCTTTTCATTTGCCTGTTTGCTGTATTTAAATGCTGGAGGTTCATCGTTGTGCGAGTGAGAATGTGAGTGTCCATAAACTGTGTACAGGAGCGTCACTACAAGTAAACATATCAAAAACTTCTTACACATGTAGATCATTTTTGCAATTACACACTTATTGTAAATACATTAATTGATATCCAGGTATATCTATACCGCTATCAGATTTAGGACACTATGTCAATACTTTTAGACGTATCTTTTCAACCGCTGACGTGAATTTTTATTGACAGTTCTGTGGTTGACGTGCCCTACGTTGCGATTTGTTGACACATTATTTATGATTACGACATTATATAGCTTATAATTCACGAATCCAATCTAATTTGGGTTTCAGATAAACTAATTAACGCTTAGAAAGAGTAATAATTTTTTTTATGACTACCATTAAAATTTGTGTATAAATTTCTTATTTTAGATTCCGTTCATATATCTTTGGCAGTATGTAACAGATCGTTGCCTTTAAAAAAGAAAGAAATTATCTGCAAGTGCAGTTTAATGCTATTATAATTGCCTGTACAATTGACAAACAAAGGGGGCAGATAGGATAATTGTTAATTAATATTTAAAAGATTTATTAATTTGTGATGTGATTTTGTAATGTAATTCTATATATTTTTAATTGTTCGACGATCTTAATATACATAACGTTATACAGTATGTAATATGTAAAATAATTATAATCATCAGTATGTTTTTTACTTTATTTTAAACCTACTCAATGTTATAGACTTTCATAATATTTCTTTTAATTTCCTACTTATGCTTAAAGGTCAACATTAAATTTTTTACTGTTGTAAGTAGTAATATAATATTTTTGTAATTATAGTAATATATAACTTGATATATTTTATATGAAGATATTTTTTTCTCTTGTATTTTTAGCAAAATGGATAATCCAGAATCTAGCTCATCGACGCGACTGAACCAAGATCCACCTACATCTTGGTGTCACCCTGCTCATAGAGTTCACAGATTTTTAGCTCTTATTCTTATGTGTTTCCTTTGTTTTGGTAAGTGATTACAGATTTTAGTAGCCATACTAAAGTAACTATTATATGAATATTTGGAATATGATAGGTAGATCAGGGCATAGACTGTTCTAGATTGTCTAAAATAGTATACAAAAAATTATTAACTATATCATCTATGTTGCAGGTTCATATTTCTGTTATGATACACCGGGCGCTCTGGCCGACAACTTCAAAGGTGACTCACATCTAAACACATCCCAGTTTGCGCTGCTCTACTCTATATACTCATGGCCTAATGTAATATTATGCTTTATTGGCGGTTATCTCATTGATAGGTTTGTTTACTTCCATATACATATGTTTATAACGATAACATATTATATATGTTAATTAATTTATTTATTATGAAGATATTTACTGATGCTCTTCTTAAATAAGTTTATTGCCCTCTTCTTGTTTGTAATGTTGTTCAATGTTTTTATATTAGTTTATTTCCTTATTTAATTTCAGATATTTTGGTGTGAGATTGGGTACAATAATTTATATGACCATAGTATTCATTGGAGCAGTGGTTTTTGCTTTTGGAGTTTACATTAATCAATTTTGGCTCATGATACTTGGAAGATTTATATTTGGGTACTTATTGAAATACACAATCAGATTATAATTACACAGATTATCATATTATTGAGAATGGTGTTAATAAATCCTCTTTTTATGTTTAGTATCGGCGGGGAGTCTTTACAAGTAGCGGTTAACAACTATGTAGTTCTTTGGTTCAATGGAAAGGAACTTAATATGGTGTTTGGACTACAATTGTCGTTCTCAAGATTTGGTAGTACTGTGAATTTTTGGGTCATGGAACCTATTTACAAATGGGTGGCTACCTATTATTCCGGCTATGAGAAACTTGGTGTAACTTTGTTTATAGGTTTGTAAACAGTTTTTAAACAAAAGCACTCTGAATTATTGACATTGTATTCTTATATAATTATTTTTAACACACAAAGGCATGAATTATATTGATTTTTTTATTTTTCTATATTAACTTTATTTTTCCTTCTATTTTTAATTTCAGCCTCATTAACCTGTCTCGGTTCTCTCATTTGCGGTCTGATTCTGGGTTGGATGGACCATAGAGCTGAGAAAATGTTAAACAGACAAGAAGCTCAAGCTAAGGACGAACCATTCAGACTCATTGACATATTCAACTTCAAGCCAGTGTACTGGCTCGTGTGTGTTATATGTGTGGCCTATTATTTGGCTATATTCCCTTTCATTGCATTGGGAAAGTAAGTCTAAAGTTGTTTTAATATTTGATATAAATTTTATAGCCACTTTTATTAACATTAAATACTCTTTTACTTACCATCATATTAGCCGTAATCTACAAATATGCCTCTGATTAAAAATCTGAAATATATTTATAAAGACAAACTACAACAAAATATACATATTTCGTTAAAAAATTTCAGGATGTTTTTCGAAAGGAAATTCGACTTTATGCCTCAAGATGCTAACACAGTCAATTCCATGGTATATCTGCTGTCTGCGGCACTGAGTCCATTTTTCGGTATCCTCATAGATAAGACTGGTAGGAATGTAACTTGGGTCATACTCAGTATAGTTACAACTATTGGATCACATTTCCTGTTGGCATTCACATTTATCAATCCGTATGTTGGAGTGGTAAGCAGTTTTTCTATATATTATGTAGCACTTAGATTGTTACAAAATATTATATAACTTTGTGCTGATGTATGTAAAATGCTTTAAATAATTTTGAAAGAGAGCTGATACTCTTAAATTGCTGGACTGGTCTTGACCAAATATAGCTAAGAACCACTGCAAAAAAAAAATAGCTTTCAATTTAAAAAAACCGCATCCAAATGGGTCGATTCGATTGAGAGCTACAATAACACATATATACAGACATCACACATATATCAAACTTATAGAACTTATCTGTTGGTGTGGGGGGGTTAAAATATTATTATAACCTTTCGCCGACATAGGATAATTCTATTTAAATTTCGACAAGGTAATGTGTGGCTTATATGTAATTAATACTACATATAAGTAGTATATTCATATTTATATGTTTAAGTAAGCATCTTGTCATAACGAAAATATTTAAGGTGTTTTTGATACTTACCTGTATGATCTTTCTAAGTTATTATGTTAAAAACAATTATTATACAATTATAATTTTTGAATTCTTTCATAATTTTGTATATAATTTTTCAGATGTCATTAGGAATTTCCTATTCCTTGCTAGCCAGTGGTCTGTGGCCGCTCATTGCCATGATTGTACCTGAGAATCAGTTGGGAACAGCATATGGCATGTGAGTTATATAATTAAATATGTAGTATGGCTTTTTATATCAAGTGCTTACATTAATTGGATGAAAGTTCAAAGTAATACTTTAAGCAGGCGTTCCCAACCTTTTTTCTTTATTGCTCACTCTGAGAATAAATTAAATTTTAAAGCACCCATTTTTTTGCCTACTGAAAAACCATTATAACTTATCCTAGTTGTAATGAAATTTATATACAAGGACCTCATTTTTTTCTGGGTCTCGAAGCATTCCCTATAGGTCTGCAATACCCTCAAGGGTGCTTTATCACCCAATTTGGGATTGGCTGCTTTAAAGTATCAATATTCAGATGTACTATTTCTGTTACGTTTTTATATTTTTTGAGTATTCATAGTTAATTAATTTGTTTCAGATCTCAAGCCGTCCAAAACATGGGTCTGGCCACAGTTCTCATTTTAGCTGGAATCATTGTTGATAAATATGGATATTTGATGTTAGAAATGTTTTTCCTGGGATGTCTCTTCAGTAAATACTATGGAATAATTAATATACATATAATTTTTACAATAAGAACCTTTTATATAACATAAATTTTATTTTGCAGTCTCTTTGATAGCTGGTGTTGTTATATATATCGTGGATTCAGCAAACAATGGTATTCTCAATCTCTCTCCAAGTGTCAGGGAAGCTTATTTAAATAAGTAAGCATGGTTTATTTTAATTAAATTTAATCTTTAATTCTTTGTACAGTTGTTATATGTTAATGGTTAAAAGTAACTATTGGAAAAAAGAGTTAAGGTACAAATACAATCTAAATAGTTGTATCAACTTTTAGAGAGATGTATAGAAATCTAGTACTAATAAGTATTTTTATAACGATTTTTTTGTTCAGGTCAGCAAACCGTGCTGAAGAGACAGCCAATCTCCTAGATCACGTGGACAGCTCGGATCAAGAAGAAGTTGACTCGCGATTGACCAATCAGCAGAGCTCCCAATTGTCCAATCAGAACGCTGGAATCGAATCGTCCGGGGATTTCCCGCGGGACCCTGCGCAGGCGCATTCCGACAGAATACGATCTAGATACATATCGCAACTACTGCCCTCTACCATTCCAGACAGATCCTAATCATAGATATTTTGTAAATAACTTAAATAAGTATAATGTAATTTGTATTATCTTTTTTTTAACTATTATTATTATGACGATATAAATTATTGATTATATGCAATAAAAGATTTGACGTTGACTGTGTACATTTATTTGACAATAAGCTTAATTTATTAAATAATTTTCAATATAAATGATGGACTGAAACGTTAATAATGCTCAAGTTCGGTAATATTTAAGACAATTCAAGAATCGTACGTAAAATTCGTTCACATAAATATATTACTATATAATTGGCTACTATATTAAAAATTACAATTAAATGGATTTATAGTAGTAATAACTCAAAACCAGTAAGTCATTTTCAATGTTCCGTCGATGTCCCTCTGTGTTTCCAACGTGCTCGCCTGTCTCACGAGTTTTTTCATTGAACTTCTTCGTATCGGTAAATCGTCTAATGTGTCTTCCATTAACGGAGCCTGTGTTAGTTCCATTTGATCCAAGTTTTCATACGAATCTGCCTCTGGTACGCCACTTTTGTAAAATAAAACGCGTTTTAAGCAATATAAATCAAGATATGGCTTCCGTATTAACGGATGAGCCGCGATCAATGTAATTTCTTTTATAAGGTTTGTACTTTGTAGCTTTGCAGTTATATTAATGTACTAGACTTAAAATTTAAAAGAATTATATTTAAATCAATAATCCAGATTGTATAGGGAAAATACATAGATATAATAATACACATGTATTTGATATGTATAATTTATGTTAAACTATTATGTATTGTATTTGCATCTTATTAAGGATGCATTCAATATATCATAGTATTAAATAGTAAATTATAGGGTTTATTTAATTTATTTATTATTAAATTGTAGTTGCAATTTAATTTGTGATTAAACAGGTAATATCTGAATTCCATTAGGTTTATGTCATTTTGTTTAAGAAAATATTTCGTAATTGTAAAAATATAACATTATATAAAGTTATATTCTATCTGAATCTTTCAAAAATATTTTTCCGGTTAGTAAAAATAGTTTTGCAGAAAAAGCACCACAGTAGATTAGTATAATAATAATACACGATAAACTCTTGATACTGCATACAAGAGAGTCTTTTAGGAATTTTCAACTATTCCTTTGAAATTGAAGTAATTAATTATCCAATATTACTTAAAAAATTAAACCTTTATATTACAGATACAATAAAAATTTGGTAGTTAGCCATGATAACTCAAATATATGAATAAATAAATATCTCACCCGGGTCCTCCACAAGCGCAACAGTCTTTGTAGGTCCAATCCTTTCCAAATTCCTCACCTTCCTCCGCTGTTTGCGGCAAAGGACAATGCAACGTTTCTGGTAGTCGTAGAGCTGTGATACCACCTACCACTGACAATGCACCCATTAGAAATAATGGCAACACTAGATTGCTGGTACCCTAAAAATATGAATTAAAAAAATCACACTATAAGACCTGAACCCACTAAGAAGGTTTTACGTATATGTTTTTTAATCTTACCAAATAGTTTATAAATGGAATTACAATCAGCCCCAAGCCACCAATGTAAGCTGACGTCCCAATGCCTATACCCCTCAGTTCGGTCGGGTACAGCTCACCAGCATACGGGTATATGATCAAGAATGACGCAGATATAAGTGATTTTGATATTAAATAGAGTACAAGAGTCTCGGTCTCCGCATCTACAACATTGTTTTGTGTTAATTAATATAGAAAAGTTTTTAGAATTGTTTTAGACATTACAAAAACGTAAATGGATCACAGCTAGGAATATAATAACCGTTGAATTTAAGAGAAACACTCAACGTTCTAGTGATACTATGCTTTAAAAATACTTTATTAGTACAAATATTACTACTCTATTAATACGAACATCTCACAGCCACAACAACATTTTCATAATTATACTTTACATATGCAGTAACATAATATTAAACCACAATTTGTCCTTATCATTAACATTTTATGTTTTATAGGATTTTTTTTAAATTTTATATTTACATTTTACACCTTACTATTATAATTTACAGTTACATATGTATATTTTACTTAGTAAATTTTTTGAACATAAAAAATGTGAATGCTAAAAAAATTATTAAGATAACTATATTTATTCGTAAAAACTATAACTAACAGTACAGTTGTTATTAATAATATATTTAATATTTTATAAGTATACTACCGCTTGGTAGGAGAACTGTGATCATACAGAAAATTCCACTGATGACCATCGATAAACAAAGTGGCCATCGTCTCCCAACTTTATCCATTAAAATCCAGCAGATAATATAACTAGGAATTTCTACAGCGGACGAGAGAAAAAAACTCATGTACTGGTTGCTTCCCATTGAGGGTCCATAATAACTTAAACCTACGTACACCATCTCTGACGCACACCAATTTAGTGTGATTAAAATAGTTTTTAGTCTTAAATTAGGCGTTTTGCATAAAGCGAAAACGCTAGGTGCCTTTGTTTCTTTTAATCCATGTTCTTTTTGATCTAAAACTTGTCTTTGAATCTTTTCCGTGTATTCCACTGGTAATTCTTTACCATTAATTCTTGCTATTGTTTGTAATATTTTATTTGCTTCTTCTAATCTCTCCATCATAAGTAACCAGCGCGGAGATTCAGGTAATATGAACCAATAGAGATAGTAAAAGAAGAATGGCACTGACGTTGCTAGTGCAAGTTGTTTCCAATCACGCAACATATAAGTTACGCCGGATAGTAGAATTAGACCCAGAGTGTAAAATATGCACGTCATTACAGTGACAAAGGATCGGTAATTAGGTCCTGCTAGTTCCAAAGCTACAAAAACACAAATAGGTTGTTATTCGACGTTGAAAAAATTCTATTATGTATGGATATATGTATACTCACATATTATAAAAGGTATTTGATAAACTGCTGGAATAGTCAGACCCACGATGACCCTAGCCAATACCCAAAACCAATATGCCTGTGCATACGCTGTCATCATGCTTCCAAGCAAAAGTGTTGACAAACAGGCGAAGAAGGATTTTTTTCTCCCTATTCTGTCATTCAATATACCGAAAGAGTATACTCCTATTGGTCCACCGATATTTAGTGCTACTAAACCAAGCGTCGGATAAACATCGTACTCACAAACTAAATCGAACTGGGAAAATATAATAAATATTATGTGTTACATTGGTTTACTGTTACATATATATTTTCATGGTTATGATATCTATAAAGCATATACTTTAAATATTGTTCTTGACGGCAACTAATAGTTTCAGTAATGAAAATAAGTCTGGTCCTTAATTTAATTTATTACGTATTTTATAAGAGGGGTCAAGGTTGTCTTTATTGTATCCTTGATATGATAAAGCAGTGGTTCGAAAGGTAAATCTAAATATATAAGAATAAAAAGTTAAAACGAAATATATAAAAAAACTTACATCAATTACAATGGAAGATTGCACTTCAGATGTATCATATTCATAGCCATCAAGACAAGGCTCCACAGGCCAACTTTCATTCACTTTAATTGTTCCACCATTACTTAATATACTTTTCCAATTTACAGAATAACGGACACAGTTTTCGAAAACTGTATTATTATCTCCATCTACCTAAAAATATGAACGTGTATTTTCTGGACCGCTATTTATTACCTTACGTCTTATAAGCTAAAAGTTTTTTTACCTTCCTTGGAATAGACAACATTTTTCGATTTTCTACAGTCATATTACTCAATTCAGGTACTCTGCACCAGTGATCTGGAGTGTCTGTCATGAAGAGTTGGTTGAATGCACAGAATCCACACGGCAAACAGGCGGGCAAGCACACAAACCACAATAGAAACTTCTGATATATTCCGAATTCTCCGATTTTTGGGAGCACATCATCCAAATCGATGGTGTCATCATTATTTTCTTTAACCTTTATAAAATTTTACAATATTTAGAAACATACAGGAACACTACGGAATATTTTGTTTAGAAATGTTACCGGTGACTTTTCTTTATTGTATTGGTCGGTATGATTCGTAGTTTTAGGCATTATGTTTGTTTATTTTTCCGCACAAGAGAACAGATCACCACAAGTCGTTATACTACACTAGTTGTTATTAAGCTACCTTGGTATTGGCGGAAGCCGTATAATATTAATCTAATTGATTAAAGAAAACGCTATATATACATGGACATAGTACAAAATGTGACCCATTTAATCGTGTATAATTTTAGGGTATCCTTATAGAAAGAAAGAATAACAAACCAAAATCTTTCTTCTATCACTGCGAATTGAATACTGATTACATATATAAAAAAAATATATTCCATTGATTTAGTTACATATAAATATATACTTGTCTTTTTTAAAAAAAATAATTAAATTTACGTATATGTAAATGATTTAAAATATAACAATATTTATTGTCATATAAAAGTTATTAAATATATGTCACGTTTAGCTATCTTGTATTACCTACTCATTAAAAATGCTAGATTTATCAACATTAATAATTATTGAATATTGATTTTAATAAAGACGAGATAATCTAACATTTGTGTATGATCCGAGTTGAACGTTTGATTGGATTACAAGATGCAGTTTTGGTTTGGTATGTAAATATAATATAGTTATATACCAAATATTATGTATAATATGATAAAAAAAATTTTTTAGGTACCTATAGAGATCAGATTATTACGTAATGAATTAAACAATAAAATTTTGTTCTAATTTATAAGTGTAACGGTAATGACAGGTAGTAGATAAGTCATTTTTAAACTTCAAATAACGTTTAAATTATCACGATAGGACGATTAACAGGAACTCAGTAACTGATCAAAACAAAAACAAAAAACCTGAATTGAAAACAGTTTGACGCGATTTTGAATTTCCAAAAATTCAAACATAAATTTCGTCTATTTTGTAATAAATCTTAAATTACCGTTAGTCATTTTATCTTGATTTGAAAATTGCTATAATAAACAGCATAGGGTATAAATGGCATAATACCGAGCATGGCGTACAATCTAAGTTATTCCAAAGATTTGCAATTTTGTAAATATAATCACGTTTGATTGAAAGCGTTATTTTAGATAAGTGCCTCTCTCAAAATAAATAACTTAATTCCAATTGTTTGTATTGCTTGCAAAATATTGTTGTAGCCTGTAAGAAGCTGTTTCTTACGACGTATCTGAGTATTAAACATAAATTAGAAAGAGCATTTTCAAAACGATGTCGAGTATCATTTCATTAAAACAGACATGATTAGGTATTTTATCCAAAAATGGTACTGTAAGAAAGAAACATATTTTTTTCTTCACCATCGGAAAATAGAGATTTCAACAAATTGAATACATACAAAATTTTTGAAAATAGCTGATATTTTGACGGGTGATTTTTCGATTGAAAATGAGTCTGATTTTTGGATATTTATTCAAAATAAGCTGTAAAAATAAATATTTCTAATCAAATAAATTACAGTGTATCTGTAACACCAAAATAAAAGTTTTCACCAAATTTCGTGACAAAATATTGATTTTTGTAAGAGATAAAAATAAAAAACCACAACTTGGTTTTTCGAATTTTTCACATAAATTTTGAGGTTATGTGAAAAAAATGTTAGTACAAAAATTTTAGATCTTTTTATTTCCTGCAACTTTGCCATATAACATTTTTCCGTAGGACTTTAAGTTTTGCCGGAAATCGAGAAAACCCATTTTTTACCCTTAAATACCCTTCCCGACCTCAGATCGCCCGTAAATTATTTTTCCTTTAATTTTTATAATATTTCCCTCCTTTTCTAATGAGTTTCATTCTACTTTAATTTATTTTCACTTTTTATTAACTTTAAAGGCTTCTGCACTGGCCTATAAAGTATTCTTTGATCTTTTTTTATTGTGTTACTTCTTCTAAAATTGTTTAAAGCGGTTGTGGAATCTTAATAGATGTAACTGGCTTTTATTATTATTTCAAAGTCACTGTTGAATAAATTTCTTTCTCGTGTAAGATTTCATTTGAATGCTGTGTGTACCGCTTGGTTGATAACTTGATTTTTTTATTTCGTTAAGCTCATTTTATTCCTTTTCGACGTAACATAGGAAGAAGATAAGAAGATACGATAAAAATTACTTTAACAATAATTCTTGCAAAATTTTGATTTCATAAAAGTAGAAGATGTCTTAAGCAGAGCTGTTTGTTTTGCTAGCGATTTTAACTTCATACCTTTGCGTTTTCCTGTGAGAACGGGATATGGACCTTGAGAATATTTAAAATAACTTCATATTGCAAGTTTGTATATTGCAAACACAGTGTCTAAGAGTACCTTAAGCATGAGGTAAATAAGAATATCCATTAATGAATAAGGAAAAGATACATTGCATAATATAAAATGACAAAAACGTTCTGGTGCCTGACATAAATCACGGCAAGGATAATGCTTTAGTTTAGTGTGTATGTAAATTGCAAAATATCTTCGATCTGGGTTTATTTGAAAGAAGTTAATAAGCCGTCGTCAGCTAACAAGTATTTTTTTTTAAATAAATGAATAAAATATATTCATTGGTTAACTAAATACAAATAATAAATTATTTTGCCAAATCGCTTCATACTAAGCACTTGTGTTACATGACAATTGACATTGCTTTTTGTAAAATTTATTTTTATTGGCACAATTTTAGGATTATAGGCCAACATGTCACATTTCATTTCGAATGTCAAGATATTAAAAAATAGTCTTATAATATTATTTTATAATATGTAGGGCATTGATTTATTATTGTTTGATAGACGTACATCAAAATTATACTATAACATGTCGGATTTCGTCGACAGAGGTATGGAACCCGAAAAAAAATTCATAATGATTTTAATAAAATATTTTATTTGTGAAACGTAGATAAAATTGATACAAGTAATTAAAACTCTTAAATATAACTTAATGTTTTTCACATAATAATAATGAAATTGTGAAAATTGTCTTACTTTTGTAACAATTTATGTTTGCGCGTTTTTTACCACAACTCTCTTAATAGTAAGTTGACAACAATCTCCCACACTATAAGTTTAATAATAAATATATTTAAAATTTCTTATACAAATTCTACATATAGTTACAAGAAATTGACATCATAATTACAACACAAAACTACATTCTGTATAAAACATTGTCAATTAATTTTAAGTACTTAGACAAATCTTCGATTTTCGATTGACCATAGACAATTTTTATTTTATTACCAATGAAGGTATCATTAATCTAAGTTTATAAATGTATGGTAAAAAATTCCATTACAAAATTTTAAATAAAATATAACATAGACACAAAATTTAATAAACAGTTAAAATGTTAACAACAAAATGCCGACATTGGCCTTGTGAATAAACATAATCCATAAATACATGCATAAAACAATTAATCTCTTAAGTTTGATTAATTAACGAATACCAGAAAAAAAATCTGTCTCCAAATAGAAATCTTTTAAATCAATCTCAATATTAATAAGTAAGTATGAATGAGTTGCCACAAATATGTAAAAAAGGGAAATCAAAATAATTTTAACAGTTTTCTGTGTAATGCATTTTTGTTACTAATTTATTCAATCGCATGTTTCACTTATACGTAGGTATTTTAATAAGGCAAGCTTTTAACATTACAGTACGAGGAAAACCTACAATATGCAGGTTTAAATAAATCGTGCTCCTTACAATCGAAGTTTTCGCTTAGTGATCACAAAATTCTCACTCTCACACCAACAGAACTTTTTTGGACGAGGGTGGGGCTATTTGCACTTTAATGTATAAATTTGTCTTGTTACACACTTTCACAACTTCTATAAAAATCACTAGCAAATCGAAGTACTTAACAAATTAGACGTTCCAGAGATGTTATCATGTTATTTATAAGAGGGTTAAGAGACGTTTGTACAAATGATATTATTTGCACGTTATGTTCCATAAGATGTTTTCGATGATTTTTGATATTACAACAAAAATTATATACACGATTGAAATAAAATGGAGGCGAACCCGCCCCGCCCGCCGACGCTACGTCAGCAGTTTAAAGAACATGATCCCTAGCGAGATGTTTATGAACAATACCAGAATTACTAACTGCTGACGTGAAAACCAGTCCTGAAAGAAGAGAAACAGATTGTTTTATTGACAATATATAAAACAGTAAGAATATTAAATGATAAAAGCGTAAAATATATCACCAATCTCCATAGTAAAGATTAAGTAAAAGTGTGGACTGTACCTTAACTTGCGGACTGACTAAGTAGAGGAGAGGGTTGGCTCTCAGTTTCTCTGTCTCTTCGTGCATGCGTCGGACTTCCTCTCTACGAGCGGAGCCGAGGGCGGAGACTTCTTCCCGAGACATGCCACCACCGTCAGGCAGGCGTGGCATGGCAGCAACGTCCGGGAGCGACTTCTTGCGTTGTAAGGTCTGCGGGGTGCTCAGTATCTGAAAATTTGTTCAAATGAGATGTAGTTTTACATTAGTGAACTTTGTTATTTGAATATTTTTATTATCAATAACTGTAAAAAACTGCATAATCATTGTTTAAGGAATCGATACAGTTAAAATTTCTTGGGATTCTTTGCTTTTAGGTTTTGTTTTTTGATGAACCTGAAATGTGGTGATATAGGTTTATTAAACGGAGTACTCAAGTTTAGTAGAAATATGTATGATGTATGGTGGACTGATGAATGATAGAAAATTGTTTATCCCAATTACAAACTTCACTCGTCTTTAAAAGAAAATGAGGCATTTATACCGGTCTAAATTTTTTACCTCTACGGGAGGCACATTTATCCAACTTTCGGACGCGCGCCGCGCGAGTATGGCCGGTGAGCACATAAGATCGTCATCTTCTTCTTCATCGGCTTGGTACCACATTTCGGAATAATTTTATGATCGATTAAACTGTATGACTTTTTAATAAATTAATATTCCATGTTTCCCAAATACACACTTGCTGTGGATTATTTAATCAGAAATATTTTATTTATCGAACAATCACAAATACTGTCTATTTATATAATTAGCGAGGAGATGGTGCGCTGAAAGCGGCAGCGAATGACTGTCTCAATTTAGAAATAGAACAGGCTGGCGGACTGTGCTCCGCCGCCCACCGCCTACACGACGTAACACGCAACTACCCGGTACTTTCCATACATATCACACGGCTATCAAGACTTTATAAGAAATGTTTATGGCAAACCGAATTGTTGTACACTATCTTTTGATTTCCAATTGGTTCAGCTCTTGTACGTTATCTATTATTTAGATTATTTGCACCAAAAATTTTATATATCTACGTATGTGTGGCCGTTTTTGAAAGCTGTTTTTTTATAAAAATTGAAACGTTGTTTCGTTTTTGCCAATATAAGTTGTCTATTTATTATTTTAATAGTATAAAAACACATAAGAATTCGTTGTTATAGCAATAAAAATGTCTTTTATTATATAATGAAGTTATAGTATCAATATTGAAATCAATCTGAATTTATTATAGCTTTATTAGTGTATGAATAAACAGAGAACGGATGTTTTATTAGCTTATAGCATATACATGACGCTGTAACTTTTTATAGTTTCAACCTTAATGGAATAAAAGGACGCAAACAAATTTATCTTATGATATATGTGAACTCATCATTTAACTTGATTATCATGATAGAAAAACAGTAATTTTACCTTTCTACCACCGCCACCTCCACCCATTGGCACAGCGGGGGGCGGCGCTGGATTTTGTGTGACATATAAACTTTCTGTTCGTTTTGGTTGATAGGGCGAAGGAGATATGTCCTGTCCAAGATTTCGCTTTCGCAAAAGTGAGTCCTCGAAAGGTTGGGGCTCTCGTGATGATGCTCGTGAAATGGAACCGCGGCCAGACGCTAAATGTCCATTGCCGGCTGGAGTTGCAGCTCGAGAGGCAGGTCGTGATAGAGGAGGTGGTTGTGGTGCTACAGAGCCGGCTCGCGAGCCACTACCAGGAGGAACGGCTTCAACTGACGGCTGTCTTGATCGTCTGCCATAACGATCTACACTGGAGTCTCTACTGGGCGGCCGTTTGTAGTGGTCGAAATAATCAATTGATGTCCGAGGCCCTTGTCGACCGTCACGATCGCCATTCATTCCTTCTTGTTCAGCTGAACCAGCTTGTCGATATAAGGGTTGATCAACGGCTTGTTGGCGGTACATTTGTCGGTCTGGTGTTTGTCTGTAACCTGATTGCTCTGCTGGTAGTTGACGGTACATTTGTTGGTCTTCTTGCTTGTACATTTGTTGATCCATTTGTTGTCGGTAACCTTGGTTTTCTCCGGTTTGACGGTACATTTGTGACTCTGTATTTAAAGCGCTTTCAGAATGAATTGTTCCCGTTCGAAGTTCGTGCCTGCCGTAAGAAGCAGTACCGCTATCGACATAGGCGTTACCTTGAGGATCGTGGGTTGGTTGTGCAAGAATGCTTTGTCTTCTAGTCAACCCTGACGAAGCGTTCCATTCCTGAGATGACGGTTGTGTATTAGGAGGACGGACAGAAGATGAAAATCTTCGATTTTGGTTTAGATATTGTTGGTTGCTTTGGTCTATGCTTTGTTGCTGTTGTAATCGGTGTAGTTGTTGGGAATAACTATCTGGAGGTGAAACACTATGTCCCACAGTAGGATCTATAGGTCCATAAGATTTTTGATTTGACAATTGATTTTGTGATATGCTCGGATTTGTCCAAGAGTCTTGATTAGGTTTATACATTTGATCGTAAGAAGGACCAAGATTTCTCTCATTAGGATTATAGGTATTGGGGTTATTTTGAATTCTGGAATCAACTTGATGGCCAGAATTCGGATATTGGGCAGATGGTCTTCTAGAAGACATAGCATTTGGCATTTTATTCATTTGTGGAATCTGTGAATGCATCGGAGGGATATGATTTGGAATGCTCTTTCCTTCTTGTATTTTATCAGATTCTTGTGAAACAGCAGTGATCTGTGGTTCGAAAGATTTTTGCCTATACTTTTCTCTTAATCCTATACGATCAAAACCAGGATGCTTAAAGTCTGGTGCGAACTGCTTGGCAGTTGATTGTGCTATATCACAGTCTTCTTTAGCTTGGTCTGCCGATTCATCGGCTTGTTCTGCTTTGCCTCGCGCTGTAGCGGTCCTGTTGAAGACATTTATACATAAAACATTAATAAATTTTTTCTTAATTTATATGTAAATGGTTTATCTTAGCAATTAATAACATACCTAGAGATAGCAATGTCCGCTTTTTGTAGTGCTATTTTTGAAGCACGTTGAGCTGCATTTACCGCTGAATCAACTCGTTCTCGAAATTTAGCCGAACGCATGAGAAACATATGTTTGCGTTTTTGGCTAGTTATAAGAACGTTGTTTTTGTATTTGCCCTCCTCCCTGGTCCCATCTCTAAACGTTGTCACACCGTAGCCGTATTTTCGGTTCGCAAACCACTCGCCCTCGTACCGGAGACCGTCACTCCGTTCACTAACACCAAAACCCGTCCGTTTATCATTCTTCCATTCGCCCATATATGATTCTGTCACACTTGCATCAAGATGCTCGTCCTGTCAAAAAAGAATGATGTATAAATCATAAACACTTAAACTACTATATAAGAAAGTAATATCAATGAATGCATTTATTTTTTGTTTTAGATAAATAATGTTACCTCGACAATGAAACTGGTATTCGAGTTGGTGTGCAGTGATCCTCGTGTAGTCGCTGAATGTGTGCTCTCGACTGAGGACACCCATGATGATGCAGAGCCCCCGGAACCTCCTGATCGCACCGACCCCGTACCGCGTTTGTCCAGTTCACCCGCACTACGTTGTTTGCGAAGTTTCTATAAACAAATATACATATAATCAATTATTTTTAAAGCATCGAAAATACTTCCATAACCATGTTGAATATTTTCAAATGAAATCCAATAGACGACTACTAAAGTGTTGGATAACAATACATATTTTTAAGTACTTTATAGTAGTAAAGTGTTTAACATAATATTTAAAGAATAAAATCAGTTCAATAGTGAATTAATACTTAGTTGAATTTTGTAATATTGTGTACGTATTATCTATAAGACACAATTATATTAATTAGACTGATTAAACAGTTAACATTATGAACGAACTAATTGCAATTGATTTCTTAATATAATTATTAATAGAGGGGAACATTTTAAAATAAGGATATACGTTTTCTTAATGATAAATAGGAATATACTGAAAAATTATAATGAGATTACTGGAGTCTTAATAAAATGTATACATATATTGTTATAAATAAATACTGTTCGAAAAAATTACTCTATCATTTGAACAATACTTCTATGTTACAGTTTAAGTTATATGTGTAAAAATAAATAGTTTTATATGTTAGAAAACCCAAAATGTGTAAGTAATAAGTAAGAAATATATATGACGAAATTTTGTAAATAAAATTATTTATAAAGATGATAAAGTATTCGTTTGATGTATTTCATCCTTACAGCAAGCAGTCCCTTTTTAGTTTTTTCAACGAGAGATCCTCGTCTGCCTGAAGGTTCGTCTGAGCTTGCTTTAAGGACGAAGCCTCCCCTTGCTTCATCCATGCGCGTGGTACGCCGATCTGAAGGATCAGGTGTTCCGGTAGCCTCCGCCAAAGAAGACAGCGACCCTCGATGGTGTCCACCACCTCGGTAGTGAGATGCCAGCCCAAAAGGAGCCGACGTCCGCACTCCATATCCATGTCGAAGTCCCCGCATCCATTGCCCTTGATAAGTTCCTGTGGAAGAAAACACGTGTTATAGAAACAAAATTCCTGCCAGTATTACGCGATTTTAATTTTAGCATCTGACATCCATTGTAGTACGGTCTGCGGCGGTATTTAATTATTGCTAATGACTCAAGTGTCTTTGATTCGAGTTTTTTTTATAAAGGCATGAAACGAGCCGTCGGCATGATTGTGTAGAGGCGTGCGGGGCGTGCCTGATCTATATTTAAACCGCAAGGGCCGTGGACGGCGGCCGTGCTGCAGGGCCTTACTCAAAACTATTAAATTATACAAATATTAATTAAGCGTCTCACACCATCTTTGCCGAGTTGCTGTGAAGCGGAATTTCCGAATACTCAAATCTAACACATGAAAATAACAGAAAAGGTTCAGGAGGAAATGTTGATATTTCCTGTTAGCTCTCAACGGATGAAGAATATGACTAATAATTATAAACCATGTTTTCGAGAAAACGATTCACTTTGCAATATTTGAGATTTTATGAATGACAAATCTTAATACAATCGTGAGTCAACAGGGCGGGCGTCGACGGGCGAGGAGTGAGGACGGTATGACGCTGTTTCATGGTAATGCACGCCACTGTTACGTATCTAATTTTTGGTGTTGTTTCAAGGTTGCTACAACAAAATAGACCGCTAATTCACATTTTTTCAGCACCTCCCTGGTTTTAAATACTTCGTAGTTATATTTTAATACTTTCACGTATAGAATACTTATGAATTTGTCGTTTATATACATGGCAGAATCTTTAATAGCAAGTAAAATCGACGTTGATCTATAAATTAACACTAAAGCGTCCCATAAAAGTTCATTTTATATAATTTCATGTAATTTTTATCATATTTCTCTTTAACTCCTAACTAAATTAGGAGTAATAGAGAAATTCGATATAACTGACATTGCACAACTTTACATTCAAATTTGGAACAGTGAATTGAAATAAATCTGTTTAAAAAAATTAGTGCAAGGAGGTTGTTTAAAGTTCACGCAGTCATTATGTAGGTCATTAGGTGATTCTCATGTGCATGGTTATTATTAAGACGATGGAAGGAGAGCTGCAGACGTTTTAAGTTGCGTTCAGAAATATTTATAGCGTTAAAAAATAGCAACCTGTACTCCAGTATGGCGAGTTTCCTGTAATAAATATTCCTACTGAAATGTTTGCACGTGAATATATTGGATGAGTTCGTTTAGTGGTAGAATTTAGAAAAAATATACTTCATTATGTATGGTCGATTGTATATATGACAGTTAAAAAGAATTGAATCAATATTATAAAGTTCAGAGTTCAAATTTGTCGTGGACACCTAAAATGACATATAATTGATGTCATTTGGAATGTCAATAAAAATTGTTTTGTAAAGAAAGGAACACATCGATGAGACAATTTAAAATTAATGCCTCACAAGGTTTAATCACACCCGGACGCCCATAAACTTGTTATGGGGCTGTTGTACGCACAAGCTTCAGAGCTTATGTAGGTTATATGCCGTTTTGAAAGAAAATTATTTTGAAATGGATTTAATATAAGAACATATACTGTATTTTTAACTAAAACTGTTATTGGTTTAAGGAAATTGACAATATTATAAGTCGAGAACAATTAAGGCGATATTTTCTTATTGTTTTTCATTATTAAATAGTATTAATTTGCTTTAAATTTGATTCCAATTTTCAATGTTTTTAGAGCCAGCTATGCTATTTATGGTACTATTAAAGTTACAATTTTGATTGAAATTTATAGAATAACAGCTTTTGGTTTTTCTTAATTGAAACATTAAAAGACGAACTTTATTTTTACATAATTTTCATGATTGATGTAAGATAAATTTTATTATTAAACGTTACCGTAATTCTTGTAAAATTATTTAAGAAATTAACACTGTTCAGTAAAACTTTTTAATATGAACTAGGTACTATTATCATACACACTATAAATAGAGCATTAGCTGTGCCAATGATTTTTTACTCAAGCTCGGGGCATTAATTGCTACGATCAAAACAATTTTAAACAAAGTACCTTGATACAATTCAGTCAAATATTTATTAGCGAACCCGTTGAGCTAACCTCATCAATGCTCGCCTCTGCTGGTTGTAAATCACTCACGGAATTCTTAGAGAGAAAAAAAGAATCGCTAAACGCCGCGCTAGTTCAAACTATGCGGATTCATGGTCATGTGAAATTATTTATTTTTGTCGGTATTCGAAGTATGTATGCTTACCGCCGTCCGCGTATGTTTCTGAACCGTATCCGTCTTGGAGGCCGTTGGCCCAGGTGCCTTCGTACTTGGCGTTGCTGGTGCTGCTCTGCCGCACGCCGTAGCGACCCTTGTAGCCTTGTGTCCATTCTCCACGGTACAACCATCGGTCCCGTGTCTCCACGCCCAGACCGTGTCGCTTTCCGTTCTGCCATTGCCCCTCAAATGAACTACCACTGCAATATAAATGAAAATAATTAAACTTACACTACATTTGAACCAACATGAATTGATACATGTGAAGGCATACAACAAACTCGTTATATATTTTCATCCGTCCGGTATTAATAAGAAAAGTATGCTCTCTTAATAAAATTAACATAAACGAGTCTTTTATTTTAGCTTAAAAAAACTGAGCTATTTTATGGAAATTACCATGACGAAAGTTTCACGGTCGGTTTGTTTATTTAGAACTGAATTTTTCATGACTCTGCGCTGAAATGTATGCTTCTTTCAGGTTATGCTGTTATTGCAGCTATTTACGTTTTTAAAAGCTATTTTGATCGGCCCAAAAATAAAATTAAGAATTTTAAATACATACGTTTTTCTCTAAAAATATTTAATAAAAGGTGCCTATTATACAGGGTGACTGGTGAACTACTATCGATATTTGAGGACGTGATATTTGACGATCATATATGACAAAATAAAAATTAATATAACATAAATATTAATAAACTTCTAAGTAAAGTTAACCAAAAGTTATGTAATTAATTAGGCATCGTGTGAACACCCTACAGATTAGGTATACACTGACACTCACACATACGCGTGTCGTGACGTAGTGTTGTATGAGCACGCCGCCGCACGCGTCCACACTTGGAACACTTGGAACGTGTCAACACTTTACTTATTTATACGGAAATTTTGTCAAAAATTAAGTGCCTATTTTTTTTACATAATTAGAATGAGAATCATGTACCGAATATGCTCCTTAAATATTGATAGTAATTCACCAGTCACCCTGTATAAAAATAATAAAATGTGTATTAAATTTAACTTATAAGTAAATGAACATAAAACCGTCAATATATATAAATACTTGAATAAAATAGTAATAGAGCAATTCTTTTTTTGGCCAAATGTATACATAAGACGTTAGACATTTAATTAACTAATTAGACCTTTGACTATTGGTTTCTGATACGTTTTATTGTAAAATATCTTTTATTCAAAGCTAAAAAAGGTAGTTTTTAGGTAATGTAACACATCTTGATTGGATATGAAAATTGAACTCTGATAAAGCAATCTAAAAAATGAATTGATTTTAATAAATTTATTGTTAAAGTAGAATTAGCTTTGGTCTGAAGACTATTCTGTCACTGGATTTATGTACAAATAAAAAAAAATACTACTTTTCTGCTCTATAATGAGCTACATACGTTGCTGATTAAGGATCTATACTATATCTTTATCTATATTTTAATCTTTATATATCTATATGAATAAAGTTCGTAATATTACTTTTATTTTAATTTGAGTTTACATATAAATATTTGTAGTGCCGAAAATGAATGAAGCACGTAGCTCTAGTAGTCTTTTATGTCAAAATTATAATTGTAGTCAATCTGAAGTATTTATTTACTGAATTATGTAAGATCTTTAAATAAACATACCACAACATATCTTTTAAGAAAACACAGTTATCTTCTAACTTTTTCTAGCGCAACTACTTGAACGACGGAAGGGCTCTAGAAGCTTTGAAATTGGGCCACAACTAAGCACTAGGTTACGTATTCTACTTTTTAAATAAAACAAAAGCTTGTGTTAGTTCTGTCAATTACCGAATACTGAATAAATAGTCTAAGCATTTTATGTTTTCTGTAGCTTATTGCTATATAGTACGGCGTGATATTGTGGAAGAATTTGTATAAGAAAAAATGTTAATGAGTATGACTATTTATAAATAAGTAATTTCTTTTATACGAGCTATAAATACGTATGATTCCTTGTGGCTTTAATATTTTAATGAACCAATAGAACATCTGATTTATTTGACATTCGTAGTCGACTATTCCAGCGATAATTTATATATAATTCATCGTTTGATTCTGTCAGTGCTTGTATTGAAGTTATCTCAACAGAATTGTATTGCCCCTGACCCTGAACTTGGTACAATATTGCCTGATATTTACTATGGCTATAATACCATCAGACATTACGTGACGTGCGTGACCATTCTAACTGATTGAGGTTTTTGCATGAACAGAATACTAGCTTATATTCTGCGACCCATTTTTATTTGATAATTTTGTCGAATTATAATTGTCCTTAATTTTCTATGTATTTCACAATTGTTATTAATATTTTTACCGTTTTGGACAAATGTTTGGTGTTATTTCATTCACTTATGAGTTTTATAGTTAATAAAAAGTTATAATGATAATTTATATAATATTTATATTTAGAAACGTTAAATAAGTTGTATTCCATTGAAATGTATTTTCCGAAGGGATCTCAAATAATTTATTTCTGTAAAATATCTAACATGGCTTAAGATAAAAACTAATATTATTATTATCATATATAAAAAATACAATCGTAATATCTATTCATCAATAAGTTATACTCATCGAACTCTGAATCTCTGAGGTAGTGGAAAGTATTAAGATTTTACGTTTATTCGATCATCCTCGGATTATGATGCACTTAATTAGATTATTGCGACGAGTTTACATATATGAAATACTTATAATAGTTTTAATTTGGTGATTAGTTAGTTATCCAATATTATGTGCTACAAGTCTTCAAATTGTACTGCTTTTCAAGAATTTTATATTTGTTTTCAGTATAGAAATAACAAATAGAGTAACACGAGTTTAAGTAAGAACGCAGCGAGTTTTGAATTTGTTACTTCTGGGAAGGAGAAATATGATTAACTTGACCACTTACATTCTCCTTTTACATGTGCATTTATATTATTCATCAGAATTTTAGGGATTCAGAGAATCCGGAAAGTAGCGGAAAATTAATTTATTTCTATGTAAGGTTTGTAGTTAAAATGAAAATTGGCATAATGCTTGACATCACAGAAGATTTACAGATTAAGTATATAGAGGAATAAAGATTACAGACAATTAGATTGACAGCTATAAAAGCTCAATTTGTTCGAATTTAAAGTCTTTTTTATTGAACTCGTTATGTTTCAGAATAATGAGTTTAGGAACAATCATTTTGGTCAATATCGATAGTAAATAAGTGATTCCTTCTGTTTTAGCACCAACCAGAAACTATATAACATGGAGAAAATCGAATATGTATCAGCAAATATATAGAAAAACAGATTAAATATTCCGTAAAGTATGAAATAAAAACATTTATATTTTTAATCTTTTTTGGTAACCACTTATACAATAATTAAGATATTTTATTACTCAGTTCCTCTATTAGGTTTTAGGTAAATAAAATAAGTAAAAAATTACTTAAGTTACATAAAATTTGTTTTTTTATATGTGAAAGTATAGTTATTTGATTTTAAAAGTTGGTTAGAAGAACCTTACCAACTGTAGCTTAGCAGTTAACAAACTAGCGTTGTCTGGTATAAATTGCAACTTCGAATTTGAAACATTTGAAACAAATAGCCGTGCTTAGTTATTTTGTTTCAAACGAAAATGATTGATGTTCTTGTTATTTCGTTAGTTTGATACCCTGTTAGTGATCTGTTTTCGTACTTTTTATGTGAACTAACTTGATAATTAGTAATGATTTACATGAACTATCAATAGAAATTTAATCGTGCATATGTACTATGATTGTCATTTTTCAATTATATTTTTCTTAACGTAAAGGTCTGTTGTACTAATTGATACAAGCTATCAAGCATATTAGGAATTATTGCCTCAGCAAAATCACTTAGAAGGTTCATAGTTTTACGGTTGCGTCGTGGTAAATATTTTTGGATAAAAAGAGTGAAAAATAATCAGCGATTTACCCATACTTAATGTTAATTTAAATATTTTTTGTATAAATTTTAGAGAGTCATTTATAATTTATCTCGATGTACGTTAAGTAGGGTATATTGGAGCATGGAGTTTTAATTTCCCAAAAGTCCCATACGTTCATTCATTCCTCATTCATTCGCTTTTATGATATAAATCGAGCTATTAATATGAATATGGTCATCATTCGTTTTCCATTCATTCGTTTCAAATAAATTTGAATGAAGTTTCATGTTTGAGGTATATTTTTTATTTTATATAAATTAAAATTCTGTGTTATAATAAATTTGATTAATGTTAATACGTAAGAAAGAAAATTAGATTGTTTTTTAATTGTACACTTCTTACATATGATGTAGGTATTTATTATTTAAAATTAACAGAATTTACTAAGAACTAAATGCACGCTAATAAGCTTAGGTAAGAAGACACCTATTTACTAGTACTTTAGAACAACAAACCCAGTAATTTGCAGCGCAATATATTCCAATAAAACATTTAAACTAGCCTTGAACTTATGAATATGAATACTTAGTGGCTACTGCTAAATAAACAAGTCTCAATTTGTTATTAGTACCGCATAATTGGTAACTATATGACTGTAAATATAACTATTATCTATAGCCACTCTAAATGTGTATCTCTTTTAACAGCTAGCTTGGAGCCGTAGTCAAACATCAATAGACGTAAGCCAGCGAGTAACACTAAATTCCTTTCAGTTTTTATTAGTTGCGGTAAGATAATGGATTGGTCTGTTCAGAACTCGAGTATGGACGAAACAAATCGACTCTAACCTCTATTTATAACCTCAGTTATATTAATTGGTTGAGTAACTGAATATTGCTAGTAAAGCCACTGAAATTCTCCTTAAACAGTGACCTTGAGGGGAATATGTATTAAGTAGCGTTCGAAGAGCTTTTTATTTAAATTTATTCATAATTATACAGTCACCATTCCGTTAATAAAAATCAAGAAAGGTAAATCACATATATGTTATTTACTATTCCACAAATTCTGAGTGTAAATTAAATAACAATATATTTTTTTCGGTACGAGCTTTTTAAAAATAGCATCTATTTAAACTAATACGTTGCGTTAGACTGGCCAAATGTCTTTAGTAGCAAGTTTTAGCTGGTTTATAGGAGTTGCTAGCCAAGAATCATATAAAACAATGATCGCAACATATAGAGCGACTCAAAGCGAGGGACTAATTATACGAACTACTGGTAAATGGCGAATTGGTTGTTATTAAATGTTATCTATGAGCTGAAGATTAGTAAAACTACATGACCTACAAGTTGGCTGCCGGCCGCGCACCTCCCACGCGCCTGACGCACCTTGCCTGTCACGCAAATGACAATGGGTTTAGGCCGACCAACGTTTAGGAATCAGATACATTATTCGATGTGATAAATTTTCCGCCACACGAGTGTTTTTAGTTCAGTAGCTATAAATTCTAAAAAAAGGTTTGGTTATGAATGAATAGCGTCAAGGCGGGAAATATAAACATATGTAAGTGTAAAGATATAAATTATGAGAGTAACACGGCTGTTGTTTAGATTTAATAAAAAAAAACATTTAAATTTATTGCTATCCCTTTTTAAATTGATGAACCTCAATTTTCTTAGAAACTTTACTTTGGAAAATAAACTGTAAATAAATTGAATTATGTTTCCTCCAAACGACTTGGAAATACTATGCTCATCTTTGTTAGATGCCATGTATTGTATTCTCCCGACTGTTAAGTGAATAATCGACATCTTGTCACTTGGATAGTCGTATAAGATTAATACGATTATTATTATACTTCAGATATTTTTAAATTAATTTTATTTCCAATGAAAACGATTACATTTTTAATACTTGCCACATATAGTCACAATAGATTCAGGTATATGATACAAAACTATTATGCAAAACTATGTGAAAATTCATTATTATATGCAACACATATTAATAAAAAATTAAAGAAAGTATTGTATTATTATAGAGGCATATAAAATTGAGAGAGAGATATATATGTATATATAAAATTGATGTGATCTTCATAACATGAATTATTATATTTTATTGAAAATTTGTGTTTTTTATTTAATAATTAAACATATGGATATAACAAGTATCTTATGTGAAAGTTATCTGATTTGGTTTATCTACTCCATGCACTTTTGTAAAATTTTCTGACGCACAAAAAGATAGATGTGTTTCAACTTTTACGTTAAACCAACATATTTTTTAGACTAAAAGAGTTTTTCATATCAAAAGCACATAATGTTTAGGAAGTTTAAATGGTAGGTAATTTCTAAAGGAAAAGTTACAACATATTATAAGAGTGTCGAATTCTTTAGTAAACGCCAAGTATTCTTTAGTCAGTTACCAAATCAGCCTAAAGCTTCTGTGAATTTTGTTAGTCATCTTATTATTTTAAATTGTACACTAAAAGCTATGCTATATCCCGTATCTGCGATGTACGTAGACTTGCGGTGCTCCTAGTGTGAGCCTACTTTAAAAGTATCATGAGTTTTCTCAGTGCCTTTGGTAACTTAATGCAATATATTTTTCTACCTATCACTTTCGCAAAATATCTTTTCAAATTCCTTCATAATAATGTTTAAATTAAAAACTATTTATTGAATAATTTGAAAAATCGTTTATTACTATAAAATAATATATAGTTAAATAAAATCAATAAGTGATTATATTTACGTAGAAGGATAAAAGTAGCACTTTTGAAAATGTGGGAATTTTATAGATAACGTTATAATTCGTTTTCTAATAAATATAAAACCTGTTTAAAAGTATTTTAATAAATTAAATTACTCTGAATTTATTAACCCAAAGATGCAAATGGAAATGTTTTTATAACACATGAATAGAGATTTATTGAAGCTTTACTATTTCACGAGTAGTTTTTTTTATATAATACATTATGCGAGGCTTTTGTTTTAATTTAACTGAGCAACCATAAAATAATAGAACAAAACCATTGAATGCGAACAATGTGGCAAGGAATGAAAGGAAAATTGTTAACTTGGCCTTTTTAAGGTTTTTGTACAAAGAAAAACATTTTATAAATATTTATTCACGTTCTCAAAACATAATAGTAAACTTTTGTATGAAAAAACTACGAACTTTATTTACTTTTTCGTGACCAAATTATATTAAATAAGTAGGTATATATACAAATATTGTTAATTAAAAATGTACACAATGTCTTGTTCTCACTAATTTACTGATAAGTAAAAACTTTTTTATGTTTGTTGTTAAGTTACAGGCCAGTGTGGAACTGAATATAAAAAAAGCTTTATTGGAAAACACTCACATATAAAAATTGACTGTTTAATCATGTAAGGATATGTATTTTTATTGATTTTTACAATTAGATTGCTGGTACGTAATTAAAAATAAAAATACGACCGTTCATTTAGTTTGTAGTAATTTGGATAGTAATTTTCAACTTTAGATTAAAAAGATATAGGTTCAATTTCATATGCCATCATAACAATCTTGAATAGAAAGTTCAAATCATTGCTATACCTACAAACTTTATAAGCAGATGGATTATAATGGATCACAAAGGATGGTCAATATTAATATGGTGTCAATAGCAAAATGGAGGGAAAACTGAAAGTGGGTACAAATGTGAGTCATGTATCAAAATCCTACGATATAAAATGACTAATAACGTATATGTAAAATTTTCCTTATTACTCTTAAGCTTATTACCATTTTAATGTTGATTAATCAACCCTACCCCCTTCCTTCCCTATTTTGACCATATCAGTTGTACATATCATATCTCGTGTTTTAGAAAAACCGATCTGTAAACATAACCTTAGGCATTTCTAAAAACTATATATTAAACAACCAATTTTCTGTCGGTTCTGTCGCCTTTAAGGCTTTGATGAAAATATAAATACACAAATATTAAATGACACCGAGTTTTGTATGTACATGGAGATGAAGGCGTCAAATAAAATATTTCTCTGTGCTTAGGTTATACATTAATTCTCAAAAACTTCATGCCTAATATTTAAAATTATTAAAGGCCTTTACCGCGATATTTTACCATTTACTTAGAAACAGATAATATTGACATATTCATTCAGAAATTATTGGAAGCAGTTTATGTATACCGCTGTGAATTTATAAACGAAACATTTCATAACTCACTTGACAGTGCAAATTTATAGTAAGGGTGAAGACATGTGACAGAGGAACAGTCGCTGCAATATATTGGGAACTTGTCCCAAGATATATAGGAATATTTCTACATAAGAAATATTTCAGAATTACATAATGTTCCTACATTTCATTTAAAGCTCATATTACAAATACCTAAAAAGCTTCACTTTGAATTATGTCGTGTCGTAATATTCATACAATTAAAACTTAAAGAAATGTAAAGTCACAATGTCGGGAGCTCCCTATTTTGATGGAGCAACGACCCCACAAAAGTGGGTTAGATGAGAGCAAGCGTCGAGATTAATAGGAAGGTCTGGCACAGCACCGCATTCTGCCAGAGCCACGTACTGTGTCGGTATAACTTATGTGTGGGTAAATATCGGTAGCTATTAAAACGATAAAAATAATTTCCTTTAGTCATTACGGGAGACATGCTCTTCTACGATAAACATGTTAAAGGGCGTCCAATCACATAACATTATTTTGTAATTACTAATCCTATTGATGTTTCAATTTGTAGATAAGTTGATTCTTGAATATGAAATATAATATAATGCATGTTAGATGGGGATATCGTGGGTATTTTTTTTTATGTGACATGTCAAATCTCGTACGAAATTGAACAGCTGTACTACATTGCCCTCAATTACGATTTATAAAATCGCGTTTCGCCTCACTGAACGTTATTGGATCTCTAATGGATGTGTCTATAAGAGTGACAGCTGCTCAATTGACAACGAGGACATAATTAACAGAATCGTGATGTTAACTGTTATCACTCATCCTTATCAATGGTTACAGATCGATAGGAATATTTTGTTCTCTGTTGGACCATCGGGCACTTTCACCGCCGTTACACGCGTTTTCTAGCGAAACACCGAACTCGATTATTAATAGCAGACTATTTTTGGAGCGGCTTCGGACGCGGATTTCGGGCATGTGCGAGCCCGGGCGGAGACACTAGCTCACCTGGGCCAGGTGTACACGCCGGATACTTCGAAGCCGAAGTGCCACGAGCCGGCGTACGCTCCCTGGCCCTTCGGGCCGGTGCAGACGCCGTGCCCGTGGGCCTTGCCGTCCTCCCAGCCGCCGCAGTATGTACCACCATCGTCAAAGTCGAAGCGGCCACCGTTGAGGCCACGCTGCGGGTTTCCGCTAGCGGCGTGCGCGGTGTCGGCTGGCTCGCTCGGCTGCATCACGGAGGGGAGGGCCTCCCGCGCGCGCCCTCCGCCGAGCTCGCGGTATAAATAAACATCAGCTGGGCATGTCGCGCCGTGGCGCGCCGCCGAGTGAACGGCACTCCGGTCCTGCGCGAACACTACTGCCGACGGCCGCCGCCACCCCCGGCCCCGCCGCCCGCCCTGCGCACACAGCGCTCACTGCTCCGATAACACGCACCTCCACTGTGTGGCCTACGACGATTTCAATAACAAATACACTTAGCTACAAATTGCTACAGCTCTATCTACACTGACTAACACCTGCTTTGATAAAACATGTCAACAATATGTCCATCATCAGGGTATGGCGATAAATAACAAGGACTTTCGTTCACTTAACTAACATAATATCTGAACAAGCATCGCTTACATTATGTATGCTGTAATGAATATTAAACTATAACATTAGTTTTACATTTTGTAAATAACTATCTTAAAAATCTCGTTAGCAATAGACGTTCTTGTAAAGTAATTATTTAACGTATGTTTAAATATCTTTTACTGAAAAAAGCCACCTCAATCCGTTTACATTTTTGTTACATTACTGAATTTTATAAACGTTTTCTTATGCTTGAATTCAGTCAAAATTTTATAAAAAGAAAAACGTATTAAAGCTGTAAGTAATATTCTACGACAGTTACATTAATTTTTACTCACTTCAATTGTAAACTATTAGCAGGAAATACACGCGCTGCAAATTTGTCTTATTTTGAATGTTTTGGAATATTTTGATTGGAGTAACGTACGGAATGTGTGTTTTTAAACATCATACAAATGTTTCAGGACACCTACAATAACTGAGCTAGCCATTATTTTAAGCGGGAAACCAAAAAGATTTGATGTGTTTAATTTTCTGTTATTTTCAGTATAAATTAATAAAAGAATTATGAGATGAAGTTCACCTTAAGTGTTAAAAAAACACAAAGAAAATTATATAAATCATAACATTAATAGGCAGATATCCATGAAGGTCCATAAATATATACAGAGGCGCAGTAAAATGTATATATTGGACTCATCTAAGATATCCTATTTATTAATTTGTGTTAATTATATCAAAAACTGTTCATTTAAAAACTTGAAGGAAAGTAGTATAAAAAACAAAAAAACTTAAACACTAATTTTGTTTGCGTATAATAATTTATTTTCATAGTTAAACAATCTTTTAAATCAATAATACTTGTTTATAAATGCTACAATTAAAAAAAATTATAAATACATAGGTAAGTACGTAACGAAAAGAACAGATGAAGTTAATGAAAAACTACAACTTACTACTTATCGGTTTCTGTCAAAGGACAGTCAAAAATTATAACGAATTTGTTTGTCAAGTCAGATGAGGATTCAATGGGCTCACTCAAGAGATGTGGATTTCTGAATGAAACTTACTTTTTTTCTGCATTTGATGGATGGTTTAAACTCAAACTTTATAAAGTACTGTTTAATGAAAACCGAACTATTAGATGACAAACTAAATAAAATTAATATTATTTAATACTCAAATAAGAGATTTGAGTTATCTGTGCATTTTTATTTTCATCTAAATCTAATAAGTTACACTTGACTGAGGCAGTATATTTTCTAGAAATTCACACTTTTCACAAAAACACGTGATAATCTGTTACATATACTTAAAATAAAAATTATAAAAGTTTAAAACACAAATTCTATAGAACTTAGTTTGAAATAAGAATTTGATTATCTTTAATAAATTTACTCTGTCAAACGAAAAGTTTTTTTTCGTTACAAAAATATGTTTAAAGACACAGTAACTCTGCTGATAAATAAACTAAAGAATTGCACCTCACATATAGTACAGTTGTTAAAACGATTGTCCTGGCTTTTAAATTATTGCTCAATGAAATATCGTTATAAATACACATGCATTCAACATGTAAAAAGAATATGTATAACAAATTATAGTACAAATAAACTTTAAAAGTCATTAACTCATAATAATTGTACAAATCTTATAAGATATATAAATCCTTAAACATTAAGTAAATAGTATATGATATTTGAAGTAAATAAAATCACAATATATTTTTTAAATTATCTGATACACTCATCAAATTTTGCTTTATTGAAGAATAACAAATTTTAAAATTTGGGAGGGAATTTGTAGCCAGATTTTGTATGATCTGGTATCAAATTGTAAATATTTAAATATATTTTCATGTACTGATGGAGTGACTAGAACTATGATTCCTTAATGTTTGCTTCTACCATAACAAACACACAGACATCTGTTAGAAACTTCAATTTGAAACCTCTAATTATTTAAGTCAAAATTTTAATATATTTTTTTCCAATTTTACACAAGGCTATTTAAATTCTAAAGTTGCACACTATGACAATTTTATCTTTTGAATAAATAAATGCAAATACCCTAAAAATCTTATATTCAGCCACATCAAATCTTCTATATTATCTCTGCTTCTTAAGTCATGTAAATATACATTGTCTATTCTTATTTATCTATCATAAGGCTTTTTGGTGTAAGTACGTTTCATTAAACTATAATATATTTATGATTATTTTTCCTTGTCATTAACAAACCAGTCAATACCATTACCTGGCAAAGGACTGCGGATAAAAGGTGATATGCATGTAAGATACCAATAAACCCCAAAAACTTCAATAATATTTTGCTTCCAACCTTTGTGATAAGAGGTCCCTTTATTAGATTCTTTTTTCTCAGGGGTAATTCTACCCTTTAAAATATTGTCAAAGTGAAAGAAAAATAGGAAGCCAGTAAAAGCTCCAACAATAAAATTAATCTCTATCAAAAAGACATAGAAGCTCTCTGCACCAAAATCTACGACAAATGTAGCTAAAGGAAAAATGAATTTGGCTATAACCAGGCCATGATTCCATTTGAGAAAGGTCGACAGAAAAATTACATTATAATAAAATGAATACAGCATTGCTATAAATATATATAGAGTAAAAAACATAAAATATCTATGATTATAATATCCAACGCAACTGGCAAAAAATGTGCAATGGTGATCTCTTTTTAAAATACATATATCACAATTGTTGCAATGCCAAGCCCTCGGAGGTCTAAGTGCCTCACACACTGAACATAGTGTCCAGCCATCTTTATTAACACTGTCCAAATTTCTACCCTTTATGCTTGTGTCTGTAAACATCCCATATATCATGTTACCTAGAATATTTAGTAACAAAAATGATGCACAAATATAGTGAATGAAATAGGGTATAGTCCAAGCTTCTACAACAGCTGGTAGCACAACACAGAGTTCAAAATACAGGAAACCAGGCACTAATAGGAAAATAATAAGGAGATATGTACCATGTTCTAAGAACCTTTTCACTTGCTTGTTCTTCACTCCTTCCACAGTTATGAACATTTTCCAGTCTTATACTTTAACCTATTTGATGTTTGAAAATGTAGCAGTTTTGTACAAATTCACAGCCGTTATTTATTCATTAGCACCCGTTATAAGTATCTAAAAAAATATTTTATAATTAATTAAAATGCATTAATTGAGAGAAAATAAATAATGTATTATAATAAAAGCGTTATTCCTCCAACGAATATTTCTTTCCATTTAATAAATTCATAAGTATCAAGGTTTGTATACAAATTAATTACCTTCCATAAATAGTTTAACAAGATTTGATATTAGCAAGTTTTGTAGTTATTAGACAAATAACAAATTGAATTCTTTTTATGACAGTACATATTGACATGTGACAGTCTTGTTTCGGTTCGCAATTCAACAAATTGTCTAAACGTGTACTGTTAAAATTTTAGATAAAATAATATTAATAAAACCAAAGACTTGAAACTCTTTTTAGTTTTAGTACTAACAATTTTTAACAAAATGAAACATGCATAAAAAGTAAAAACATCATAAAACTGTCAAAGGTTTTGTTATATTTTATTGCAATAATGAAATTTGAGTTTAATATTTCTTTTGTAGATTAGCCTATACTTATTCAAATTATTTGATTTTTTAAATTCTGTGACTAAACGTTACTTTATTGAATGCATTAAACAACGCTGTTCGATTAATGGTAGTCTTCTCTATAGTAAACCTTTTTATTTTATTTTAAGTCTGCCTTATCAATATTGTCACACTTTATATCCCAGAACGACTATGCTACGACTCACTTTAATCTTAATAATCTAATTTATTTTTAATAGTTATGTACTCTGGAAGTTATCCAGATAGTTCCCCTTTTAGGTAATTTACAGAAAATTGTCGTTAAGCCGCTAAAACTATTAAAAATAAATTGAAAGAGCATTTTCCAAACGATATCGAGTGTCATTTCATTAAAAGGGACATGATTATTTTATCCAAAACTGGTACATACTGCAAGTAAGAAACTTATATTTATTCTTCACTTTCGGAAAAAAGAGATTTCAACGAACAGAAACTCCAAATTTTTGAATAAAACTGATATTTTGACGGGTGATTTTTCGATTGAAAATGAGGCTGATATTTCGATATTTATTCAAAATAAGCTGAAAAAATAAATATTTCTCATCAAATAAATTACAGTGTATTTTGGACATCAAAAAGTAAGTTTTTACCAAATTTCGTGACAAAATATTGTTTTTTGTGAGAGATAAAAATAAAAAAGCAAAAACTTGGTTTTTCGAATTTTTCACATAAAGTAGGAGGTGATGTGAAAAACATGTTAATACAAAAGTTTTTGATCTTTTTATTACCTACAACTTTGCCATACAATTTTTTCCGTAGGACTTTTAGTTTTGCCGGAAATCGAGAAAACCCATTTTTTACCCTTACATACCCACCCCCATACCCTTCCCGACCTCAGATCGCCCGTAAACTTTTTTCCTTTAATTTTTATAGTATTATCCTCCTTTTCTAATGAGTTTCATTCTACTAAAATTTAATTATGTTTTAAAAGCTATTGGCACTGGTCTACTACACTATTAAAATTTAACGGAGTACATTTGTATAACTTTCTTCCGTCCTAATGTAAAAACATTCTTATAAGTAATAATGCATACTTCCTAACTTATTAGTGTAAAAAATTCTAACGGCGTTTATGTTTTCATTTGCTTTGGCCTTCGTATCAATTGCAATGTTGCATTCGGTATCTTATTCTTACTTATTAAAACATAGTTTTTGAAACGTTTATATTTTATTATTACATGGAAATATTTCATCCAACTGTTACGTAACTGTTAACAATTATGTAAAGCTTCTATTTGCCTTCATTGCAATCATGATTGTAGTACATAAGCTCTTAGATGTAGGTATGTTTATTTACATACTTATTAAAATTCGGAAAAAAAAATGCAATTCGTTAGACTTTTTATACACTTATTTTATTTAAAAAACGATCCTGAGAATGGTAACCAACACTTACTTTAACTTTTAAGTACTTTATTTGAGGTTATTGTATATAAATGGGTTATATATTCAAAGAAAACTATTTTTTTAAGTAATACAAATATATTTTCATATCAAGAACTATCTAAATGAAATACAACAATAACAGTATTCAAAAAGTGTAAATGTTCTTTGCAAAATTTTTCAGGAGTTGCATACATTTATTCTTAAATCTAAATAAATATTTTTCATATAGAGACAATCTTAAATCTACAAGACCAATCAATCATTCATATATAGTTTCACGCATTACAAAAATAATGTTATTTTTTAAGACGGTTTTTCATTAGTAAGAAGGATCATTCAAGGTCGATGTTTTTGGACTTCTCACAATAAGGCAGTAGTAATGTGGAAGAAGTTGAAAAGTTTCTAGAGACTTCAACGTTTTAGTTATAGAATTTCTTGCTGCTATCTTTGGCCATGTCAACCAGAGTTTGTGCGGGTTTGAAGGGAGCACCATATAGAGCTTGGAATTCCTCCATTTTTGCTACCAGTTTGCCAGCACCGAATTGGTCTACCCATCTGAAAATATAAAATATATATTAATTACTAAATTATATTAAATTTACTCAAATTTATTTAAAAAAATATATACCTGAAAGGTCCACCAGTGAATGGAGGAAATCCAAGACCGAAAACTGCGCCTACATCACCTTCAAGCGGACTGTGTAGAATTTTCTCCTCAAGAGATAAAACTGCTTCATTAACAAACCTAAAACAAAAAGATATAGACAATTATTTCTATCAATAATCCTACTAATATTATAATTTCGAAAGTTTGTGAGTGTGTGTGTATGTTTGTTACTTCTTCACGCTCAAACGGCTGAACAGATTTTGATAAAATTTTGTATGCAGGAAGCTGACTTCCAGGAATAACACATAGGCTACTTTACATCCCGGAAATCTCGGAAATCCGCGGGTGACACCGCGGGGCGCAGCTAGTATTATATAATACTTATTTAATATTATTGTTACCTTGACACCATTCTCAGCTGTTGGTCCTCGACAGTGTTTGCTCCTTTTGGTTCCAGGGAGTACTTGGTCTTCAATATATTCACAGCGTCTTGGTTGACGTCCCTATTCTTGGTGCCTTTCTCATAAACGTAGAATCCCTTGCCCGACTTTCTTCCCATAAAGCCAGCCTTCACTAAGTCTTGCATAATGTTGAGATCTCCACCGCTGATACGGTCACCAAACGCCTGAATAGATGAAAAATATTTCAATATATTTAATTTTTCATACATATATCCTGTTATGTATAAAGTATGCATTAATTAATGTTTAGAATTGTTTTCGTATGAAATCTGTACGACGCGTTTCGCAGTAACCAAAATTACCTTAGTTATATTAGAATAAGAATTACATATAAACTTATAACCTACACCTAATATTACATGATTACCTCGATGTAAGGATAGCAATACCAATCCGTTGCTTATTTGGTATCAGGAATCTTTTGGTTCACACGGCTTGGTGTTCGTTCCACAGAGTCAGCAGCATCACTCGTAATGTGATATATGCATACAACGCTATCGCCCCGGCGATGTTCGTTTATTTTCTAACATATGCTACCATGATATATTTTACCTTGGCCAAGTCGACAGCGATGTGTGCTCCAACGTCAATGCCAACCTCGTCAGCGAGTGTGGCCGCGCCAACGGGGAAGCCGAACTGCTTCGTCATGCTGTCCAGGTCCTTCGGGTCAACGCCCTCTTGTAACAACCTAGAAAATAAATATGCGATTTCCAATAACAAACATTGCAAACTCGTTATTCACTCTTCCACTATTTTTTATTTTGAATAGTCATAATTCTAAATGTTATCACCCATTACAATGTATGAAGAAGTAACGTTGCAAATATATGTACATACAAAATTGCACAATAAATTCAGATTTCAATAATACTGAAAATGCCATTTTTACGTTTCATCTGACTTTGAAGCGAAACTTCTGGAGTATAGTTGCAAGACAATAAAAAAACGAGTAGAGTATCCTAGAATTACTTTTATAAATTATGCGAAGAATCGAATATTTAGAAACCTAATCTTACGCAGGAATTAAAAGAATTCTCACCCAAACTCATTCTATACATCAAAGAAAAACCGTAAACCAAAAAATCGCTGCTTAGCGATAAGGCCGCCTGTTTCATCTCATGCAAGTAATATATAACGAAAATGTTATTTTTTAGTGTTAGTATTGGGTGCAATAAATAAATAATAATAATAATAATAATGATGAAAATCAACCAATCAGTGGTACCAACCTAATAGCTTCACTAAGCATAGTGGACAGAATCCTAGTAGTGTAGAAGCCCGGTCCGTCACCAACAGTGATGACAACCTTGCCCTGCTTCAGACCGACAGCTACAGCCGCAGCAGCTGTGTCATCAGACGTGCCTGGGTGACGGATGATCTCTAACAACTGCATTTTATCCACGGGCGAGAAATAGTGCATGCCTGGAAATAGGAAATAAGACACCCAAATATATCAATGCTCATCTGTAAGAATGGGCCTTAAATAGAAACTATCGTGCAAAACGTTTTTTAATGCTTCACATACTTGCTGCTGTAAACAGTTGCTAAGTTGTTTATTTGTATAATACACTAGCTTTTGCCGCGGCTTCATCCGCGTGGAATAGTACTTCCGGCAGATTTTTGGTTCTTCCCACACAGTTCCCGTTCTTGCGGGGTTTTCGGAATGGTCGAGTTTCCGTAGAATTTTCAGGATAAAACCTATGTTTTTTTTAATTCACAATGAAGAACTCTTAACCAACAAGATATTTATTTGTTTATTTGAATAAAGATTTATATTATTATGTTGATACAACTTAAACAAATTATTTGGACCAAATTAGGTACCATAAAAACGGTTTTTGTGAGTTAATCTTAAAAGATAGACATATACTGTCGCGGACTGTTTTTTAGATCATTAAAAGAGCTATTATTCTTTAATACATATTTTTTGTGTATCTTGAACCGTTTTCACGGCGCACGCAACGGAAGACTTCAAAGATGAAATAATTTCTCCCGTTTCTTACACATTTACCACTATCTTTGCTCCTATTGGTCGTAGCGTGATATTATATAGCCCACAGCCTTCCTCGGTAACTGGACTATCCAACACAAAAAGAATTTAAATGAAACTAATATTTTCGGATTTTACTTCGCGTTTTATTTTAGAAACTACATACTCCCGACGTTTCGGCTACTTTTCAGCAACCGTGATCACGGGCAGACGAGATGTGAGTGTCTGTCAGTTGGTCTGGTCATTTTATCTCCTACCGCCATCGATTTCTTAATTGTCTTGCGTACCGCTCTGGATGCCGGCAAAATGCGCTCACGGTGTCTCGAGGTCCTGCGGTGTGGTCACGGACATGGGATTTTATATTTTGAAATTAAAAAACACCCCAATTTCAATAGAGAAGATGGCTGGAACCTATCAAACACCTGGGATCCTCTTCTTAAAAATATAAAATCCCATGTCCGTGACCACACCGCAGGACCTCGAGACACCGTGAGCGCATTTTGCCGGCATCCAGAGCGGTACGCAAGACAATTAAGAAATCGATGGCGGTAGGAGATAAAATGACCAGACCAACTGACAGACACTCACATCTCGTCTGCCCGTGATCACGGTTGCTGAAAAGTAGCCGAAACGTCGGGAGTATGTAGTTTCTAAAATAAAACGCGAAGTAAAATCCGAAAATATTAGTTTCATTTAAATGTGTACTCGCGAAAATCTTAGATCTCATTACAAAAATAATTATTTAATTCGAACCAGTAGTTTCGGAGATTAGCGCTTTCAAACAAACAAACAAACAAACTCTTCAGCTTTATAATATTAGTATAGATTTAATTCAAGAATTTTTGGTAAATGCCTATAGAGAAGATTGAGGTACCTTAAATTTGTATAAGATCAATATAAGTAGCTTCACTTTTATAAATGTTATAGGAATCTTATCTCATGAATATAACATTGACACAAAATTAGCTAATGTTCATGCGAAGGCATTATATTATGATATTGAAGATGTCAATGAAAGAAGTTAATTATTTTATAAAGTATTAAATAATATTATACCAAGACAGGTGGCAACATCAAATTTTTGCATTAAAAAGCAACAATTATCCTCCTTGGTACGTAAGTTAAACATAATTAGGGAGGAACAAAATCAAAATATCACAAAAATAGACAGTATCATCTTATCACAATAGTTTTTCTAACCAATGACAAGGATTCCTTGAATAACATATGTATTTTCATACATTACAATATTATTTAATATAACAATTGCGAGAAAAAAAAATTGAGTATTTTTGGATCTATATTGAGAACCAAAAATGTAATGTCAATAATGTGCCCAACTCTAATAATAAAGTACTGATAACTGCCGGTAATTACATTTTATTAATAAATTAACACAATTATAGAAGTTAGTCAATCTGCGTTCATCAGACATGTCTGTGAACAGAATCACCGTTCATTTGAATACAAGGATTATATATGTTCATTAAACAAAATTAACACTTATAAAAACGCAGCAAGTAATATTTAAGCTTTTTAAAAAATTATCACAAAACATAATTCTTATAGCCTCTATATTTTTTGTATTATGTCCAGATAAGTCTAAACTAGACTAGATAACGATAGTCTTAAGAAATACGTTAGTAGTGACCTTCAGTCTCTGTACTCCCCATACATTTATACTTGAAATAAATTCATTAATATAATAAATTTCAGTTATAATTTTATATATGAATTTTGTATAATAAATAACTAAGTCGTCTTCACTTTGATATTCGCTTCCTTTGTGAGTTAATTAATAATCATAACGACGACATCTATCTGTCGTCAAAAAGTATTTTTATTCCTCATAGTAAAATTTATATGATATTTAATAATAAATGCCTTGAGGTTTTTATACCCGAAAGGTCATACAAAAATACACCTGCTATCAATTTTTTATTAGAAGTATGTACATAATTTAACAAGAATGTAATATTTCGCTCACTATATTATTAATAATACTTAGTACTTTTCAACTGTAAATAAGATTTTTTTATACTTTTATTTTTCTTTATATTTTCTTTTATTCTTAGTGAATAGATATTGTTGTCTTACTAAGTTAATATATAAAATGTTTTGTCAAGTTTCGGCATTATCAGTTTATAGTTAGTTAACGTTATCCTCTAGAAAATTAATGTAATTAATAATTTGCAAAAAAAAGAAAATTCAAGTGTTATAGATCTTACGACTTACATTAAGGACTGTGAACACACGCACGCACTCACAAACACATACACACACACACACACACACGCTGAGAATTAAAAAGATACTAAAGTTTTTTTATGATACTTCTTTCGGTCACCCATACAAAGTTACTTACCCTTACAAATATTTCTTAATTTGCATAAACCATTCTAAACCACTATAAGCGCTACTTGGGACGAATTTGTCGGTTATACAAAATAATTAATTTTATTGAATATATTCTTTGCATGTACTCACCAATAACTTTCTCAGGGCGGCTGCTACCAGCAGCGATTTTAGTGATAGGAATGGCGCTAGTATTCGTAGCCACTATACAATGCTTGGGTACAACCGCTTCCAATTCTTTGATAACTTTATGCTTGATATTAATGTCTTCAAACACGGCTTCAATAACACAGTCCGCGTTTTTGAACTTGTTGTAGTCCAACGTCGGCAATAGGTTCGAAATAAACTTGTCCTTTTGCAACCTGTTATTGAATTTATGAAGTATCATTGAAATATGGTATATGATCTAAATTGGCATATATGTAAGGAATATGTAAGAAATACAACAAAGACTTATTTAGTCATTAAATTAAATAACAGGAGAGAACAAATTCTAAGACACTATTATTATTATTAGGAAATAAATTACAATAGAAAAGAAATGGCACGTTCTAAATTTACCCCCAAAAATGTGCATACAAATAGTAAAATATCCTTATAAATGCTATTTATTAAGCTATTAAAGTACGTCCAATATGATAGTTTACAATTTTATCTTTATGTCATATTCTAATATGATTCTAATCTATCAAACAATTAGTCTTAAGAGACACTAAGAGTCTATGGTTTAAGATCATACCATAGACAAAAAAAATTAATAATAATAATAATAAAATCAAGTTACGTACGATGAGATCCTCTTCCTCTTGACAGCGTTGACTAGCCCATTTTGAATCTGACCCATACCACGATAGAGGCCAGCTGTGGTGGCGTCCTTTAACACGACCTGGTAACCCTTGTCCACTGACACTTGAACTATACCAGCACCCATCAAACCCGCGCCTAGTACGCCGATCTGATAAAAAGGTGGTCTAGTTATATCGGCTGGTTATTGTAGCACTAATCTCATAAACTTTTTAAATGTTCTGATAGCAAAATAGTTTTTATTTCATGTAGGTACATACATTTAAAATAACAAAAACGCTGCATACATCAATTTCAGCATTTTCATGTGTTTCAAAAATGTGAAAATAAAATTTATGGAATATTTATGTTAGAACAGCAAAGTGTCAAAATGAGTATGTACTGAAGTGTATATATGAACAAAACAAAATTCTGTTTCAGTAGCGAGTGAAAAAATTCGACATAAAATATTTAAATAAAGGAGACCATGTGCCAGAACTACTATGTAATAAAGTAAGTAAATAAAGAAATTTAATAAGACTAACCGTTTTAACTTCATTCTGAGGTTTGCCGAACCTATTCTTCTTACACTCAGTCTGTCCCCTGAAGAGCCCTATGAGTCCTTTGCTCTGGGGCGTCATGGCTAATTCACCGAAGCCCTGGGCCTCCGCCTCGTAGCCAGCAGCCTGACCTTTGTCTACACCAGTCCTGACAACTTCAAGAATCTGGAAATAGTCATAGAATACATATATTCATGGAAAGAAAAGAATAGCACACCTTTTGAACTCAGAAACAATTTTAAGATCTTTTCAAGCTTAATTTTTGTGCATGAATTATCATGAAGTAGAAATCTGAATGTAAATGTTACATCCTACTAATATCATAAATGTGAAAGTAACTCTGTCTGTCTGTTACGCTTTCACGCCTAAACTACTGAACTGATTTTAATGAAATTTTGTACACAGACAAAGTTGACCTTGAGAAAGGACATAGGATAGTTTTTATCCCAAACTTTAGAAAGATTCTCTTGGAAACGCGATATAACCGAACTCCACGCGGGCGAAGCTGCGGGCGGAAATCTAGTACATTATAGAGTAAGTCATTAAAAAAATAATTAATAATGGAATGACCGCTTATGTTATACTAAAAATTAATAAGATAATACCTTGAGTGGTGCTGGGTATAATCCACGCGATGCTTTCATTACTTGATCCTTGGCTTTCTTGAAGATAAAATTCTTGACAAACTCTATGTCCATGACAGCGGCCATCAATTGATTAACAACCCCTTTCTTGCCCCTCTCTACCTTCATTTTACCAGATGCAATATCTTTAGCAATTTGAACGGCGACTTTTTCTAAATATGCCATTGTGTTAGCTTCAGGTTCTCCTAAGCCTAAAAATAACAAAATATCATGTATTTATATTTTATTCTTATTGAAATACCTACTATTTCTTTGTTCATGCATAAGCAAAAAACTCTGTTTGATAATAATTTGACAAGAAAGACTCTAGTTTTGAGAAAAAAATCATGTTTTAAAGCTTACAAAATCTATTTTGTAAGCTTTAAAACATGATTTTTTTGTTTAGCTGAAACATAAATCTTTTTGTAAACAACAATGTTCCTAAAAATGCAACTTGTTTGTGTGAATGTTCTTCAATTATATAATTGAATTAAAATTAAGTTGAAATTAATTTCACATTGCAATTACCTGGCCCCAATGGAGATACCAACAAATCAACAATCCCAAGTTTCTTTGCTTTGTCGGCCTTAACAGTTTTTCCTGTGAGAGCAAGATCCAAAGTTGTAGGGACTGAAGTAAGTCTGGGCATCCTGTAATATAAAAAATTTTATTTTATGACTTACAATCAATTGCAAATTAAATTTAACGAGTGAAAATAAAATGAAATAATTTTTTTCATAAATAAAAACAACACAATAGCTTTATTAGGATATTCTAACATCGTTAATATGTTGAACAATAATTCTACCACCTGATTATACATAATAACATGACACGCAGCAAAAATATAAATATTTACTATTTCTATTTTCATACTAATGTGTGATTAATATTCGTCTAGAAACTCTTATAAATTAATAAATAATATGAATTTAGTCATACCTAACAGTGCCACCACCTCCAGGCAATAAACCTAACATAACTTCAGGAAGAGCCACAGCTGTTTTGTTATCTTTCACAGCAATTCTGTATTTACAAGCTAATGCCGTTTCCAGACCGCCCCCGAGACACGATCCTTGAATGGCTGCTACATAAGGCTTTGTGGAATTTTCTATGCTCCTAAAGATTTCATGACCTAGAAAAAACAATATCATTGTAAAATCTTTCTCTAGAAGGCTAGAAGTTTTATAGTATGTTTCCAAACACACCATTTTTGGATAATGCAACTACTTCTTCTTTTGTTTTACAGCTTTCAATCATGCTGATATCAGCACCGGCGATAAAGCACCCAGGTTTGCCCGATATGAAAACGGCAGCTTCAATTGCAGGATTGCTTTGTACCTCTTGAATGATTGTCTTAACTTCATCCATTACGGCTTGATTTAAGGAATTAACCTGAAATTATATTATGAACATTCAAAATTAAATGTGAAGTTTGTAGCAAATTCTTTGGAAATCATTTTACCTACACTAAAAATTAATTATTACATTTAGAACTAAGATTATTTCTGGGATAGCCGAGGAAACAAAATAAAACAGAAAGAATTCCATACTTTTCTTAAACTAATGGTAACAAAGTGTAAAACTTATCAAAATTCTTTAGTCATGATTATCAAGGTGATATTTATAAATTATAACATGTTATATAGCTATGAATATAAATAAATTATAAATACAAATTATGTAATTGTAATAAGTTTTGGAAAAATTGGCAATGAGTTGCACTTTAAAAGTGTAGTATGTATATAGGATAGTCATACATTGCAATTTACAACTAATACTTTTTGTACAATTTACTTGTTATTATGAACATTTATCTTAATATCAATTGGATACATATATATAATAAATAGCAACAGAATAATTTTATAGGATAGAAAATTGGTATAATCATATAAAATTGCATGTAAACATGATAAATGTGAGAGATTTATATAAAAAATATATAGTTTTTTATGATTTTTCTTATTTCATAACACTTTTTGTTATTCTTGTTGCCAAAGGAGTTGCCAGTTAGACTTGAACTGTCTTTTGTATAGTCCCTAAGGAAAATCCACTGAATGCTCACATCAAGTTGGAAAATTACTAAATTTTTTACCAAAACCCTTTAGTACCTTTTCAACTCCTCTCTCAATTTGATATGAATTATATTTTAAATATTTACATAATTAACTTTTTATTGTGAAGTGATTGGAATATTTTGTTTGAAAACTACTTGACATACCTTAACATTTGGAGAATCGAGTGTTATGACATATACCCCATTCACCAATTTACACTTGGTGTGGACATGAGACGTTGCTGCAGCCGCGAGGGTTCTGCTATGCAACCCTAAAATTAAATAAGAATTATAATAATAAGCCATAAAAACGTTAAAAGTATCGGAACTGATGCCTGAAAAAGTTTTATTAATTATAAAAAGTTGGACAACTTTTATAACACTTACTATTTATAAAATTTCCATTGTTGTGCCTTCTAAGCACTTTAAGTGCATTAAACATCTTGCTGTTGGACATGATTATGTAAACTGAAGGTAAAATATGAATAAACCGCTGTTATAAATTCGGAATTTTGTACCCAGACTTTGAACCTAAACTTTCTCGACAGATGAGGAGCAAACAGGGCCAGTAGATGGTAGGCGGGGGGAGGGGCATATGAGTTGACAAGAGATGTCATTTGCTTTTTTAAATGTCACAAGATAAAAGACTGTGGACGTGGTTAATCAGAAAGAAATTAATATTTGTTTTGGAAATTATAATATCCATTCTATATAATAATATAGCAATTTATACTATTGTTTGATACATTTTATTAAATAATTATATAATAAATTTTTGCAAATAAAATATCAAAATGAATAATTTTACCTCAATAACTAATAGGTAGAATTAAAGCAAATGGTCCTTATTTACTATATAAAGAATTGGAAAAAGATTTTGCTTTGCTATGAAAAAACTTTGCTTACAGTAATAGTAACGGGTGTCCCATCTAGCGTTTCGAATTTGAACTAACGATAATTTGACATTGGAGACGTCAACTGTCATCGGAGAAGTGTCACATATTTAGTAATAAGTCTGACATTTACGAAATGGGTCGCTATTCGCTTGAGGAAAGCTGGGAAATATTAAAAAATTATTTCCAAAGTGGTGAATCGCCAACGCAAACTGTGCGAAATTTGAAAAAAATATTTGCCAAAAAAGATTTGCCATCGGAGGCATATGTGCGGCAATTTGTGAATCGTGTGCGCGAAACTGGATCACTGTTGGATAAAACAACACGTAAACGTCCATTTCCAGCAAGGTCAACCGAAAACATCGCTGCGGTGGAACAAAGTGTTCGTGAACGGCCATCCACATCGATTCGTCATCGAGCGCAAGAGTTGCACCTTTCTCGGTCAACTACGCACCGAATTTTGCGCAAAGATCTTGCCCTGAAGCCATATAAAGTTCAGTTGGCCCAACAGCTGAAGCCAATTGATCATCCGAAACGTCTACGGTTCGCAAATTGGGCGGAAGGTCGTTTGGCCGAAGATGGTGAGTTTTATCGAAAAATCATCTTTTCCGACGAGGCTCATTTTCACCTCGGCGGTTATGTAAATAAACAAAACTGCCGTATATGGGGCACAGAAAACCCGCACGTCGTTGAGGAGAAACCGATACATCCACAACGAGTGACTGTTTGGTGCGGATTTTGGTCCGGCGGCATCATCGGCCCATTTTTTTTTGAAAATGATGAAGGAGCCGCCGTAACCGTCAACGGCGAGCGCTACCGCGCTATGTTAACTGATTGGTTTTTCGGTCAAATGGAAGAGTATGATTTGGACGATATTTGGTTTCAACAGGACGGGGCTACGTGCCATACAGCCCATGCTACGGTCGATGTTTTGCGCCCAATCTTCGAAAATCGCATAATCAGCAAAAATGGTGATGTGAATTGGCCTCCAAGAAGCTGCGATTTAACACCATTGGATTATTACCTTTGGGGAGCGGTCAAAGACGTTTGTTACGCCAACAAGCCAAGCACGATTGATGACTTGAAACATGAAATTGAAGTTGCCATTGCTGCCATAAGGCCGGAAACAATTGAAAATGTACTGAAAAATTGGACTGATCGAATAGGGTACTGCCAAGTAAGCTGTGGTGGACATTTGACCGAGATAATTTTTCACAAATAATGTCATGAATTATGCTTTCAAATAAATGTTTGATCATTGAAATCTATCGAGTCGTTCTTTTTTTATAGCCTTTTTAAATTCGAAATTTTCCGTGAGACACCCTATATTTTTAATTAATGACAGCAAAAAATATTTCACATCAATCTAGTAAATATGAATATTGCATTTGAAATGTAGCTATGAATAAGAAATAAATGAAGAGAGTAATATTGTCTGGAATACATTGACATCCAAAGGTATTAGATTTATGTATGTTATTGATTAAAATATATAGATATCGTAAAAACGGGCAGAAGAAGGGTGAACATATAGAAAATGATATACCTACATTTTCTCAAAATATTCATGTTTCCTTTATGCCGAGCTAACAATCTTAGCGTTTTGAATTCCGTAAGAATAGTTCTTTTTTTTAAATGACAAAGTTGCAAACGAGCAAACAGCCTACCTGATGAAGATAGAATAGTTTCATGCAATGGACATCCGCAACATGGTTTTGGGACGTGTTGCCTCTCTTGATTGGAGAAGAGGGAGAGGAAAAGATGGAAAAAGGGAAAGAGTAAGAAAGGGTGTGAAAAGGGAAAGGATAAGGCGGCCAACCGTCCCGCATTCTGCGGGACCGTCCCGCAATTATGGACGAAGTCCCGCTTTGAAATTATTCGTAAAATAGTCCCGCAAAACGTTGTATGCGTCCCGCATGTCCCGCATTCCTATTTTTCTACCACACTTCTACACAACACCCATACCACGGTCAACAGTGCAGGAACACAGATTACCTATAATAGGGACAAGCGTATCGCGCCCGCGATAATCTCGTTTTCTCTCTTTCTTCTGAACTCATGACGCGTAAGAGAGTACTTAAATTTAATATGGACAGTTGCGAAGATTTTTATGACATTCAAATCCCTAACCCCCCCCCCCCCCGCCATTCACGAAAGGTTACGTCCCGCATTCAGTTTTCGGAAAGTTGGCCGCCTTAGGAAAGGATGACTAGCTCTCCCATTCATCGGATGAAACATAATAACCGTATAAGACTACTTCACGCCGCTCTTTTGTGAGAGGGTGATACTTCCAGGGTTGAGCCAGCCTACGTTCGTGTTGCAGTAATTTGACCACAGCAAGACTCTACCACCTACAGAAATTCTCATAATAAACAATTATACATTGGGGAATAGGTAAAAGAAAATGCTACCAGTGTTACTTGTTAATGTTATCAATCTAATGCCTATAATTATATCTACGGAAGGTGATGAAAAATGTTTCTTAGTCTTGCCATAAACTCTACCCAAAACTTCTAAATGGATTTTAAGAAAATGTTGATTTTATAGTACCTAATGTAGCTTATATATTAAAGTAAGCACAGGCTATAATATATTCAAATTTTCTGTGTAGTCTCCGCGGTATCAATATATGACAATTTTATTTTGCATGTAGACAGACTGTAAAAATCTCCAACGGTTGGTTACCGTATCTTTTATTAGAATTGAAATCAAATAGAAAATATAGAACAATCATTATCGACATACTCAGGATTCGAACCTACAACCTCCGAAATATCGGTTTCCAATTCCAATCGCGTTTAACTGTCGTAGCAGAACTAAAGTAATATTCTTACGTAAATCTCTATCCAGCATAACTGAATTGGTGAAGCAACTTGAAGGGCATTGTGGATTCAAAACAATGTCATGTCGATGAATTTTTCTTTGTGTATTTTTTATTTAAATTTAATTAATTTATTAACTATTATAATATTGTTATAATGTTAAAAACATAAATATATGAAAAGATCTATTGCTATTGTACACTTTGTACGTTGCTGTCTAAGGCTATTTAGGAAGGCCTCGCGGTTGAAGTCCTCGGCCAAAAAAAGAACAATAATAATTTTATTAAGTATAAAAGTTTGTCAAGTCCCGATAACAAATACTTCAACACAAAAGTGTAGGGTTTCGATGTACCTATTGTTATCGTTTAGTTATAAACGACTAAAACTGTTATGCTTTTAAAATATTAGATCCTTTTTTTTTTTAGGTGCTGACTGCTGACTAAAATAATTTTTATTAACTTTTAAGAATAAGTAATAACAAATTATATTCGTTGTATATATCTAAATATTTAATAATTTTAATTATTACCTTGGACGAAATTATTTTTCTGTAGTTAATTTAAACGACCGTGAACAATTGATCTTTATTTCACTAGTGCCATCTTTGAGATGCAACGGCAAAACTTTCGTAAAATTGCAACAAATTCTAATGAAACAATGGAATAATAAGTTTCATTTTCCGTTGTCCCGTGTGTTAGTCGAGTCAATTGTTTTGAAGTTTAATTCTTTAGAACTCATTCAGATTATTCGGGAATACGAGTGATGTATTCTTGTTAATATACAGGGTGACTGGTGAATTACTATCAATATTTAAGGAGAATACTCGGTACATGATTCTCATTCGAATTATGTAAAAAAAATAGGCACTTAATTTTTGACAAAATTTCCGTATAAATAAATAAAGTGTTGACACGTTCCAAGTGTTCCAAGTGTGGACGCGTGCGGCGGCGTGCTGATACAACACCACGCCACAGCACGCGTATGTGTGTGTGTGTGTGTATACCTAATCTGTAGGGTGTTCACACGATGCGTAATTAATTACATAACTTTTGGTTAACTTTACTTAGAAGTTTATTAATATTTATGTTATATTAATTTTTATTTTGTCATATATTATTATGATCGTCAAATATCACGTCCTCAAGTATGGATAGTAATTCACCAGTCACCCTGTATATGTAGCATGCTAATATACCTAAGAAAAGTTATTGTTCATAAGTAGGGTTGAGGTTGAAGATATTGAGTTGTTTGTGGCATTCGTTGAGGTCGAATAAAACATCCTACATTTAAGACTACGTCGACATTTTGTGAGAGAGTGTTACTTCTCCGGTCGAGCCAGTCCATGTTCGAGCTGTAGTCACTTGACTAAAACTAGAATCTATGACTTAAGAATTACATATATTACATTAATTACATCTCAAAGGGACACATTAGGTTGCTAGAAATTAATTGTACAACATTTATGATCAAGGAATACATATGATGAATCTTTAATTGACCACCAATTTTTTTTTTATGATAAAGGGGCCAACCGAGCATCCGTCGCCCATGGACAGCCACAACGTTGATTATTTATGTTAAGGAAAGGAAAAGGGAGGTTTTATATTACACATATATGTATATACATGAGTATATGAATACTATATGAAGAACTGTGATATCTAAACATTATAATATCGCACGCCTTAATATGATGGAGCCTAGATCGAAACCCTGGTCTATGGTAAAGCGTAATTTAATTTCTTGAAAGGATTTTTAGTTGGCTCTAGCTAAGAACGATTGGTATCAATTTACAAATCTCCTTACTAACTCTTCTCGCTACCAAAAACTCCCTAAGATACCCTTTGTACACGTAAAAACAAATTTTTAAATTTCACATCACATGTACTAATAGAAATATTATATATGTATATTCAATATAAATCATGACATTTCACGGTTATGACTCGTTGGCTCTGAAAGCTCTACTTCATCAAAAGCTTTGGAAGCGTAATTACCCACGTTGACCCGGAATAATCCAGGGCTGCTACTAGATGGCTTCTTCTACTGATTTTTTATACCTCTATCTTTGATGTCTAAGAATTAAATATATCTTGAGAACAATACTATAAGTAAAAGTATTAAAATCATTGTATCGTTCCCTTTTTCTAATAGCTTCAATGGAAATTTATACCACAATGTATGTAGTTATGTGTTTATACTTGAAATCGAACAAATTATCATGTTATGTGGTTGAGTAAAATGGTTCACCATCGTGTGGTCTGAAGCTTTTGCTTCGTCTACAAATTCATCAAATTTTATCCAAAATTATTCACAATGCTCAAATACATTTATTTGGCATTTAGGTTTACGTTTAGTTCCTCTTATTACATTAATACTTTAAGGATTTGATCATAAGAAAATAAATAATAAATGTAATTTCAATTTTATTCTATATATCATGCTGGTAGCCCTAAATCTGTGAGTTCTCTACTTCTTGACAGAGGGTGTTGTGGTGGCGGGCGGTGGGGAGTCGTTTCCATGGTTACTGGAAGAGAATTTGCAACAAGTGGATCTTTCTCTTTTCACAGTGATTTTATAAAGTGCGACTTATTTCTTAGAGATCCCCAGGGTTGTATAATATAACGATAAAACCTTTTATCCACTTTTTGTTGTAAATTTTTAAGTCACATTTTTTTTTACATGCATATACTTTATATAAATGAAGTTAATTTTATTTAAGCTTCTAAGGATTTTCCAAGATAACTTACTAACAATTTTATAATAAGCAATATGTGTCATACTATTATGAATATTTTTGTTGAATTCTTGTGTTGGGGACATTCCAAGTTATTTAAAAAAATATTGAAGGATTATATTATCAATTAATATTAAAAGAATATATAAATAAATTACGTAACTAAATACGAATGCAATAAAACTTCTGTTATATCAAGTTCCGCTTTAGGGAATTGATTCAATTACTCTTGTCTCGAGCATCTGACATAGGGGGTGGTGCTTCATCTCACACCTCGCCCTACCACTCTTCAATGTTCAATAAATCAGCAATACGCTTCTATTTTTATTTTCATAAGTATTTATATAAACAATTAATCATTTAGTTGAGATGTATATGCCATAGTAAACTTAAACTAACACTGAATGAAATAACGTAAATCAATTTCATACTTTCATTTTGTTGTAAAGTTTGCAATTTGCATACATTTAATTGAGTGTATTTCTTGTTTTATATTTAATGATCCATCGTGGTATCATGAATTACAGATAATATTAAAATATATATTAAATTAAACAATTGGTCTGTACTGTGAAAAGCACATCAATCATAGATAATACAGAGCAAGACCTCCCCGTCCATATTTTAAGTCAAAATAAGTATTATTCTGGTGGAAGTGTTTTATTTTGATTTTATATGACTTTTTTAAAATTGTATAATTCGTTGGATACTATAATAGAAAGTTTCAAGTAAATATTTAGATCTTATTAATATAAGAGTAATAATTATTATCTATACCTGTATACCATTTTTTTTATATATTATAACGTAACAAATTAGAATGTGGGTTACAAGGGCAAGACCTCGTTTTTGAAATATTTTGAATCTAAATTATTTTTTTAGTTAGTATTTTAAAAAAATCAAGGAATTATTTTTGAATAATATTTCACTTGAAGTAAATTTTGACGAAAATTATAATATGTTGTAGACAGATAGAGTATCGAAAAGTGTCATACTTTTAATACAATGTACACATTAAAACCTTTTTCAAATAGTTATATCTGGTCAATACTGATCTGTGGTTCTATTCTGTCCGTGAATATATACATATAAATATATATCCTTCGGTAATGTACGATATATATAAAGTGATTTGAGCGGTGCGGGCGTAGTTCGCTAGAAGTATTGGTCAGAACACAGCGTCCTATCGCGCTGTCACAAACGACCGTGATTATATTTATCATTGCGATATATTTGTGTTTATAAATTTATACGTTTGTGCTCTAAAATTTTGGTAAGTTCCTTACAATATATAGATAATATTGAAGATTTGAAATTTAATAAAATAAGTACAATCTATCATAGTCCGTCACTGATAATTTAGCAACTTATTTGACCAACAAATGTTTTGTTATTTGCTCGTCGGACAAGTATCTAATGTTTTTTTCGGTGTTATCAATATTTACAATTTTATTACTATTGATATTGATTTTATTGTTGAAGTAATATTTAAATTATACATAATTATTATCGAAACCAGTTTAAGTTTGTCCATTGAAACAATAACCTTGTATAGAGCTTGCGGTCAAAATTATCTGTTAAAATTTACCATACAACTTGTTCACTAACTCATTTTATTCACTTTCGATCTCCATGTCTTGACCTTCTCTGTCAAGATAATATTAATATTGTTGTATTAGATATTATTGTTTCTTATTGGTGACAAGCGATAAAAATCGACATTTCTCTTAAACTAACCTTCACCTATTTTATTTCATTAATTGTAATTGTTATAAAAATTCTTATTATATTTGTATATCATAGATATTTATTTCCTATAAATATTGTAACAACTAGGAAAAATTGTTATTCGGCTAAAAAATTATTATCTAACATATTTTTATATCAAAATATTATGATGCTGTTATTATGACAACTCTAATTAAATGTATGAACTTTGTTTATTAAAAATATGCTCCTTAAAAATATGTCATTGAGGAAAAATACACGACGATTTATTCCTTTTGGGGAAATACCCGCGCGTAAACGGGGAAAAATTTTGTTAGCAAGAATTTTTTTACGTGTGTTTATGACGTTCACGCCTAACAGGTTATTTTCAATTAATACTTATTTATCCGACAAAATTCTTGGTAATCTTGTAATAAAATATCAAAACCATTTAAACGATTCTCATATTATTTTTATTACATTTGAGTCATCATTATTTATTTACGAAATTATTATTTAAACGAAGAAAAAATCTTTAAAGCTGCTATGTTTTAATGTGCAACTTTCAGTGAAACTTAATTTAACAGCATAGGTATAGTTACAATAATCTCCTATTTAATTACATATTAGTGCCCTTAAAGCAAATTTTCATGGGACTCTTGAACTAAATGAATGGATAAAATTTATATTGAATGGATATACTGAACGAATGAATGAATAGATAAAACTTATATTTAAAACAATATCTTTATGTTATGCATTCCTCATTCACCTTATTTGGTGTCAAGTGATGAGGTCAATTACGTTTGTAAATCCAGCACTATTAGCTTTATCACAAGTTTGCATCGTCACACTACACGTAAAGCGTTCCTGGTTTTTCATTCATAAATCTGATTTGATACTGTCATGTGTGCAAATTTATGAATGGGAAACTTCTAACACTGCGTTTGTTGTCGACTATGCAAAACTTATAGTAAGCATAACATTGCAAAGAGTTGCAAAGAAAGACTCAACCACTTGTATGATGGCTCGATTATGATCACTACCTTTATGTGCTATTTACTTTTTACAGTTTCTACTTTCAATTTTTAAGTAAGAACACCGCAAACATATTGTTATACATAACAAATATCACGAAATAAAATTGTAATATTGTCAATATTGACTTGATTTAGCATATATATCATTACAAATAAAATAATCTTTTGTTACCTTGTAAATATCTTTTCGACCAGCTTTGGGACCTAACATATTCGTTACAGTTTCTTTATATCAGTGGTATTTTAAGGGATATCCGTATCCTTGCTCAAAGATTGATATACTGATATATACTGACGGTAATACTCTTTCCATAAATCGTGGCACATTAACGTTATTAAATAACACATGGGAAACCCGTGTGAACAAAATAATGATACAAACTTATACTAAGCATTCATTTCGATTTGATACATATAAACTAACTAAATAGGAATCAAAACTAAAGTCAACATTTTAAAATAAGAACTCTATATTTAAAAAGTAAAGAAAAATGCACAAATTTTCGTTCTTTTCTTACTAAAGGAAGACTACATTTGTTGACTGACATCTGTAAGTACGATACACATAGGCATTTTATTCTTAATATTCGTAGGCGGTGGAAAAACTTAATATTAGCTATACATAGGTATATTTATGAATGAGTTCTGCAAAATGTTTGAAAGAGTGACGAATAGGTTTTCTTGGTGACAATTCAGTATGATTAATATTATTTCCTATAAAACTTAAAAATTATGCATTCAGTTATTAATGGCAACTGCTCTCGTTTTAGTCTAACCTGAATTAAATAATTGACGTTGATTGCTTCTTAACGAAACTGTTTTTCTTCTTGATAAAAAGAAAAAATCTACCATTGCATGAACATAATTTTGGTTAGAAAATATGTAACAACAAACGTTACAAATGCAAGTGGGATTCTGTAGGTAAAAATATAGAATTAGCATTAGTCGTTTAACTACAGGAATTAATTTAAAATGTTAAGTAAAATTTCTGTATGAAAACAAAAAGCTAAAGATAAATTACTTATCTTGGAAGATAAAGAATAAATGCCATCATAAAAGAACATCCTCGTAGCTAATGGTTTGTTATAAATATGTTATAAATTTTTCGGCTTTGTTTACGTATTATGCTTAAAAACTTTTTATTTTTAACATATGACAAAATGTATTCTTTTCGAAAAGCTTGCTGTACTTGAACGTCAAGAATATGACTAAGACCAGGATTTCAGATCGACGGGAAGTCCCCAGCGGGTTTTAATTATTTTGCCTTAAAATATGCGCTACAAAAGGGCTACACCTCTCTTTATTTTGCGGTGTTAAGGAGTTTAATTGAGTATACATATAAATTTCAACGTGATAAATCCATGCATATCAGGGCACAGAGAATACAATATAGTTCTACTTCATTATTTATTTCCATTTTTACTACACAACCCTTAAAAAGTGGTCACAAGAACTAAAATGCAACACGTCAATACCGACACTACTGATCATTAATTATAAAAATATACATTTTTTCTGACTCCTTTTTTTGTATATTACTTGTTTCGTGTCCACATTCTCAAGATCTAATTCTAGCTTGAGAACAACGACAGTTTTTCCTTCATCTATTCGAAGTTAAAGCCGCTTACATTTGCGTATCCCATGAATATCGCTGATACAATTTAGTAACAAAAAATACAGATAATTATCTCAATATTATAAATTTTTCATTGTTTATATTTTACTTTATGGCTCAGTAATTATTACCGGCACAGTTCTTGACAGTTCACCTACTTTATTGTAATTCAAGGTGAATTATTAAACCTACATTAGTATTGCATTTATTTAATTGATTATCGGATACAGTCTAATAACAATGGTTTTTCTCATTGTTAGCCCCTTTTTAAATTCGTAAGAACAAATTATATTGACAATCAGAGCAATATTATGCTAACTATGAATATACAAATAATGTTCTAGGCTTATGTTTTTTGTAGCACTTGGAACAGATTTAAATTCAAGTGTCAAAACTGATTCTAACAACGTAAAGTTTCCGAGGTCCGTGTATAACCTCGCACCACTTGCTGCGTTGTGCAACCAGCTATACTGCCGCTCTCTCGGCATTGAATACGGATACTAATAAATCTGTAGATTCCTTAATTGTTCCTTTATTACTAACACTATAAAGAGAACGGTTGGATGTACATTTTTCGTATACTTTATTGCGTACTTTCAATTAATATTAAGCACTTCATTTGTAGATCTTATTTCATAAAAAAAATATTAATTAAAAACAAATTACTTTATAGACAAAATGGAAGCTAAGGAGTTCAAGGATTTCGCGAAGGCAATGGCTGATTACATCGCCGAGTACTTAGAAAATATACGCGACAGGTATGGCAGATGTATTATTAAAAGATAATTAATTTGTAGGCATACTATCAAAAAACATAATAACATGTAACTATATTAAAATCACATATAAAATATTATGTACCTACAAACCTACACGAACTTATGAATTATTATATTTTTTCAGGCAAGTGGTGCCTTCAGTGAAGCCAGGATACTTAAGACCTTTGGTACCGGAGCAGGCACCAGAGAAGCCTGAACCCTGGACTGCTGTAATGGCTGATATAGAGAGAGTGGTTATGTCAGGAGTTACCCACTGGCATTCCCCACGTTTCCATGCCTATTTTCCCACTGCCAACTCCTATCCGTCGATCGTTGCAGATATGTTAAGCGGAGCCATCGCCTGTATTGGTTTCACCTGGGTAATTATAACCATACAACAAAATATTAATTTATATATTAAATGAATATTTGTCAAAAAAAAACTTTGCAAGCATTAGAAGGGTTTGAGTTAGATATAGAAACTTCAACTCAATTATTAGGTACTTATGGTGGAAATTCGAATACTTTTTATTAATTAAATAAAAACATAATTAATGTAATATTTGGGCTAATCAGATAGATACGAATAAAATTTCAAGGTGTATTTTAATTACCGTAAAACGCAATGACTTTGAATACTTTTGACGTTATTCGACGTTAACTTTAAAAAACCTACCACGACCTACAAACCGATTTAATATTTAAATAAAGCTATTTTTATTCCAATTTATTACATAAATAAAAATAATAATCATTAATTATTATTATCAATAGTATCTGATCAATTAACATTACGTTGCATTATGTATTTCCATAAACCATTGTCAAGGTGACGTGATATCATACATTTGTCAAGGAATACGAGTTTAGAAAAACGTACGTAAAACAAGATTTTTAATAGTATTTATAAATTGACTTAGCTATAAAAAAGAGTTATAATTTAAGTGTATATAATTGTGGAACTAAAATTTACATGGAAAAGGGTTAATACATTTTAACGAATTTAAACATTAACGGTCGGTTTTAAAACGATCTTATTGTCCTATAAATCACAGATCGCAAGTCCAGCTTGCACCGAGCTTGAAGTCGTGATGCTGGATTGGCTTGGCCAGATGCTTGGTCTGCCAGAAGAATTCCTGGCTCGCTCTGGCGGTGAAGGTGGTGGCGTCATTCAGGGTACAGCCAGTGAAGCCACATTGGTCGCTCTGTTGGGAGCTAAGGCCCGAGCGATGCAGAGGACTAAGGAACAACATCCTGACTGGACGGATGTTGAAATCCTGTCCAAACTTGTTGGATATTGTAATAGTGAGTTTAGAACATCTTTCACTGTATATGATACCTCCACGTCAGAAAAGGAACGTAAACGGTGTTTTAGATAAGTGATTTGGTTCTTGTTTATATGCCATTTTTATATACATTTTTAAAATTACTCTTGCAGACGGCCTAGTTAATTAGGTACCTTTAGTAATTAGATTTAGATGTCCGAGTATATTTTTGTTCTTAAAATATCATATATGTCAAATCCATCCGAATGACTTAGGATTTGTTTATTTGTATTTCCAGAACAAGCTCATTCGTCAGTCGAGCGAGCTGGTCTCCTCGGTGGAGTTAAACTCCGCAGCCTCAAGCACGATGACAAGAGACGCCTGCGTGGAGATACCTTGAAAGAGGCTATAAACGAAGATATCAAGAATGGATTGATACCGTTTTATGTAAGGATCTAAACGAAAACATGTTTTTAGATAGAGTTACGATTCTGAACATTAATATACAAGTTTGTTGCAATATATTTAACAGGATAATTCTTCGAATGAGTTCTAATTGAATCGTAAGACATAATAAAATTGATGTATAAACTAAATCCAATACGCAGGTGGTCGCAACCTTAGGTACAACATCATCGTGCGCTTTCGACGCACTGGACGAGATAGGCGACGTCTGCAAGTCGCGTGACGTGTGGCTTCATGTGGACGCGGCCTACGCCGGCTCTGCCTTCATCTGTCCGGAGTACCGCCACCTCATGAAGGGAGTCGAAAAAGCCGACTCGTTCAACTTCAACCCTCACAAGTGGATGTTGGTCAACTTCGACTGTTCCGCCATGTGGCTGAAACAGCCGCGTTGGATCGTTGACGCCTTCAACGTTGATCCTCTATACTTGAAACATGATATGCAAGGATCAGCACCGGATTACCGTCACTGGCAGATACCTCTTGGAAGACGCTTCCGATCCCTTAAACTATGGTTCGTGTTAAGACTGTATGGAGTAGAGAACATTCAAAAATTCATCCGTAAACATATTGGTCTGGCACATCTTTTCGAAAAACTCTGTCTTGATGACGAAAGATTTGAACTTTTCGAGGAGGTCACTATGGGTTTAGTTTGCTTCAGACTCAAAGGTGACAATGAAACTAATGAGGCTCTCTTGAGACGTATTAACGGACGTGGGAAGATCCATCTTGTACCTTCAAAAGTGGATGACGTTTATTTCCTAAGATTTGCTGTTTGCTCGCGTTTCACCGAAGACAGTGATATTCAAAGCTCGTGGGAAGAAATAAAGGCATCTGCTGATGAAGTCCTAGCAGAAAAATAGATTATGGAATTTTTCCTAACAAAACAAATACATAAATGAAGTAGATTATTAATGTTCATAGCTTATGACGATTGTTTGCTTATTTATTGATGATATTGTGTAAGTAGTTCGATTAATAGGGTCTTAGACATGTGACAAAGTCGTAATAGATATGATTTATACTTATTAGTTTATAATAACAATTTTAATTTTTTTATGAAAGGAAATAATGAAATTCAATTCACCCTTAATTGTATAATTTTGTACAAATACATATATTTATAATTTAAATTGTTATGTTTTAAGCGTTGATTGATCCCAGTTGTGGTTAGTCTTATGTAATTAGTACGCATTTAAATTTGAAACGCATATACGAATATCGGTTTGATGTATGTTGATGTTGATATATATGTTGATTCCCAAAAGAGGGTTGATGTCAGGCAGGCGGCCGGTCGTAAAAACAATTAGCCAAAAACTATTCACAACATGTAAGGCAGACCCTGGCTGTAGCTGGGAAATTGCCAGGTAGAAGAAGAAGAAGAATACGAATATCGGTTTAGATTTGAACGTGCAACTATGCAAAATTACATTAGCTGATCACTTATTTGTTACGTAAGTTAAAAATAAAATGTCAAATATTTATTCATTGAAATGAAAATCACTATCAAAGTGTTAGGTCAAAATCTGTTCTGCCTTGTAATAAAAATAAGTATATTTAATTCAATTGTGTTATGTTTGGTAGGATGAAAATTTACGTACCTGTTGAGAACTATATTTAATGGACCATATAAATTTAAACAAAATATTTCTTGGTATTGTAGAAGAAATTCTTAAATAAACTTTCGCTTGAATCAATTTTGCGCGAGTAGGTACATGTTTTTGTTTTAAATAATTGATAAATATTATATAAATGTATATTTATAGTTATCGATGCAATAATATTGTCGTATAGGAAAATATTTAATGTTTATATGATAAACTAGAGAAATGTTATCAAATATATGTTTACAAGCATTTGGTTGTATTAGCATTTGCTTACGGTTGTCCAATAAATAGTTAGTCATTGTGATGTTATGTACGAGTATGCTTATCTTATTACGTAGATAATATTATATATAATAAATATTAATGATTGAAACATTTGCCTTTTTTTATAAAACATAAATTATTTTTGTAACCTATTCAGAAAAACATTATTTATCATATTTGTGAAATACTTCCCGATTACTAGTTTTCCGTACTGTCTACCTGTCTTTTTCTTCTTCTACCTGGCAATTTTCCAGCTTTAGCCAGGGTCTGCCCTACTTACCGTTCTGTACTGTCTACCTATGTCCTTATATATTTGCCCACAAAAGGCTTGGAAACTTTCGATATATACTTACCGACTCGTGTGTAAGTATACAAAATACGTTTAAAATAAAGTTATGTGTATAGATAATTATAAAATAATTAATTTATTTGAAAAAACTCTAGATTGACTAAATGACAGTAGGCTTCTGTTAAATGAAACTATTTTCTCGAGTGGAACACCGTGAAAAAGTTTTAACCTTACATATACAATTTTTCTATCAAATAAGAATAAACTATACTTAAACGTTTTTAAATAGAAGTTGTTTTTAAATAAACCGTTTTATTTATATTCATTTATAAGCAGTTTCTCTATAAAATAAATGGCCATTAAGAAATTAAAAACAAATAAACAATCTTCTTGATAGAAGACACTAAACTGTGGAGTAGACAAAAGTAAATCAAAATTGTATAGTATGATATTATTAAAACCCAATTATTTAATTAAATAATAAGGTCAATGGAAGAAAATGATATTATTACCTTTAACTTATATGTGGCCTAGGAGTTTGTATGTAACGTTAAATTGCCGTAACAACAAAAAAGTCAAACGAGTGATTGAAATATCATTAGCGACAAAATGGTTAAGATGTCTCAGTAATGTAGTGAAGACTTCGGGGAAGGAACAATGTATCCTGGACTCTTGCAGCATCAGTCCCAGCTGCAAAGAGCCACGAGTCATAATAGTTGGCGCTGGAATGGCAGGTTTATCAGCAGCTCACCGACTAACTCAATGTGGAATTAATAATTTTTTAGTTTTGGAAGCCAAGGAAAGGTAGATAATTACTTATATAAATAATATATTTATTTTATAGTTTTGATATAAATCATATCTGTTTGCATTACAGACCTGGCGGACGTATTCACTCATGTTGGCTTGGGGATTCAGTGATCGAAATGGGCGCTGAATGGATTCGGGGAGCATGTTTACCTAATCCTGTATATACGTTAGCATCAACAGACAGACTTTTACAGGACCCACTCGCTCGTCTGGATGCAAGTAAAGGACTGTTCTGTACCAGCGAAGGCCGTGCTATAGATTTACCAGTGACAATCACAGCTTATCATACATTTAGGCAAATAGAACAACAAGCTGCTAATCTATTCAGATTAGGATGTGAAAGAAGGCATGGTACGCTTCTTAATTTTATAGCACTACGTATCCAACAGGAGTTACATAATTTTCCCGAAGACCAACGATACGACGCAGCCAGGGTAATGTTTGGTCTAACTAACATATTAAGAAATAGATGCGGTGATGATTTATCACTTATAAGTGCTGATCAATATGGAAGCTACATTGAACTCCCCGGAGGTGTTGTCCGTGTTCCATTAGGCTTTATAGGAGTTATAGCACCATTGCTTCGAGGTTTACCTGATAACTGTATACGTTATAATAAAGCTGTTAACGTCATTCGCTGGGGAAAAGGCCAGACAGGTAAAGGTAGAGTTTTAGTAAAATGTTGTGATGGAGAAGAAATAAACGCTGATTACGTCATTGTTACAATGTCTCTCGGTTGTCTGAAATGCCAAGCTGATAAACTGTTTGCTCCACCTCTACCAATGTGTAAACTGGAGGCTATATGTAATTTAGGTTATGGCCTCAGTGACAAAATATTCCTAGAATATGCGGAACCGTATTGGGCCTGTAATGAGGGAAACCTGAAATTAGCTTGGTCTGCTGAGGAACTACAGTGCAGGTGCGATTGGACCAGAGGGGTTTGTGCCATAGATGAACTGCCAGGAAGTAAACATGTTTTATGCTCCTTGATTTCGGGACAGGAGGCGGCTGTCATGGAGTCAATGTCAGAGAGTGATGTTGCTGAAGGATTGACAGGTCTTTTGCGTAGATTTACTGGAAACCCTTGTCTTCCATATCCGCAAATGATACTAAGGTCGCGTTGGGCACTCGATCCTCATTTTTGTGGAGCATACAGTTACATGGGCTGCTGTTCAAACGTTAGTCTCCAATGCGAACTTGGCACACCTGTGCCTGGTCCGTGTGACCCACAGCCTCCTATAATTTGTTTTGCTGGTGAGGCCACTGTGCCTGGCCATTTCGCTACAGTACACGGAGCCAGGCTAAGTGGTGTAAGAGAAGCAGAACGTATTATACAGCTTACTAAAAAATTCGACGGCCCTCCGCGTTAAATTACACTCTTTTTATAATTTTGTAAAATTTCTTTTTATAATCTTCCGTATATGTTGCCTTTTTCATTACGTTTGAACCTGTGTTTCTATCAACTTTTTTATTAAAAATATATTTTTATAAATAATTGTATTATTTCGAAGCAGAGCGATTTAAGAATCTAGCTAAAAATATTTAAAAAATACCTTTAATGTAAATTTTTGGAAAAATATTTGAAACAGAGACGACATCGAAAATATTTCTGCTTTATTGAAGGAAAAACAGTTTATACTTTGAAATACAGTTGGATAAAAATAAAAAGTACAGCATTTGGTAAAATTATTTAATTAAATATTATTTAAATACATTTTATACATGCTTAAATAAAATACTGAAGGGTCATTACAATATCACATCTTAACCAAAGTTAAGAATTTAAGTCTATGTAATAGTGAGGGTAATTATGTAAATAAATAGAAATATTAAAGTTAAAATGCTGAACATAATGACTTTTGAGCTTGTCAAAATTCGAGCTTATATGTGGGATTAATTCTAATGAGAAGTGGAAATTCAAGTAAGACATGAAAAAACATTCAAACATTTAGCTATAAGTTCTTTAAAACAGATGCTTCCATGATTCTATTAAATATTTTGGCTAATATGACTGTTATACAATATGCATCATAAAAAATGTTAACTTATGACCAAATTAATACAATTTTTAATACCTCAACCGACACGTAAATTAGCAACGGTTCCCTAATAAGATATAAAGCATTAAAATAATTATAATTAAAACATGTCACTTTATTATTTAAAATTACATACAAAACTTCAAAGCTTTAAGAAAACTACCACAATTATCAGAAATTGACAAATAATCTTCAAAATCAAATTTAATTTTACCATTGCTATAACATCTATCTCTATTTTGTACGGCATATGAATGAGAGAAAAATGGTCCTACATGTGGCCATATTATGATAATCTTATACCATACATTCAGTTTAAACAATAGAGGCTCTTCAAGTTTTATATCAATGTTCGAATCAAACTCCGTTTCAGCCTTGAAGTTGAAAGAACTAATTATCCTGTTATGAGATTCACATTCTATAAGCACTGAGAATTGTTCATGATATGTGTTAGCAGTATTACTACAGTAGTCGGCCACAGGTGCCATTCTTGATGGTATAATTAAAGTGTTTATAAAAGTTGATTTGTTAGCTTTTACTCTTGTCTGTACTATAAAGTTGTTGGGGTCGACAACTAATGGAGATTCAGATCTGATTTGTGTACGATGACACAAACACCATTGCAGTTCCATAGATTTTCGAGGCAAAGTTGTAGTATCGAATATAGGCAAGATTTTGTTGTTAATATCACCGGGACTTTTTACTACCTGTTCTATATCCTCTGCTTCATTATTTAGTAACAAATTATTCTGACATGAAACTATTTCAGCCAAGTCATTAACTGACAGTGTAAAGAATCGTAATAATTTTAATAAGCCACTTTTAATTAAAATCTCTCTCCTATTATGAAAATCATTTTTGATATTGTTCTGATCGCAATAATGAAAGGTCCATTCAAAAACACTCTGTATAAGATCTTTTTCAACAATGTTCATATCATTGCTTTTGAGAATTTTTTGCAAACAGTTTGCAGATATACATTTTTTGTTTTCCTTCAAAAGATATTCTGCGTGTTGACAAAAAAGTTTTAAAGCTGATGATACTAGCTGGGGTTCTTGCATGTAATCTGGATAACTTAGAATGGTGATTATATTATCAATGCTCATATTTGATTGTATGTACGAGACACAGATCTCACTTAGATATTCTAACATGTATTTTCTTGAAGCATATAGTAAATCATAAGCATCTTCAATAGATTCTATTGTAACTTTATCTGTATAAATATAATTTAAGAGAAGTTTAAATATATGTGGCTCAATGTCCGTTATGCTGATTTCTTCATTAGTTGACAAAGGACCGTAAAACATGGCTTCAAACACAGGACTACTTATAACCAATATTAATTTATGGGCTTTAAACTTTTTATCACACACTGAGAAGCAACAATCACTCCACTCATAGGACAGTAGAAGTTTATTGACACGATCATAGAGATTGTTGTGTGACGGTACACCCATTTTGTATCCCATCTGAAAACAACCACGAGTTATTGACCAGATAATTTTATTTATAACATCGGAATATATTAAAACAGGTTGTATATAACGGTTTGTTTGCTGAAGCGGATACCTGTTTCGCTTCAACCAACCTTGAACTTGAGATATGACTTGAGGAGTAATTTAAACCCGACGCTGCGCAACAATAATTTTCAATAATAAGGAATAGAAAAAAAATCGAAATCAGTTTGTATGAAACGATATCGAACAAAGAATATTAAAACCGCTTACCTTGTAATTTGAATATGAAGTCACTGTTCAGCGTACTAATTGTACCGACCGCGGACTACGTCAATTCATTAGTTCGTTTACACTTGCGGATGTTTGCAAACAAGGATGAGAGGCAAGCGCGTGATAAACACAGCTGTCAGACATGAACGCTAACTTCAAAATTTAAATCTGACATAGCGTCAGATGTTAAATGACAATTGTATGTAAAAATAAGTCAGAAATACATATAATGGCAGATATGCATTGGATGTGTGAGACAAGGTTTATAACAATTCTTGTTATTTCAAAATTGTAACATTTTAATTCTCTATTGGTACATACATGGTAATATAAATTGCAGTGTCAAATGTTTCTATTCCATAGTAGTATGGACAGAACGTTATAATTATAATCATCACTTGAATGTAGTTTTAGCTTTATAATATAAATTAAATATAATATTATTATTTTATAGATCATTTTTATCATAAAACTTAAGAAGTTGTTGTTGATTCTCTGTTTTAAGTTTTTAAGAGTTAAGCGATACTTTGAGAATATTTTATTTTCCTTTCAAAACTAGCGTAAAGAAACATTGTATTCATGCTACAATAAAGTAATCATTTAATGTCTTGACAATTTTTTCTTTCATGAATGTTTTTATTGTTAATAAGTATATGTATTTATAATACTACATATTTTTATCATTTATCTAATGTAAATAATATTTTTACTCTGAAAATGTTCTTAAATTATATCCTAATGTATTTTGTTAAAATTTAGATCAATAATTTCTCTAGTCAATGTTTGAATTTTATGCAACAAACAGTAATGCAGTATTACGTCATTAATTTTTCCAAATCTCAACAGATATTTATTTTGATATACTGCGTTAGTTTTCTATTAGAAGTGTTATTTTAATAAAGATAATTGATTATTTTAAAAATCACATTTTATTGTAATTGTAATTTTTATGGGGTATATGTGAGCGTGGCACTAAGTATAAAATATGATCTATAAAAGAGATATAAATAAGTTAAGGACGGAAAAATATTGGGCCTTATAAACAAAGTTATCATGTTTGCGGTTAAGAATAACGTTACTTTTAAAAAAAGGTGCGAAATATTCAGCTTTTGACATAAAAAGCTATTTAAAAATATTATTCCTGCATTTTAAAATTGCTTTGATTTTTCGTTAATAAACTCATAAACTCACTTAACTGACAACATGCCCCATTAAAAGTTAAACATTTGTATCATGTTTATTAAAATACATCGATATTTGCTTTCAAATTAATTTAATTTCATGTTCACTGAATCTAAATTTTGTTCACTAGTACTTTTTATAATTATTTGTTTCATAAGTAGGTTTCTAGTTTAAAGAATGGTAATCTATGGTATAATGTTTAGTGCTTCAATGTTTGACATTTGTGGTGTCCCGCCGGTGTATATATTTTGTGAATAGATAAGTCTTTATTAAATTTAAAATGTTTTTAAAGAGTGGTTAAAAACTTGAAAGTCTCCGAGATGACTTCTAGTTTTCAGGATACGGTTTTGGATTTCGATTTAAATTTTCTCCAACAACCATCAATCAACGCTGAGGTAAGGTTATGTTGCGTTAACTTTTATTTAAAAGGGGTAGTTAGTCGAATTCTTTTTGTGTTGGCTAATACTTAAAGTTATATTTAATTTACTGCAATTGTTGATATAAGTTCTTGTAGATAACGGCAACTTTTAGACTTCATGACAACATAACCTCAAATAGTAATGTTCATGTATGTTTTTCTTATAAAATTTTAATATTCGTCTATATTTGTGTGATACTATAACAAAAACTTTTGTAATTAATATTTTTAGATAGAAAGCAAGTTAGAGAAACAGAAGAAAGCTATTCTAATAGCTAAAAAGAAGACAATTGCTACTGAGTAAGTTTGACATTTAAGTTTTTAAGTTTTTTGGTACATACTAAGTTATATATTATAAAATATTAATGAAACATATTTTTCAGTTCACTCATTAGGAAATATTACGAGAAAAAAGAACAGTTAGATCAGACAGAAATAAGATTGTTGGCATCAAAAGAGGAATGTAAACAAATTTGTATAGATTATAAAAATTCAGTAGAAAAATGTACTCAACTGGAGAAGGTAACTATTCTAATAGATCAATTTGTAAATATATAAAACCTTTCATTGATTGTTATCACATAAATATTTGTAATTTTTCAGGATGTCCAGCTTTTACAAAGCCGATATTCAGAAATGGAACAGAATTACATTATGTCACAAAACCAGGTTGAAGCTATGAAGTCTCATGCCAGGCAATTACAGGTATATATGGTTAAAGTTTTATTTACTGGTATTCAACAGTATATATTTCCAAAGCATTTGAAAAATATATTTGTATGTCTGAAATACTCTTAATTAAGGATGTACCATTCACATAATTTCAATCGATTTTTGATATACATTTCTTTTCATACAGGATTTAGTGAAAGAGAATGAAACAACAATTGAATCAATGAAAATAGATAATGGTTTAGAAAAAAGTAACATAAAAGATATAGAAAAGAAATTTGCATCTCTACAAAAAGAACATGATCAAGTTTTGAAACAGTTATCTCTGGCATGTGTTATAGCTTTAGGAAAGAGTAAGTAAATAATTGATTCATTATATTTATTTAATCAATATTCATACCGAATTGGCTATCAAATATTCCAATAATATTATTTTAACCAAGAAATATATTCATTTCTTCACAGAAAAACTCCAAAATCATCACAAAAATATTCTCCAAAAGTATGTAAGCACTAATGATGATCAAGATGAAGATGATGATGATTCTTTATCAGAGAGTAGTGAAGGGACTGATTTCTTCGAAGCATCACCTGATTCACCTTTATACACCGTCATTGAGATATGCCCCGAAGTGGATGAGACAAAAGAGGTATATATCACCCAATTATATATTTATGAGGTATTTATAAAATAAAATCTTATATTTGTTATGTCTTTATGTTACAGGCTGATATCAATAATGATGAAAAAGAATCTATTAAACAAGGTAATGTATATACATATCTTGGATCTGTGGTTTTTTATTTAATAATGAGTGATGATTATATATTATTTGTTTTACAGATGTGAGAAGAATGCTAGAAGATCATGAATCAGATTACAGTAATGGTGTGGTCAGTGAAGATACAGGGAGAGGTTCATCACTCGCTTTCTCCGATTCAGAGAAATGTGTGAACAGTCCAGATTATTTTGCAACTAACAGTCCAGCCGTTGAAACTAATCCTAAAAACAGTAAAACTTTTGCTGACGCATCAACTAGTACTAGGAAAAATCCAGAAATGATACACAGAGCTACAAGCCCTATAGCTTTTGATGATGATATTGAAACAGATCATACATTATCACAAATTGTAGTGCAAGATGAAAACCTTATCACAGATTTGAATTTAAGTGATACTGCAAATATAAAAGAAAAGCCGAAATTGATTGATATCGCAACAAGCCCAGTTAGAGATTTAGGAAAAATTACTATTGCAACCAGCCCAGTTAGAGATTTAGGAAAAATTACTATCGCAACCAGCCCAGTTATTTTCATGGATACATCAGATATAACTACTTGTACTTCAGACTCCAATAAGGATAATGGAACAAATATTGTTCATAATGAAGATAGTGAGAGAAACGAAACAAGAAATCATATTGTATTTAATGATTTATCAAATAATTGTGAACTCGAAATAAGTGGTAAATCAAGAAAAGAAAAAAGTTGCTTCGAAAATCAGAGTAGTATTGATACACAAGAAGAAATTAATAATGATAATGAAGTAGAAATGATATTAAATACAATGAAACTTAGGCATAAATTAATAACTCCCCTTCCTCAAACCCCAGTGAGATTAAGTAAAAAGATAAGGAAGCATCTAGAACCTGTATACGAAAAACCGAATGTCGAAATTCAAAAGCACTCATGTCCTGATGCTATAGAATTAAGAGAAGAAAATAAATTACTGAAATCAAGTATAGCCGATCTTACTAAAGATATACTTAACATAAAATTCATATTAAAAAAACAGTTATTAATGCCAGAATCACCAAAGAAATCACCTACAACAACAAATATAGAATCATCGAATACTAAATTACATGATAATACTAGTCAACAATCAATAATTACAGTGAATGATAGTGATGAAAATATTACGGTAGTGAGTAATGAAATTCAAAATTGTGACGTTACAGTTGATATATGTCCAATGGAAGTGTCGAATGATAAAACATTAGTTAGGGATAGTGAGAAACATATAGATTTTGATGATGAATTATCACCTGGCGTGATAAGTAGTCATGAAACTGACTTCGTTCCTATACTACCTCAGGATATTTCAATAGAAGCTCCTCAAAGAACGTCATACATACAAGCAGACAGTCAAAATATAAACAGTGAAGATGTAACAGAAAATAATAGCGTTCCTGAAACCAGGTGTGAAGAATTAACTACCTCTGAAAATGTTTTTGAAATAATAGATAACCCAGTATCTAAATGTGAAAGTGATATGTTAGATATAAATAGACATGACAAACAAAATGTTGGAAGACAAAAGAAATTAAGCAGACTCGATAAACTTAGACGAAGATTAATACCGAAAAGTAAAATAAAGTTTAAACCGCCACCGACACGTAAACGCAAACATTGTAAAATTATCCCAATAAGCAAACTAAATCAGTCTGAAACGGTTCTGAATAATAAAGTGGCCTTTGAAAAAGCTATTAAAGTTATGAAGGAATTAAATTTAAAACAGTTAACACCAAATAAAGATATGAGCAGTATTAATAAAAATGTAGAAATTAATAAAACGCCAGAAAAGATCAATGCGGTTACCAAGGAGAATAAAAATGATGGCGATGTCAAAAGTTTGTGTAAAGATAAAATAGATGCTAAACAGTTCGTTGTATGTTTGCCGCGATTGAATTTAGAAAAACAAATGCAGAATATCAAAAAATGTGGCATTCAACATGTCGAAAATACATTGGGATCAGTGAATTCAAGTCCCGAAAAATATACTGACGATATTGATACAGCTTCTCCGAAATCTGTTAGAACGACTCGCAGTAGAAGTAAATTAGGGGACCAGAGTTACGATGAGAATATTCTAAGTTTAAAATCGCCGAGAAAGGTTACAGAAGAAGTTGCGGAAGAAATAATAAAAACACACGATCGATCGGAGAAAGTACGGAGAAGATTAAAACGGGTAGCGTCAGATAGTTCAGATGTTAGTTGCAAGAGAGTGTTGCGAAGTTCGTTAAGAGATTCGCGAAATAGCATAGAAGATAATAATGTAAGTTTAGCTGAACTTGCTAGTCCAAGAAGGACCAACAACACGAGTAAAATAAAAAGTCCCATAAATAGGAGTTCGTTAAGAAATTCGCGAAATAGCGCAGAAGATAATAATGTAAATTTGGCTGAAATTACTAGTCCAAGAAGAACTAATAACACGAGCAAAATAAAAAGTCCCATAAATACAAATTCGTTAAGAGATTCAAGGAATAGCAGAGAAGATAATAATATAAGTTTAGCTGAACTTGCTAGTCCAAGGAGGACCTATAGCACGAGCAAAATAAAAAGTCCCCTAAATAGAAGTTCGTTAGGAGATTCGAGGAATAGCGTAGAAGATAATAATGTAAATTTGGCTGAAGTTACTAGTCCAAGAAGATCTAATGACACGAGCAAAATAAAAAGTGCCCTAAATAGAAGTTCCGAAGAAAATAAGACAGATAAATGTAATATAAATGCTTCGAATCCAATAGTGGAATCTAATAATAATAATATTGTTGACGTCACTTACGACTCTCGAGTCAGTGACCCAAGAAAAAGTATACTTTGCAAGATGATAGAGAAATATGGAAGAGGTTCAGTGAAATTCGCTCCAAAGAAAATTTCAGGTAAATAATTTCACATTTATCATTATTTTATTTAATAACAAAAGCGTCATAAATTCTAATCGAACTTGTCATTCGTTTCAGAAAACATCACAAATCAAATCTACAAAAAATTAGAGACAGATATTGCAAATATCATAAAATTACCAGCGGATGAATCGAAAGCAGCGGCCAATAAACTGGTCGAGGAACTTCAAGAACTGAAAACGAAACATTTTATGTCGGGATTTATGAAGTATTTAAAAGACCCGTTACGCAAACAGGAATTATTTAGCAAAGTCACATTAGCCCCAGCGCCGTGTATGACGAAATCTGAACAAATTTTACTCTACATTCTGAAGGAAATGGAAGTCACTACACCAGATTTTGTTAATTTGGTTCTGACTCATATAGAATTTTCTTTATTCCATCTCAATAAGACACCTGAATTCGATGTTATCGAAAGCCTGTCGCATTTCTATGCACTGACTTGTCGCTACTTCAGACTCAAAACACGTTTGAGACTATTTCTATTAGATGCCATGTATTGTTTACAATTCAAAGTCGTGCCACTCGTTAAACAGTGTTTGGAAGTTTGGATGCATATTCTGCCTTTGGCTCATATGGGAATTGGTAAGATTTCAGATTTTGATTATGTTTGCTACTGTATTGCTTTATAAGAGCATGAAAACTGCATGAAAATGAACAAAAAGATTGAGACTCCACAAGGAGGAATTCGCTTTGTTTTTGCAAGGAATGAATGCTTGTAATATTGAATAATTATTTTTTATTAAAATCATATCTATAAAATATTTAAATATATTATGATGTATTATGTTATACACGTCACAGTAATCTCTCTTGTTTAACTTTTTCAGCAAAAAGTCCGCTGGTTACTTGTTTAGTGTATCTTTTACATTTCTACAAATGTGAGGATCGTTTTAACAGGATACAGGACATTAGAATGATTTTGAATAAGAAATATTTCTACAAAATGACAGATTGGAATGAACCAAAAATTTTGGAAATGTTTAGGAACTGTTTAACGGAATTAAGAGGTCAGTGTATTCATAATTATTAAAACCATTTATAAAATTTATAAACGTCAAAGTGTTTTAGATTAGTCTTAAATTATTATATTTTTTTCTTTCAGAAATTCCGCTGGAGAAAAAAATGTTACGTTTGGCCTTCATCATTCTCGCGAAACGTCAGGGTCCGACATGGTGTCAGAAGAATATTATCAAGAACATGTTGACACCTCTTATAGAACAAGAAAACGTACCATTAAGGACGAAGAAGTTCTGCGTTTCGTTATTAGGACCACTTCTGAAGCCTTATCCTAAAGATATGAAAGTTCATTGCGAAATAGTTGTTAATCAACTTCTCGATAAATTGGAAAACAATCGTGAGTAAAAATGCTATAATATAAATATCTGGCGATATTTTTGGCCATTGGAAATATATTTATATGTAATTATGTATTTTCAGCACAAGATGATATGAAGGAAGCTATATTTACTAGTCTAATATATATGAATAAGCACAACCAAAACCGGGTGACTCGAGCGCTATTATCATGGTCTCCTAAAAAGCCTTCGGAAGAATTTGAGCAACTTATGTGTGATTTCGTTCGGGAAAAGCCGGTCAGAGTTTGGAAAGGAATCTTATCGAAAATAACATTATAAATAAATAACTCCAAAGACTTTCAACAAAATGTACATTAACCTTTTTAGGTGAACACCGAATGATTTTTTTTTTCAAATTAAAATTTTCGATGTATAAAAAAATAATTTAAGGTTAAGTTATTAAGCGTAATATAAGTTTATGTTTTGCTTTAAAATGTATAAAAGTAAGGTGAGATGTGTTAGTCTCTCCGATGGTTCTGTGATTTTTATAGTATAACTTTATTATAGAAGTTTGTGTATTAAAAAGTTTAAAAACACTTTTATTTTTATTTTCCTTTATTAAATTTCTCTAAATAATATTAAGCTTGAAAAATTATTCAGGGTTTTGTATAAATGCCAGGGTCTTAGTTGTTTAAGTGTACATGGTTTGTGTATGAACAACGAAAGAAGATAAATATTGTAAATACACTGTTTTGTATTATGTTCTGCCAGTCTCTAATTGTACATCAATCCTTTTCACGAGAACGAACATCGAAAACATCTTCCATTACATCTAGATTAATAACAGAAGAATTTCATAATAATATATGATACAATCGAACTTCATTCAATCATAATAAAATCAGTTTAGTTTCTAAAATAATTTAATAGTCATATAAATTATAGCAATTTGTCACTGTATTAGTTCCGTAAGGAATATTTTAAGATACTATGCTTTATAGAATTAAAAAAATAATTGGAATAGTGTTTTTATTTTTTATCTCCTTTCGTTGGATTTTGAGTGTGTTGGATGTATGTGAAACACTTCACTATTGATATCAAAGTATGGTAGGAAGTTAATTACGTTTTGTCTATATTCTAACAAGGTTAATTTTATATAGCTTGTGTACTAAAATTGTATAGAGTGACTAATAACTATTGTATTGTCATAAATAATATTATATTTTTCGTGACCAGGCAAATGGCTATTAATATTTATCATAACGGTAATCGTTCAAAAATAAGATCAATTAAGTAATTCAAATAAATGTCAATTTAATCCGATTGTATGAAAAAAATATACTAAATCTTTGTCTAAGTATAGATTTTTTTAAATTATCAGTGTCATATCAAAGATACAAATTCTTACGAAGACATTGTAAGCGCATGCATGTCTTCTAATAATACTGTTATATAACTCTCCAATGTATGATTATGAACCTATTAAACATGTATGCGGTAAAATCTAATTTTGTTGTCATTTATATTAATTGCCCTTCCTTTCACTTGTGTTAGAACAAGATACTTGCATTTCAAAAAGGTATTAGAATCATATGTGCATATTATAAGACCGAAATAACTTTAATTCCGTATCACCGCAAAGCGCTTGTATATATGAAATATTTTAAAAGTACAATAATTCGACCTAGGTTTTCCTGATAACGTGCAAGTATAAAAATATTTAATACTTATAGAAAACTGGTTAAAAAAAATCTGTTCCTTCAGAACATATCTTTTTAAATAAGTAATGTCCGTTAAGTATTCATAATTAAATTTAAAAACACAAACGCAATGAATTCTTCTTCATGAATCAATTCGCATTGCTACCTATCGTCTAGAGCAACGGTAAGCACAAAAAATATTAAAGATAAATAAAAATCAAAATCCGATCAATGTTCAATAAATTTGAATAAATATATTTCAATAATTTGTTTTGTATTTCTTGATTTCAACCATTATAACATGAATATTTACAAGTTGGGTGCGTGCATTAGGTGTTAGGAGTTTAACAAACTTATGATAATACTGAACAAAATTTGTTAGAGCCATTTGTAATAAACCCGAGCCGGTTACTAGATTCGGGAATGACACTAGCACTTCTCTGTGTATTTCTTCAAGACTCTGTTTCCAACCTGCTGTGAAAGATGTGACCAGCGACAAGGATTTCTTTTCCAAATTTGCAAGTTCATTCTTTTTATCACTTTCAAGTAATTGTTCCCCTTCCTTCACAAACTGCATGAGACCTCCAAAATGTGGGCTGAGTATTTCTTCGACATATTCTGTGCTTCTAGCTTGTAATTGCTCCTTAAAACTTTCCGCCTCCTTTGTATTGTCTCTGGTCCTTTCCATTAAAATATTCAAGACCATATCATAGTTGTTAATCAAAAATATCAATTGCTGTATTCTCTGCGGGAATTCAGCTGCCATCTTTAACAAGAAACAATGTACTTCGTCTTGCATTGCAAGTAGGAGATTACTTAGCTCTTCATTGGGGAACTGCTCACTCAAACTGAGCACTGCCGCAGAAAATTCAGCATATCTTCTTGTTATCTGTGAATTATTAAGCAATGTTTAAATTATCATGGAAAAAGTTTAAAAAGATTAACGAAATAAAATGCTATCCCATTAACATTAACTTACATAGTGAGGTCCCATCTCTTTATTTGATAACTTGGCTGGATCACAATCTCTGACACTTTGAATGTTCAGTTTAAGAATATACTCCAATCTGGGTGTAAGTGTCCCTAATAAAGAGTCCCAATAACTGAAAAATATAACAAAAATATCATTTCTTTAATGTACCAAATAGTTTTAGGAGAAAGGACTACCTTGGACTACTAATAAAAATATATTTAAATCTGGTATATACTTGTTTTGCATGTCAGTAGACTATCTGTAATTTTTTTACTTGAAGATATGTATTTTTAGAGTAATGTTAAAGAATATAGAGATATATTGATTGTATATACTTTACCTATCCAAAGCAGCGACAGCTCTCTTGTGACACATCCATCGATATCTATTTATAAGTTGTATGCATAGAAATAATGCAAGACAATCATAACACTCTAACACATAGTTCTCAACATTTTTCTGAAAGCATACAGTTACTATAAATAAAATATTATCATTAATTTTAATTTAAGAGCAATAAAACATTTAATTTTACTAAATAAAGAGTTAAAGTAGCACTATTTGATGAACATACCACAAGTAAAGAAAGTGTTCTGCCAAGTATCCTGTCAAATAATTCCTGAGCATGACTGCCTTTTACATGGAAAAATTCTGTTGTAAACAAATATTCCCTGCAACTGTTGTCCACTAAAGCATATTGTAAGCTTCTGAAGAGTGCTTCATAGGAGTACTAGAAAGAAAATTTATATGAAATAATCTTTGATAATTAAAACTTTACAGACTGTTGTTTCAAAAGTAATACAATTATTCAAGTTAAAAACTGAAAGGATAAATCAATATTGCCTTGCAAATCTAAGAATACAATTCCATAAAATAAATAATTTCATATTGCGCTTATTATTAAATTAAAATATCATGTCTCATAAGTAATTAATCTCTATACCTTTGTCTTCTGTTGCACATGAGGAACAATTATAGGAGCTTCTAATTGTTGAGCGAGCACATCACCTCTGTTACCAATAGTGAATATAGTGCTTTTATTTTTAAGATTGGACTTTTGAAAGAAACCACCCTTTGACCCATCCTCTATGCCCATTAAATCATCTTTTGTGGGAACTTCTTCATACTTCAACTTATCTAATCTAGAAGCATAAGACTTGAAATATGAGTAGTAGACTTTGCTTAGTGTATCAATGTATTCATTGCATATTTCTTGTGCAACATTTCTCTCATTGGATAATATGAATTCAAAAAAGAATTTGTATTTTAACATTGCATTCTGCGGGATTTGGTAGTTGGCCATTGGTTTTCGAAATTTATATATCTGTTCCAATATATATGTCCTTATCTTAGCCACGGCTTTTATTTTCAACTTTTCCAAGATGTCCTTAACATCATGACATGCTTTCGTTTCTTTGAATTCTTGTTCTTTTACAAAGTTAAGTTTTTGGTTCAGTATAGCCAGTTGTATCATGAATTCTTTGTCAACTACAGGAACATTGTTGATACCACTACAAATTCAGAAAAAAAATTAAAATAATTTATTGACATGAGTGAAAGATATTCAGCAAATATTATCTTTATTAAGAATAAATATACTTACAATATAAGAGTCTCAGAGACTACAATATCCTCTATAAATGATGACAATGGACCTTTAAGGGCTTGGCGGTTGGAAAGTTGAACGGACATATTAACTGAACGCTTTTGCAAGCTTATAATTTCATTACTTATGCTCCCCAAATCATTCTAAAAAGAAATAAAATTATAAAGACAGTTTAGGAAGTCTACATGACACATTCAATAAAAACCAATAAACACAAACCTGAAAAACCAACAGCATACTTTCCATGCGAGCAAGAATTCCATCACAATCTTCGATTTGACTATGTAGTGATGAAATATTCTCACTTTCCTTTAGATAATCAGCGACCGAATTTTTTTCTGCTTCTTTGATACTTTTATCGATTTGTAATGCATATTCCCTTAAGTCCGTACCATTTTTAAGTACTTCCTGGATTTCTATATCCTCTAAATTTTTATCAATTATTTCGGTCATATCCTTTGACTCGGTCATGGCTTTTTTGGGATAGAATAGAATAGAAAGAAATGAATAAAATTAGATTCAATTGTGACTTGTCATGTGTTATCAAAAACAATGGTTACATTATTTTCAAACATTTATTAAAATTATAAGTTTCTTAATTATTATTATATTCACAGTTATTATTGTTTCGTTATGTCAGATACTTCATATCACAATAATCTGTCAATTTTCATTCCTCAACTTGTGGGATGTGGCACTTGTCACTTGTCATTTAGGTAGATCAATATGGTCCATCGATTTTTTATTATTTTGATAAATTTCAACTATACATTATTTTGATATAAAATGAAATTTAGAGTAGATTTTTGGGGTTAGTGTAGCTAAAAAATTTTAATAATATTTTGTCGAAGAATCTATCTTTCAGGTAACACTGACATTGATTCTCTCATAATATTCAATTCACGTTTTTGAAAAGAATCATATGAGTTTGATGAGATACGAGAAGTTTTTTAATTAAAAATATTTTAGACAAATTATCTATATAATACTGTTGACAGACTTTAGATTCTTATACAATACACGAGAAACAGAGAACATTCGCTCCTTAAAAAAATATGCTCAATTTATGTTGCAATAGACGATTTTTATTACTCCTAAAAGACAAAGGATTATAGCATGAAGGAGTTAGACAAATGGAACAAATTAACAGATTTTTCTTAAACAATCTGTCAAATCTCAACAGATTTTGTTATCCTCTTGGTTTTTAATTTCTACCTTTATAAAATCACTTTGATCAGACCGTCCAACAAGATTACTTTTCTAAAATATTTCGATAATAATATATGTTATATGATATTATATTATATTATATGATTTAAGGTGAAGTTTATTTCAAATACTTTGTTTTGTTGATTCTTACGGAAGTGATCAAATTAAAATTGAGTCCATGAAATGTTAAAAAACCATATTTATTAATTTCTAGTTTGTATTTTTGATGCTCGTATTTAAATCATGATCGTTGGGTAGGACTGGGGTTTCCGTTATATATTATAAATGAGTTTATCTCAGAAAACTACGATGCAATTAAAAATTTTGTAGGATCATATATCTTTAATTTCAAAAATTGAACCAATATTTGAATTTCATAAAATTATGGTTTTGAACCTTATTTTTTACTTTTATTTTTATGCTAAAGAGGGAAACCGAACAGACGGTCTATCTGATGGAGGTAGCACCTTCGCCCATGAATATCCGCAAAATAGTTTTGTGGATGCGTTGCCACCCTTGATTAGGGAAGAGGGAGAGGAAAATCTGGGAAAAATGGGAATGGCAACCGTCTCTCTCACTCATCGGCCGAAATACAGCTGATAAAGACTACTTCACGCCAATCTTCTGTGAGAGGGTGCTACTGCCTCGGTCGAGATAGTTCATTTTCGAGCTGTAGTCACTTGACCACAGCTAGGCTCTACTACCTAACAAATGAATTATATATTATTATTTTTACTATTATTATTATATAAAACATCTTAATTTAATAGTTGAAAAATGAGAATATTAAATTGGAATTAATAATGAGATATCATTTCACTATTTCCCGCATTTTAATTGTAATCTGCGTTCATTACTACGAGGTAAGTATATTTTATGAATACAATTATTTTTGAGAACTGTTCTCTATCAGATTCCCAGCATTTTACTTTGCCTTCACTCTGAAGACGACTGCAATGCGACATGTCATTATTTACTAACTGCAAATAATAATTAATTATAAGTTAATATTTAATATACGTTTTTATTTTTATTTTTAAGTCATGACAACTCAGGTTGGAAATAATATATATGAAGATTAAATTGTAATATATATATATATACATATATTTTATTTTATTTCTTTTAAAGATCCTAGAAAATATTATGTGTATCTTACTTCTTAAGTCTTCTTCTTTTCTCGGTGGGTATAACATGTTCCTCTCTTCCATTCTCGCCTATCAGCCGTCATCTCAAAGGTCACCCCATTCTTACTCATGCCGTCGTTTAATCAATCTATCCATCATTTCTTAGGTCTACTTCGACTCAGATATTGTTCCATGACATTCATCCCTTCGCATAATATGCCCATACTACCCTAATCTATTAAGTACTTCTCAACCTAGTTACCACTAGCGCTACTCTTAAATTTTCTCTGATGTAATTGTTTCCTATTTTTATGTATCTTTATATATCCCTTAATTATTTATCCCTTGTTGTCACTCCACACATCCATCTCAATATTCTCATGTCCGCCGCATGTACCTACTCTTTTATCACCGTTCCATATGTATATCTTTTGTATGTTATTAAAATGATTATTCTTTGCTTTCCAATAAAGAAATCACATTTTTTAAATCCCAAATAGCGGTAAATATTTAGGAAAATAAGATTATTGTTTTTAAAAAACTATACTATAAAAAAATTTACGATGTGTTCACAATTTGTAAAAAGAAATATTTATTACTAAATAAGTATTTGAATTTGTAAGGATCTGGTAACCAGAAAAAATACAAGAGAAATGCAATCAGAATAAAAAAAAACGCAATAAATTCATTCAAGTGTACTTTTGTGTTCGAAATATGCGGAAAATAGTATTTGAAAGAGAACAATACATAAAGCAATTCCCCTGCGTCGAAAATGTATTCCATAATCTTATTTACTTTCTGCGTAACCTATGAAACTTTCTGAATATACGATACCATTTTTATATTCTCTACTAGCTTTTGCCGCGACTCCGTCCGCGTGGAATAGTGACTTACGGCAGATTTTTGGTTCTTCCCACATAGTTCCCGTTCCTGTGGGGTTTTCGGAATGGTCGAGTTCCCGTAGAATTTTCAGGATAAAACCGATGTTTTTTTTTATTCACAATGAAGTACTCTTAACCAACAACATATTTATTTGTTTATTTGAATAAAGATTAATATTATTATGTTGATACAACTTAAACAAATTATTTCGACCAAATTAGGTACCATAAAAACGGTTTTTGTGAGTTAATCTTAAAAGATAAACATATACTGTCGCGGAGTATTTTTTAGATCATTAAAAGAGCTATTATTCTGTAAGACATATTTTTTGTGTATCTTGAACCGTTTTCACGGCGCACGCAACGGAAGGCTTCAAAAATGAAATAATTTCTCACGTTTTTTACACATTTACCACTATATCTTTGCTCCTATTAGTCGTAGCGTGATGTTATATAGCCCACAGCCTTTCTCGATAACTGGACTATCCAACACAAAAAGAATTATTCAATTCGAAACAGTAGTTTCGGAGTTTAGCGCTTTCAAACAAACAAACAAACAAACTCTTCAGCTTTATAATATTATTAGTATAAAGAACGGGTTGTAGGTAATTACACTTTAGTAATGCTGCTTTAGTGAGGCTTAAGATACTTCAGAGCTTTGCTAAAATGTCTTCATAACTTAATTCATCATCTCGTTTAATTATAACAGGAATACTTTCACTTTTCATTTCCTAGCTTTACTTCAGACAATTTATATTATATTTGAACCATCTAAATGCACGGATCGAATAAATCAAACGTGATTGTTAAATTTTAATAGCCGTAGTTATTAATTAAACGGGAACGAGACTCTAAAGTTTTGCATTAACAAAGTTAGTCTAATTTGATTCAATTCTATAGAAACTGTTTTAGTTTTTAAAATACTAAACAGCAATGATTATGTAATTATTTTAACTCTTTAAATTAAATGAGTTACTTTATATAATATTAATATTCGTGAGACGAATTGAGTGTATCTATTTATTTAAAGCTAATTTTCCGTATAAAGCCAAGACGGATTTATTGAAGAATATAAAAAAATCTCTAAGCTTTCTTTTTCAGACGGAAACAATACTATTAAATAACATACTCGCTAATGCTCCACCACGAGTTTGTCAAGAACTTTATATTTTTATCTTATTCATGTCATCAAAAGTTTCTGATTAATTATTATTTATAGTAAAATTGTGTCAGGTGAAATCAAAGAAGAGATATACATAACGCTAATGCGTTTATATAATTTAATTGTGACGAAATATTTACAAAAAAAGTATAACATAACAAAAGCACATCCATCTACATTAAGATAAAAAAGAAATGCAATTAAGTCATAAGTTTACAAAATGTACGGACTGGACAATGATATTTAACAAGAAATTATGCGACATATAATGTTGTTTAAAAATTCAGAGCTTACCTACTTGTGACATAACAAAAATTTAATAATATGTTTATATACTAGACATAAAAATGTTAGTATTTTTTCATAATAATGCGGTTTATAATTTTGATGATCTGGAATGTGTTTTCAGCGAATCGATTACAATGTGTGTATGTATGATTACAAAGGTATTTAATTATAGTTAAATGATTTATTTTAAGACAACTTATTGCTACATTAATATTCTTCAGTAATGATATGAAAGCACAACCAAGTTCATTGCAAAAGCTAGGAAAGGTTCGTCCGGCAACTATCTAGCAAGCGTGTAAGCTTACCCACTAATTGTGTTTATTGATTTTTTTTTATAATATATCATTCTTAGGTATAAATAAGTAGGTAGGCATCTGACCCGTACGGTGTTTGTTTTACAGAAATATAAATCGCGTCACAATATTTAAATAAGGAGATAATTTGTTAATTATTCTTACAAAATATCTATAAAATTAACTAACACATATCAAGGAGCTGGTTTTCGAGCAAAAGTTCAGCACGTTATGATTGTAATATATATAAATGTATAAAGTATATTATCACTTTTTCGTTTTATACTAAGAAGGTCAAACCCACGTTATCTTATATATTATTCTCATTCAAATATTTCTCTAATCGTTTTAATTTATAAATTCAGAATATGGTTTCAAACCAATTTAACCTAGAGTATGATGTTAAGTTTTTTAATAAGATAAATAATGATAAATGGGATTTTATTTCCTTATGTTACATACGATAATATTTTTTAATAATCTTAAATTTTTGCAAACATTGGTCCTTACAGAAATTATTAGAAACTTATAATTGGTTCCTAAAATTCTGTTTCCTTTTACTAGCACTGTAGGTAAACTACATTGCACTTACCTTGATATGTTTAAAGTGACTACTTCTAATAATAATTTTGTTCAAATTGTTCAAAGAGTGTAGCAAGGAATTGTATAAGCTATCTATCTAGGAAGGTACTCTTTAAGACACGTTGGAGTTTTAGGAGTCTATAATAGAAATGCTGAACTTTTTCTCTTACCTTATATGTATTTTTATTTTAACAATTCATTATTTTATTTTCTATGAAATAATTATAAAATGATTTAAACCTAAAAGGTAACTTCCATCTACAATCGGCCAACGTTGTCCTCATAGCATCGCGTAATATACGCTCCGGAGCGGACCGCCATAGCTGGCATATCAACTTATCTTTCACACGTTCTTACCTAGATATCAACAAATGCCTTAATCATTTCTAATAAATTTCTATAAAATTCGGTGTTAACGAGCCAAATTTTTAACATTTGTAAGTCTTGTGACTAGATTTTTCTTATTAATAATACACAAGTAAATAACGTAGGAATATTTGTACGACGAGATGCCATTGATTACGAGCGGTAACTTAAATGCAGACTACTAAGTAGATACCTTCATAAGATAAAACGGAATCACACACAATATACAATTACAATAAATTAAGCTTAACCGTAGGTGTCCAATAAATTAGGACTTAATAGGTAAAATTGTTTGTCGTACTTAATATAATTCATAATTTATAATTCATACAACAAGCAAGAACCGATGCTGTAGAGATCGAGTCCCATAGAGCTTCACTATTATCTAGAAAAATATTTTTAATCTAAGTAAACACTTATAAAAATAAACGGAGTCGGCTCTAGATAGTAGAGAATGCTTTTCGAAGGCGGGTGTGGTCCTCGGGATATTAAAATGGGGTATTCAACGAAGCACCTAGAAGGGTAAACTGGCGCGGAACATGTTTTCAATCAGCGGAGGCGCTGGCACTAAGTCTTCGAGCTTCAGGTAGAAGATTCTTTGAAGACCCTGAACGGAGAGCGAGCGCAGTTCGGGCAGAGCGCCGAGGACGCGGCTGAAGTGAGGCGCCCCGGCGGCACTGGCCGCGCCTCCGCCTGGCATGTGAGACCGAAGACATCCGATTATCTTCATTTGCAATTGTTCAACACGATGCGGCTCTTTTAAGCCATGTCTCTCTGTAAAATTAATACATTTTCATTGAATATTATTTAGATTTTTTTCTATGCAAGGAAGTCATAAAATAGTATGAAAATATTTAATACCTGTGATTAATGTCAATGCACAAAGACAGGCGAAAGTAGATATATCAATGTCCATAGAGTGCAGAGTGTTGCTGAAGTCGAGTACAGCGTGCAACCAGTCACCAAAAGATCGTTGACATTGTCGTTTGTCGAGAACCAAGCCATTGCAGAAGGTGAGTTTAGTATCATCAGGGCGAGTGCGATAGGCTAGACGGAGTACAAATAACTCAAGTCGTGCTGATGCAAACAACTGCTCTCTGTCTTCTGGACACAAATCACCGTAGCCTGGTACCTTTTCAGCAAAAACTTTTATCATATCGATCGATGTTGATAGTAGAGTATAGAATTGCTGGATTACTTCTATATCCGAAACAGGAGGTTCCATTGGATTTGGTTCTCTGTACTGGGAGTAATCAAGATTAGCAAAGTCAGGAGACGTGTCTACGTGAGCTCTTACTAGTGCTGTTATAAGTGATATTGGTGGACTAGGTGGAGATTCTTGAGGACATTTCGGTTTTGACGGCAATCGTCCTCGTCTGCCCTTTAGAGAATCCGTTCTGACTACTTCTTTCACCATACCAACAGCAAGGCATTTTTGAAAACGACAAAACTGACATCGGTTTCTTCTTCTTTTATCAACCGGACATGATTTTTCCGCTAAGCACACGTACTTCGATCCTTTCTGAACAGTTCTTTTGAAAAATCCTTTACATCCTTCACAGGTTCGAACTCCGTAATGTTGGCATGCTGCAGTATCTCCACATACAGCACATAGTTGGCTGGGTGATGGTGGGGCAGCTCGAGATGCATTATTGTCTTGTGGTACACCTCCGGGTGAACTAGACGCAGAACTCGGCGCTGAAGCTTGCATGCAATGGATTCGACTTCCATGCAGTTTGGGACTATCGTTGGAGCTATTAGATTCAGATCGTTGAACGGGCAATGATGATCTTCTTTGCCTGTTAGCTTGTTCTGTAGATATGTGTAAGTCAACTGAACTTGGGAAAGGCGGTAAAGAATAAGAATCCTGAGCGGTAGTGACTCCACCTGTGTCGAATGTAGGCGAACAGGGCTGAGCTGGCGCGTAATATGGTGAAGGAACATAGGGTAAAGTTGGCTGATGATATTGATATAATAATTGTGTCGATGCATGTCCAGGGTGCGAATAAGCACTGACATTGTAACAGTCTTCGTCCATTTTAAGACCAAATTCCGCCATTTCTTGTTTTGGGTAGCGAACCGAATATGTTTCTTCAAAACTAGGTAGCGCTGGGCCCAAGGTAGGCGACGGGGTCTCACTTACTGGAGTAGTACGTTGTGCTTTTATTTCAAAAGGAATAGGCGCATGAAATTCGACGTCAGGAAATGGGTCCAAGTTCTCTTCTAAGATTTCAGCTGAGTCGTCTTGATACTGTGGCAACAGGCTTGGTAAATCAGTGAAGGACGAACCGTAGTTGCTCTGTAATAGAAAAAAATCAATAGTAAAGGCGTCACAAATACAGTAGGCGGAACATTACAGGGGCGGTCACGCCGCACCAATAGCGGACCTTTTGTAACAATCGTTTAGCAATGATTCTTTTATGGTAAACAACGTTTTTATTCATCGCAGGTGTCTGGAATCAATTGTAGTTTATTTTAATTTGTACCAATTATTTAGGGGACAGCGAAAATTGTAAAGTATTTCAGCAAAAGAAAATTTATTTAATAAATGTATGATTTATATACTTTAAGACATACTTACGTGTGTTTGCAGCAGTAGCATGCTGGAGGAATTTGACGTGAAAGCGCTTGGCGAGCGCGGCTCAGTGGCGCTCGGCCCTGTAAAAGTATTTATTTATTAAAATTATGAACTAATTAACTATTACATAACTGATGAAACCAATTATCACATGTTTGTTTCTCTAAGGTATATAATAATATTGAGAGTACAAGTTATTCATGATGAAGTCGTACATGAACAGTTTCTACTAGGGAGGGTTGATTCGGACTACGCCGGAAGAGGTCTGACCGGCTTGTTGATGGCACTGGGCTTTGAACTATCACGCTATACAAGGCATGCATCATTTATATTTACCCTCGGCGAACATACTTTGATTCCTACTTAAACACAAGCACACGTAATTGACAAATCGATAGTTATTGCGTGGTACGATTGATGACCGAGCTCTACCCTTCTATGACTGGCAATGACGGTGGAGAAGAAAGGTCTCTTAATTTATACAGCAGTTTTGTCAGCCAAATATTACCGCTTTGAATACATTGTGTCACGGTGCTTGATTCGCCACGCCCCGAAAATTGAATCCTATGTATACACCTCACCCATAGCTATTAAAAATGTTACAACTAATCCTTCCTTATCCATCTACTTTAGACTTAAAGTCCTCTGATTAAGGTTATTTGTGCAAAAGCACGAGTATATGAATATTTTTAGGGCGAAAATGTGATAGATCCCCAGAGAGGTTATGAAATCACTGGCATTTGCAGTTTCTATTATGTTAAGAACCATTAATTTCAGTCTTATTAAGTTATAGTCTAAACAAACGCTTTTGTTATTATTTTTATATGGTGTAGAATGTATGTATGTACGTATGCATAATAGGCATACCTCTGATATACTTATGTTTTGCATACAATACCTCTAGTAAATCTAAATGAATTTTAAGATGTTGAAATACGTTTGACAAGATTTCAATATCAAATCTGACTTGAATGTAAATTATTAATTTGAATAATTGAAGATCGAGAAACATTTAATTTATTATTAAACTCTAAATAAAAAATATTAAGTATTACTATTACAATTAAAATTTATCTATACAGATAATTATAAATGTTATACTTTATTCAGGTTGTATTGGTTAGTTAAATTTCATATAAAAGTTCTAATATCTAAGGATTTCTATGTTATATTAACGATAGATGTGAATACTGTCTTCAGAAGAGGTAAAGCCTCCTTCAGTCAATAGACAATCTATCGTTCCTCATTAGTGACATATTACTACTTTTATCACGAAAACCATAGTACAATCACTATTGCATTCGCAAAATTTATTTTAAGAGACTGTAGGTTAAAACCTTACTTATCAAAATGCCTTTATTTATTCTTAATATATTCGGTATGATTAAACAAAACAACAGACTTAATACATCGTTACATCAATTCAATGTGGAATGTATAAATATGGTATCTTCGAATGAAATATTCGAAACAATTTTTACATATCCTCTGTTCTATGTAATAAATTCTGGTTAAAAATATTATTATATTATAAAGTTTAACTTATCGTTTTTCCTAAAAGTAATAAAAAATATGGCACGACTGATGTCACCGTAATTGCAATTTAAAAATATATGTTTTTGAAATATTGCTTTTATATTTTTCTGTTAATAAAAACAAGACAGTATGTGCTAAGACGTCGTTAAGCCCCTTCACCGAGTAGACGATGAAAAAAATATCTGTTTTTAAAAAAGAAACGTTACTTTTATTTTTTTTCTCATATATACTACTAGCTTTCCGCCCGCAGCTTCGGAGCGTGGAGTTCGGTTATATCGGTGATAAAAACTATCCTATGTTCTTTCTCAAGGTCAACTCTATCTCTGTACCAAAATTTCATTAAAGTCAGTTCAGTGGTTTAGGCGTGAAAGCGTAACAGATAGACAGACAGATAGAGTTACTTTCGCATTTATAATATTAGTAGGGATAATAAAATATAATTGTATATTGCAGTGCTATGTTTTGTTACCGGATTTAGGTAAACGTCTTATGTTTTATTGTAAACTTATAAATGTTATTCATGACGCGTAGTTTCCTAGTCTAGGTAATTGTAATTCAGTGTACATGGATATAAAGATTTGTTTATTTTTTTTTTAATAGAAGTACACGTACAAGATCAAAGTGACTCATATTGATATAGTGTATAAAAAAGTTTTTACTGTAATAAAATATCGTTTCAAGTTCGGCTACGTAAATATATTTAATAGCCTGAATAAAAATTAAAAAGTGGTTATAAGCACTGAAAAGATTTTGTAGCATAGACAAGACAAATTAATGGATTAGTCAAAGTTGCATGAAACTAATGTTAAACAATTTGAGAACAAATAAAAACAAAAAGCATTGACAATATTTAACATCTGCTATACTGAACATTTGCTAGCTCTAGTACTAAAGACAAATACTTTTTATGTCATAGTTTGTAATTAAAATATTATATATATCAAGCAGGTGTATGTATGTACGTATAGCAACATTGTGAGTAAATTTTAATTTGATTCGTATCTCTTGTACATCTATATTAAAACTTTTGATATATAGTTCTTGCAATTGCAATTGAAGATAAAATACAGCCCATATATCTTTATGATTTGTTGGTAAAAGCCTTGTTTGTTTAAGATAAAAGATTAAGGAAACGCTGTCTTTTTTTTTGATAAAGCTCTGACAGCTCTTGATTTATTTCACTATCGTAAATTATTAAGCTATAAGGTTTTGTAATGAACATATATATCTTGTTTATATGTTGTTACTTTGATGTAAATACAATGTAATTCGTGTATATAAGGAATTAATTTGTCAATTAATTCAAAGTTAAATTTACGAGTAACATGAAACTTAGATATCATTGTATAAAATCAACAGACTTGAACAATAGCTTTATGTAAGAGACAATTAATTTATTAGTCGTATTTTGAGGTATAATTTTTAGAGCGTTTAAGTTTTTTGATATTTCCAATAATTGTCTTCTTGCCTTGTTCTTTTTCCTATACTTTTAGCTGCACATATCTCGCTACTAATTACTAACCGAAAACTATATATTTGTTGGCTTTTTTAGCCTACTGAGTGACTCGAAAAATTGGATATGGTATTTAAAAAACCCATAAGATTTTTCTAAGTTTAAAATTATTCACTAATGTCTAGTGTTGTATATAATAACATCATTTAAATTTGAGATCAGTATACAATTTTAAGAATCGCATTTTCCTTTTAGAGATTCATACAAAAGTATCAATAAAATCCTTGTTAAAATGACCAACTCACTAATGTAAACGATAAAATCAAATCTACTTACGTTTTATTAAAATTAATTTAAAATTTAATACATATTTTTCTTGTTATTTATTAAAGTTTACGTTTAATAAAACAGATTTTACATAATGATATACTTTACATATGCTTTATACAGTTTTAAATGAAGTTTTTTTCAACATTATTTATTATTTATAAGAGATATGTAATGTATTTAAGTTTATATCGTTCTGTTTATTTTGTTGTCATTGGAGGTTCTGTTTCCTACACTCACCGATAAGGAGTAAGGCTTAAGCGAGCTGTTATTGAAAACAATATCAAGTTATACTACACATTTATTGTACAATACTTTTTTTTTATCTCACAATACATAAGATTTTAATAAGCATAAGTTCGATAAAAAAGGGATTTTTAAAGAAAGTTTCCGTAATAAACAAATATATCTATCAATTGATTCGTTGGAATTGTTGTTTATAAGAAATGGTAGCTTCGGTTAGGCTTTGTTTGTATTATGTTCAGGAAATGATTTTTGAATCTTACTTTTTGAAAATTATGTATTTTTTGAGTCCTTTTTAATCCTGAGATTTTTTTGTGTGTGTTGTGCAAAATACTATATCAATTAATGCCTCATTAATAAATTGAATATCATTTTATGATAATGTGGAAAAGCGACATCTGAATGATAGTTGCGATTCTATTTCGGAGGGTAAAAGGGAAAAGTGTTTCATAAAGGGTGCTCATTTTAGTTCCACACTTTCCCGATAGGTGGCTCTGACTTAATTTGTATTGATCGAGCTTAAGAAACAATAACGAAAGATATACCACAGTAAACTAAGATACATATGCGAATTTCGTTTTATTGTAAAATTCCACATCGAATAAGTCTCGTTTGTGTCAGATTTGTTTAACTCAATTGAGAACAATCCCAAGGTTAATGATTTAACACAAATATTAGCTTTTAACAGAGCCTCTAGTTCTGAGAATACGTATTTTGAGGACATTAATTTGCTTATACTAGTATTTCGCTATGTTAAATAGAAATTGTTTACATATCCATCCATTTTAATGTTACATAGCGAAAACTCATAATTATTATAACTTTATTTTCATTTACTTACAATTGCAAAAAAAAGGTACATTGAATAAACATTAATTATCTTAAGACAATGAACCAAAGAATTATTTGATTCTTAACTCTCAATACGTCTAAGAGAATATAGGTATAAATCTATAGCAGTACATTGAATTGACGGCAGCCCAGCTGAGCGATGTAGGGAGTAGTGACGTCAGAAGCTACAGATATAAACCTTAATGTTCCCGGTACACGTGAAAAGCTTACACGTCATCAATATCGAATGAGAAGCTTATTATATAATTTTCTTCATAACGTATCAGAATGGATTTATTCATATTGATAATTTACATATAACATATTTTTCTCAAACCGGTCGAACGTGAAACAGAGGCTAGACTGGCATATAATACCTACCGCTTACCTACATAGGCGCCACTATCAAATAAAATTTTAATAACATATAATCATTTTTATTTATGTAATGCATATAAAATTATGCAAAAGTATATGAAATCGAATTTAATTTCTGATACTAAAATGTTGTATTCGTATTTTTTTAAATTGTTATGTTTTTCAACGATTTCATTATGTAAAAATCCAAATATATATATGACGCAATAAAAATATATCTGTTCTTTTAATAAATATTCAATACTTTTAAAAATAAAATGGAAAACCTATTTTATCTAGTTCTATATATCCGGAAACAATCAAACACCATCACAATAAATGAGTAAGTATTTACTTAAAGTGTCACACAAACCGAAAAAAACGTGTTTGTTAGTAAAAATATAAAAAAATATTTTTAGAGATTTCCCATGAATCAAGTATTAACATCTACCGATTTTTGTAATTAATTGATAATTTTTTTTGATCATCGGTTTTTATTGACGGCTGAATGTAATTGAATCATTCTTAATTTAAAAAATAACCATTAGTGAATATTGGATGTCATAAAAATAATGTTAAAGTATTTAGAAACGTTTAAACGACTTACCGAGCTTTATTGATAGCGACCTTGGTATCTGTCTCGCTTTGCGAACATTATAACACTGTTTTAGAATAAATTTTAATATATTCATAATTTTAATCATCTATGGCCGATAAGCGAAACTTGTTTGATAAAATTTACTTGATTCTATTCCATCTACTAATAAAACGTGTCGACATTAGCTTTATTACTTTAACTTTAAAAAATTAAGCAACTTTTTTACAATTTCTCAATTCAGCATTAAGATTATGGATAGAAGAATTTATTTGTAATCAAAATTGTATTAATTCTCGGTTATTAAGATTGTTAATATTAAGTGTTTTAAAATTTCTATAAGATGTACTTAGTCCAAGTAAACCTTTTTCTGACATGTGGGTGCCTCCGCCGCCAGGCTTATTTATAAGATCAAAACATTTAATTATGTTTACATTACTAAGAAAAAATATGGTTTTAAACTTTATAAAAGGCACACATATCTCAGTACATTTCGTAGTGATTAAAAGAAAATAAAGTAACATTAAGTGACAACGTGTTTAAGGAAGTCGGTAGCCGTAAAGCAAGGGCGTCCTTGAAACGGGGCGCGGGTCGATGGATGACGTCACACGTCGCGTGACGTCACGGGCGTCGCTCGATGCGGAGCCGACTCACCCCCCCATCACCCCCTACTCCCACCACCGAGATATTTATAGACTGTGACGTAATACCACTACAGTGCTTTAGTACAATACGGTTAAAAATATGCAATAGGCTATTCCTTTCATGCATGTTATAGATTAATGAGATTTAATGTCTTAATTTAGCGAAGTCTATTTTTTTATTGTAGAACACTCAAATCGAGAGTAACTATAAAATAACGCATGATGTACGAGTGTTTTGTGCAATATTGGCATGTCTAATTGCTTAAGCATTTCACGATAAATCCTTATGTAACCGGCTTTTTAAAATTATGATTTCTGTCTGAAGTGACAATGACTAATACGAGATGTAAGCTTGATTTACAGTTCGAAGTTAGGTTACTTATAATAATAGTAAGTCTACTTACTTATTGTAAGTAACAAAATCAGTATTTACTACATTTCTATGATAGAGCCATTCATACTTAAGTGTCAATCGAAATGCCTTTTTATTTGCTATCAAATAAAATTCCATAGTAGTAATAAACCGGCTATAAATAGATAAAGAAGAATAAATATTTTAATGACGCGATAAAATAAGGATTTGCGATGTTCGATACGAGTTGGAAATAGTTTCCTTGTGACGTAAATGTACGAACGAACCCGCGGTGACGTCACCACAGCTGGTTATAGCGTGCCTTATCACTCCCGAACCCCGAAAACCTTAAACGTACATCAATCGATACACATATTATTGGGAGGAAAGTGAATTCTCTCAACAAATTTGCATCGGACTAACGTTGAGAATAAATTACCTAAGTTTTTTGGACACGACGAGAACATATCAGATATTTAATAGCAGCAGTCGTGCCTTGTGTCAAATCACATAACACCTGTTTAACAACCTTTTATGTCTGGTTATCTGGTGATAACAAAAGTGAAAGTGATGTTTTGCCGCGCGGAATCACTCGGAAACCGGAGTTTGTTTAGTGCTCATAATTGTTTACCGTTTAGGCGAACGAGAAATAGTGAATGGTAAAAGTTTTTTTTTGATGGAGGAAAGTTGTTTCTTTATTATCGAGAATGTTTATATTGACGAATGTTTCCGAGCTGATCTGACAGATGCAACATCTGCCGACATTGCAACATTGTATTGGGCAAGTGGATGTCTTCTGAGGCCGGTCGCGACACTTCCCATACCGACATTACCTAACTTGACTCGTGCAAACAAAAACATTATTAATATCTCCCAGCTAGGACGATGGTTCATTAAGTTTTTTCATATCATTGCCGCCTTTCAATGGAATCATTTCTTAAGATTAACAAGCATTACACATAACTGGTACATTTATAGTCCTATAATAAGACGCGTCGTTAATAATAGACTAGTTTTATACGGAAACGATATAAATATGGTATTAATGTACAATATATTATTATAATAGATGAAGATGCTAATAGTAAATTTATAGTTGAGATCCGAGGCATGTGCCCGGACCGGTGTTGTGTTGAAATATATTTCAACACGCGTATTTATCTTTTGCCCGCTGATAGCTTCTTGCATATGCAAATATGTGCGAGCCTAATGTTTTTAAACTTAATACGCACTTTAAGGTGTTAATTACATATAGCGGAAGTGTGCGAATATTTTAAAATAACTACTGTTCGAATGACATTTATTATCTCAATTAATATTATAGAAATATTAGGCATAGTTTTTATTTTAGATTTAAAATTTTTGATTTTGAATGAAGGTCTTTTTTTTGTATTTAAATTGTCCTATAATATATTTTTTGTAGTATAAATAGTCGTATTATTTCACATTATATTCAGGTAATATTAATTTTTTGAAAAACATTTAGAAAAAAAAAATTAGTAATGAAAGAAAATTTTTATTACTACCTTTCTTCACCACAATTTAATAATAACACCTCCAAGAAAGATTTTATCGACTAATCTAAAATATTCACGTTCTTATTAAGGGTTATAGGTTAGATACGCTAATGGTTCACCGGGCAAACTGACAAATGAACTGTAAAAATTACTTCATAATAATAATAACATATCTACTAGAATTGAAATACAATGAAAATATGGGCAGGTGCATTGAAAAATTTTCGTACGCTCCTAAATTACCAATCGGCCTTTTAAATTTCCACTGCGATTTGATAAAAATAAAATAAAGTCAAATTAAGAATAAATGTGTAAAATAAATAATATAATAACAAAAAAATTTAAGAAAATATCAATCTATTTCCAGCCTAACAGTTTTTGGATATAAAAAAATGAAATAATACAAAAAAGCATAATAAAAATAAAAATAATAAAAAAAAACAAAAAGGGATTTACGTACGTGTGGTAAGAAATTGTCTAAGGCCACAATGTTGGCTGGAGGGCGTCAGCAACGCACCTCGCATTCTAGCCGATGGCCATCGTCACGACAGTTCCACACAGAGTCTACGCACCCAGAGGTTCTACACAACGAAAGCGAAAATAAACACAGAATTGGAAGGAGGCGTCGTGCGGGCGCTGACCTGGCGCTGGCTTTTCAGGATCCAGAGAGGCGGCGCGCGACTCCAGGGTCAGTTCGAGGCACGCGCCAGACAGTCCCAGCTCACTCAGCAGGATCCTCATGCGGCCGAGCACATTGCACTCACTGCACGCACTCACTCACAGTCAGTCGCTAGTCGGCGAACGCGAGGGGGCGCACGGAAGTACGTTCTGGCGGACGTTCGGTGCGATACTGAGGCCGCCGCCGCTGAGGCTGGTGGCTATATCGCGGCGCCTGACGTCACGGCCGCGACGTCACCACGATGACGTCACTAACGGTACCTCCCACAGGCCGCCCGCCTCCTCCTCGCCGCCCGCCCGAACCTGCGCTAACGGCATCGCTAGTACGGAGCGGAGCTTTCGTTCGCCCGCGTCGCCACCCGCTTCCTTCCACCGATCCATTACGTTTTTCATGGTCAACTGGCACTTTTCATGTGGGGTGTGTTTAGATTTATACAACGTCTGGATTATAATGATTCAGATTAAAGATATATACATAGTATCGCTTTTGTTTCATTTCACTTATACAATTTGAGTAACTCATAATTGCACCGTTGAGATAGTATACATATTTTTAATTCAGACACGAAAAATAAAGATCACATAAAATATATTCATGTCGATCGCTTTATTTGAAATACTTTCTATAAAATTATATTTTGGTTTTGTTGCAGCTCACAAAACCTTATAATTTTTCGTGAGTTTAGCTGATTGGAGACAGAAAGCGGTATCGTATATACATTCAGGAGTGTCTACATAAGAGATTTATATATATTGGTTATGTTATAATATTATCGATATATATTCCAAGTTATTCAGTATAATAGTGGGCAGACGTATGCGCGTGCGCATCTCGTTCTCATTCGATGCTAGTTTCCGCATTGGCGTCGCTAGTCGTCACACCAGGATATCTATAGGACACAGTTAGGAACCCAGATCGAATGATCTATTTATGATTTCACTTGCTGTTGTTTTGGTCTTTTTTGTCCGAATATATATTTTTGTCTGGCAACGTCTAGGATTGTTTAAGGCATTGCTTGTATAATTTTGATCTAAGGTTTCAGACTTTTTTATATGTAAAATTAAAATGCCTAAATAACAAGTGAAACTTTAATGTGTACCTAATAAAATAAATATTTTGTTATATTCAATAATCTTCTTTGAGCATAATGACTTAAGCAAACTAGAAAAAAAAAAACGATGAAAATTAATTTTTTGTTTTAGAAAAACCTAATAGTATATAGGTTTTAATTTCTATTGTTATTATTATAAACACTCTTGATTGCTAATTGCTATTGCATCAGCTATGGATTAGGTCCATTTCTAAACCGAAAGATTTGAATTCTTTTATGAGGAATCGACCGTTAAATTTAAGCTAAAATATTTTTCTTTATGTTAGTTATATATAAAGAAAAAGAAGCTATATTTATAAAATATTTTAAATTAATATTTATTAGCTTTAAGTATGGCAGTATGACTTGGAATTATAAGTGAGTGTTTATTTACATATGTGGAAAGTTATATATATATATATTTTGTAATTTTTGTCCGTACATATTTTGCAAGATGATCATCCTATTAGCAGACAGACGGTGCTAGACGCTCCTGGTCCATATTATTATCGTTCGACAAAAAACATACACAGACGCACTATGACAGTTACGTAATATAAATACGAACAGGTAGTATATTTAAAGAGTTCTCATACAATATAAGGAGTTTAGTTAAGTTTTTGTTTAGTGACATTAAGAAAGTAAAGGAGTATATATATATATATATATATATATATATATATATATATATGTGTGTGTGTTTGAAACATTTCTTTTCTGTCCAACAATAACTCCTTACGTCTTAGTCTCTCGATTGATTGAATTTTTGATTTCTGTCAAAAACCCATTACGTAAGATGCTCATAGCATCTTCTGATTTATGCAATGCATATACTATTATGTTAATAATTATATAATAATAAAAGAGTATGACTGTTTGAGTGTCGGTGATTCAAAGGGAAATTTGTCAACACTGTTGTCTGTTCGTTATGAATCAAGTCTTTCTCTTTTATTTTATAAATATTGCCAACATTATAAAATTTGTTGCAACTTAATTTCATCTGATTTAAATTATCATTTTTTTTATTTATTTTTTTATTTTTCAAATATGGAATATTATTTTTGTTTCATGAAAAAATGAGGTTACTTTTTATGACGATGCTAATTAAATTGTTAGGTTGTGTAGATTTAAGTCAGTCCGAATTAAGTTTTGATAGGGAAGTAAGTATAATATGAAAAAAATCCATCCTGTATTCATGTCACAGAGGGTCGTCTTCGGAGTGTCCGCATTCAGAACTGTGTATATTTGTATTACGATTGGTCGCATGCCCTAGTACTATTTGCTGCTCGCTCGTCGGGCAAACGTCCAGTTATTCTAATTTTACATATAATCGATTCCGTCGCAAAGCCGACTCGACGACAAAAGACTTGCTTATCCGTCAAGTAATTGCCTATACAGATGTACCAACCATCTGTAGCTTTAACCTGTTAGGCTCAACGACACGAAAACATCTAGTATAACATAAGAAATAAGAATGCGATGACGTCAGTTTATATAGGATCATTTCTATTATTATTGTTTGCAAAGTTGTTTTGTTGATATTTGATAATATTTGACTAAATATTTGATTTATTACAATTACCCTTTAATATATAAAAAATACTGGTACATTTATATTTTATTGATATTAATATTTTTCTGTTTAAGGGTGGTGATAGATAATTGTATTCATCTGATTGAAGTAGCTACCTTTGCCTATGGATATCTAACTGTAGATATATCTGCAGATAGGCTTTGTCTTAAAATGTCCTTAGATTTAAATCGAAAAGTTTTTAAAACGATTTTGAAGGAGCAGTTAGGAAATATAAACTTAAATGTAAAACCTTAAAAAAAATCTTATTTTACTTTAGAACGCAAATTCAGTCTAAGAATATTGCAGTTTATTGACTAATTATAACCGAGTTTCACCTATGTTATAAAATATTTGAAAACAGCTAAATGTTAATGTTTAATTTAGTAAGGGGCCAGGGGCTGCAAACTTTTTCCGTAGCGTAAATCCAACATAATAAAAGGATTAATCTCAAATTAAAACACGAATATCTCCATTACATTGTCAATTCAATCCCTTCAAAAAGTGTAGTTGAACTTATTACAAATAAAAACTAGTAAAACATTTAAAACATCACACATTAACATGTATCAAGAAACCAATCAAATTTAAATTACTGTTAGAACTTTTAAATGGTACTTAGTAAAATATTTTTTGTTAAAATATCGTAATAAAGAATTTTAGGAATTATAAAAAAATATCCACTTTAAACATACCTATTATTAATTAACAATCAGTCTTTATAACGAGTTAAGTATAACTTCTGGTAAAAGCTGCCTTTTTTCAATGTTTATTTAATTAAATTATTAAGCCACATAATTTACCTACGTTAAAAGAGATTTAGACAAAACATTAAAAATAAGGAACGTTTATAAATTTGACAGCGTAAAATTTCTGTTATAATTATAAGCTCGTGAACACAAACAGTGCTAACGAGTTGCCAGTTGTACATTATGTTTATCAAAAACTATTAATTTTATATATATATGTAAAGTAAAATAATATTGATAAGAATTTTATCACGCCGCAGTCAAATCAGCCGCGAGTCGCGTCGCCTATATTAATAAGCACCAGTGTGGTTTATACACATGTGTGCGTGAGGAATAATATTTGAGCGCGAACGCAGCGGCAACGGCGAGCAGCGAGAGAATTGTTACGTGAACGCGACTTGCTTGATTCCATACGATGCCGTCAGCGCATATGTCCGAACTGAACATTGAGCGTGATTGTAAATTATACTAATTAGTTATGGCGGTCTTTGCTGACAAAAAAGTGTTTTCATCATACTGTAACATACTAGTGAGGATGGTGTTGAACGAACGCGCGTTATTCCAGTGATATTATATGTATTTGTTTTAATAACTAAACACGCGGACCATCGTTTGATCGGGTGCATAATGCACATTGCGTGTTTGTGTGCGTCGAGTGTTCACAAATAGACAGTGGAAAGGGGTTTGACACAATGATCTCTATTGTAAGTTGATAGTAGCGTAATTATACATTATCAATAATTTTGAGGTTATGTTTGCTCCGCGATACTCTTAGAGACAGCTTTAAAAGTTGTGTATTGTGTAATTACTAGTCTGTATCATTGCTTGTTGCATAATAAATTGTTCGAAGTTTACCTTACTTGATTAATATATTTATTATTTAATGTGTTCGTGAAGATTCTCAATGATCTAAGTTCAATTGTTCCGTTACAATGAAATTGAAATACTTACATTTTATAAGGCAACTTTCTACTGTTCTAATAATGATCCGTTATTTAAAAAATATAAATATTTTTCTTGTATAGTAATGTAATAGTAGTGTAGTGTATATTACACAAATATAATTTAAATAAAGATTATTATTAGCGCTTTTGTTGCATTGTTTAATATATTTCTTTATTGATCTCAAGGATTCAGTAATTATTGAAGCAATACATGCATAACTCACTGTATAATCAGTATTAATTATATACCTAATATAATTGATTTTTACCGAAGATTAGATAACTTAATATCTGATATATTTTAGTAGTATAAAAATAAACATATTTTTTAAGAAATCAAAGTCATACTGGCAAGTTTTATCTTACATATCATAATTTAGTTATTATAACAGTATTGACCATGGTTAAATTCCATTAATTTTCTCCGATGCTATCGCTCGCGTGGGCCGTATATCATTTATAGAAAAATATTCTTTTAATTTAATTTTAATATCTGATTACGGATTTCCGAACAGTATAAGTGTTTTATCTTATCTCCCAAATATTTCCATCATGCCGATATACCTGAGTGGCATTTTGGAGACGGCTAGATTAAGTGGGTATTAGGATGTGATTTTGGAGATTTCGTATGACTAATTACTGAGTACACCATTTATTGCTACCAGATTTTCGCGCAAACTCGTCTTTAAAATTCGAATGTACAAATAATTTAAAATAAAACATTTATTATAATATTTTTTTACTAGTACTATTTCACTTTGATGTACGAAAGGAGATATCGAAGTCTGTTGACATATAAAAACATACGAAACCAATACAACAACAAAACTAGCAATACAGAAGGATTAACATCGGTTTACAAATGATAACACAAAAATATAATCGAATTGAAAACATAATCCTCCCTTTGAGAGTCGGTTAAGAAATAGAAATGATGCAATTAAAAAACAGTGCCAATAGCACATGTACCTAAACGTTATAAGTTTTTATGTATATTTTAACTTTAATATTATGACAGTGTTATTGTATCGCTTGTTGATGTTGCATGTGGATGGTGCGGGGAAAATGTGTAATTATAGTTACTCATAAAGTGTTACGGAGTGCGATCGGTGCTTTAGTATACTCATATATATTAAGGATAGCGTTGGATGCGGTAATATAGTTTTTGGCGTGTCTAATAAGAAAATATATCTAGTAGGTTCTGTACATCTATATTTGCATGTGAATGCATTAGTTTTAAATCACTCACGTAAGTAGCTCGTCATGACAGCACGACCATACACAATACATATAATAATAACCCAATAACACCGACTTATGATAATCGTGTTTCTTTACACTATATGAGGCTATTAAAGAATATTATGTTATAAACATGTATATACAGGGTGACTGGTGAATTACTATCAATATTTAAGGAGAATACTCGGTAGATAATTCTCATTCGAATTATGTGAAAAAAATAGGTACTTAATTTTTGATCAAATTTCCGTATAAATAAATAAAGTGTGGACACGTTCCAAGTGTTCCAAGTGTGGACACGTGCGGCGGCGTGCTGATACAACACCACGCCGCCGCACGCGTATGTGTGTGTGTGTCGACCTAATCTGTAGAGTGTTCACACGATGCGTAATTAATTACACAACTTTTGGTTAACTTTATTTAGAAGTTTATTAATATTTATGTTATATTAATATTTATTTTGTCATATATGATCGTCAAATATCACGTCCTCAAGTATCGATAGTAATTCACCAGTCACCCTGTATATATTAAATATTTTTTAATTTATAACGTAATCCTATACTAAATATACCAATTTTAATATATTACACCATGACTAAATTACATACCATCGACAGTTGATATTAAAATTAATTTAATAGATGTAATAAGTATATGCTAATCGGTATTAAACGTCCCGTCTGTTGTTTATGGGTCAGTTAATAATTTGTTACTCTTGATATTAGAATGTCACTAGTGTGAGGTTGACCTACCATGCCGCACTACGTGTTGAATGCAGCTCCTGACACGTGATCAGGCGACCCGTGTTAATTTAAAGGCCGTTTTTACTCCCATTGCTGTTAATCGAGCGTCACTGGATATATTATTATTATAACGCCGCTCAATCGATCCAAATACTTGCACCCCCCGCACATGACGTCACTGTTCTATAAGTCCCAATGACAGTGACGTCATACACTAATGACGAAATTCTACGTCATCGTTCCACGCATGCGCGGCGATACCGTCCTAAAATAGGAACGTTTCTAAAAATTGTTTGGAATAAAAATACACAAAACAAATTACTAAAGGTTTTCTATTTAATTGGATTAATAAAATTTGACATGGTAAATTATATATTTCAATCAAGAACAAGAAAATATTATTATTTTGATGAATTGTTTTTTGATTGGTTAAATAACTACATATTTCAAGTATGAAAAAAATTATAATCATCTGATGATTTGTTTATCCATCAATTAATTTATTAACATCAAAATTATTAGCTCGTCCAAGTAAATATCTAATTATGACATCTTTTGTTAATTTCCAAAACAACAAGCAAGAAAAATTTGTTCCTAACGTGTGAACTAGAGTAAGTTCATTACCGCCCGCCGCTAGATGTCGCTAACACTTTACCTACCAGATGACAATATGGCGTTTCATTCACGTCAACCTCGAAACAGACGCTATGTCAGTTTATATATATCTTTTTAATTTACATAGTTCCTCATTACTCTCATAAAGATTTTAGTAACTAATGATGAACAAATCGAAATTATATGCTTCAAATCAGGTATGTAAAGTGTTTACGTAATATAGCGTGGCTTTTCACCACCCTCTTTAAATTATCGATCAGTGAGCCGGTCGTCTCGTATTTGGTTTCGTTAGATTAATTTACTACAGTAAATCATGTTAAAACTTACATAGGAATTGTGCTTTTTCCTGTCTCATATCAATAGATATTTTTTATACATTATTTGTTGCAACGTAAAGGAAGCTGTATCGTCATAGTGGTGCATTAAATTGACGCATTGAACATCATCATGTTGCCTAGCAACGGGTTGGCCTTGAATTAATATTCTAAATTTAGGTTGAAGTTCATGCAGTCGATTCTTTACGATTACTGCACCGAGAGTGATTTCGTCAAAAAGTTGTATGAATGTTGTTAATTATGATCTCTTTTTTCTTTGCAGGTGCAGGCTACTGTTTCTTCTGGATTATGGTTTATATAAGGATTTTTAAATTTATGTTAAATCATGGATCCTATATTAGAAAACGAATCCGCGACCACAGAATCATCGAGCAAGCATGGAAAAAATAAACACAGAAACAAGAAGAAAAAGAGTAATCAGGAAATACAAAATGAAAATCAAACTGTTGTTGGAGAGAAGAAAAAATTCGTAGTCACCACTCTATCTGGTAGCAATGAGCAAAATATCTCCGAAGGTTACGCTCAAAGCAACGTTCATACAATACACTTTGGAACACGTGGCGCTGAATCACAAAGACCTCACGTTAGATCAATTTTCAAAGATAGACCCCCTGAAACATCTAGACCGTCAAGTGCAGAGCGCGATCAAATAAGTAAAGGTAAGGAATATGAGACCTTTCATGGCACTTCTTCTAGTCCAAGGAGCTCTATATTCGACATATTTCGAATTAGGAGAAAGAGTGATTCCAAAAAACACCAATCGCTTATACAAAATGTCAAGGGTGCTCTAGCCGTACCGCAAAAATCTGCGGAATCCCCCGTTGAATCAACTAGTTCCGAAACAAAAGATTCTCACAAAAAATATTATTATACTGTAACGGGGGTATCGTCTCGAAAGTCTAGCCCGATTACAAGGGTTATGGATATATTTAGAAGTAAGCCCCATCCACAAACAGAACCAAGTACGTCCGACACTACTAAAAAAAAGAGTTCGAAGTCCGCTCGCCGGTCGTCTATAGGAACGACTTCTCCTACTTATCACAAAAACTCTTACGCCTCATTGGATCCTGTACAAGCCAAACAGTTGTTTAGAGAAGTTCGAGGGTTACCAAAATATGATCCATATCTGTCCATTGTGCAAATATCTATAGGAGGTAGAGATAAAACCAGACTACTTTTGAACTTTTTTAAATACCACAAGTGCTACGAAATTTTACCCAAATCAGCGAAAGTTATAATATTCGATACCCAATTTCCAGTTAGAAAAACTTTTCCAACTCTAGTATCTCACGGAATACGTTCGGCTCCGCTGTGGGATGCTAATAAAAAATTATTAGTGGGCATGATAACTGTCACTGACTTTATTAGAATTCTTTTACATCTAGATAAAGAAAATTTATCAATGGAAGACTTAGAAAAGCATACTCTTCATAATTGGAAAAAGATTCTGAGGCCCACTAGGAAGCCTTTGTGTAGCGTGGGACCAGATGAATCATTGCACGAAGCGATCAATATGCTCAGTAAGAATAGAGTTCATCGTTTATTAATGATCGATCCTATTACTGGGGATGTGTTATATATATTGTCACACAAAAGAATTTTACGCTTCCTATTTGTTTATCTCAACGAGTTCCCCGAGCTTACGTTTTTCCACAAAACATTACTTGATCTGAATATTGGAACATTTGATGGAATAATATCCGTCACAGATGAAACCAGCGTTAAAGAAGCTTTTCAGCTTCTTCTAGATAATGATATATCTGCCTTGCCCATACTGGACGAAAACGGCGTACTATTAAACGTTTATCCAAAATATGAAGTATTGAATTTAGTGAGTGAGAAATTATACTTGAACTTGTCGTTAACAATAGGAGATGTGCGAAACAAAAAGAAAGACTGGGAAGAGAAGTTACAGAAATGTTCTTCCACCATAACACTTTACGAGGCCTTAGAAATAATTGTTAGAACTGAAAGCCATCGATTATTATTAGTGAATAAGGACGATAAGCTGGTGGGAGTCGTTTCGCTATCTGATATATTAGTCTACCTTAATAGGATAATACCCGCCGAGAAAAAGGTTTCTTCTCTCCAAGAAATATTTAGACCATTAGAAGTTAATAAGGTCCCTGAATCATTGAAAGAGAGTGAAAACGAAGTGATAACTATAAATGTACCTATCATTGCAACAGCGCAGAACGTACCTGAGGCGAACGAAGCCAATGATATATGTATTGGTGATAATACTAATGAAACTAATATAAATAGTGAAATTGAAATTAATGAAGAGTCTCCTGAAGCTGACGCCAAGGATTCAGAAACAGATGCGGACGTCCAACAATCTCAGGCGGAGGTAGCTTTAGATAATGAGGAGTCATAAACTTGCCCAAAGATTAACATGAAATCATCTAGTGTATTAGTCTCGCTTACTGCTTATAACTTACGATATTGTACATTATCGTAATGTTGTTGCATCAACTGCACGTGAATGCCTTATTTATTATTTAATCCATTAAATTATAATGCTGAAACTCAATAAAATATTTTAGTAGTTTTTGTTGTTTTATTAAAATATATTATTATTATTTTAAATATATTACGACAACATTATATGAGTATAATTTTTTAAGAGAGATAAACATAAATTAGTTGAGGGTAATTTTATTGCCTATTATTATATAGATACATCTGGTTGCATAGTTAAGTCATTAGCAGATAATGATTAGTATTATATTACTATCTTGTTTTCTTGTAAAATAATAAAACAATTTCGCTAATCCAATGTAATAAGAGTAATTAAATAAGAAGCAGATTTTTTTATTAGTTCATTATATTATGTTCTTAAGAGTAAGTTTCTTTGTTAGCATGATTTAATCTGAGAAATTGCCAGCGAATAATCTTGTTAGCATGGCAACACTGGTTTTAAAATTAATATTCATTTAAGTAATCTAGAAGAAAAATCTGCAGAGCGATTAAACCTATTCGTATCTTTTAATAAAATATTGAAACGTCACAATTATAAGAATCTTAATATTCTCCGAAGTTTAATCCTATAATATTTTTTTAAAAATTTCTGTGACAAAGGAAAGTTTTGAAAGAACTAGAAATACTACATAGCTTAGAACAGAATAAAAATATGTAATAAAAATTTAATATACTACTGGAAGTAAATCAAACATGGTCATATAATGAATAAACATCAAATATTTTAATATCAATAAATATTTTAGTTGGCGTTTCTATGCCTTGGTTCTCTGTGTGGGGCAATATTCGCCCGTATCGGAAATTACTTCGGACGACGAGGTACTTCAAAAACCTGTTAAATTTTTGCAAGGACAGTCGCGACGATTGGTGTGAGATCATTATATTTTTATTTTATTTTATTCACAAAAGAATGAAGTTTTAAAAATACGAAGAGCTCATAAAGAACAATGTATATTTGTTTCAATAGAGGGACTCTTCCTGAATGTACATTGTACAAGGCACCGATATGTCATATGATATCAGTAATGTTTGACAAAACTTTGTTAATATAATAAATTTAAGATATAAGATAGCGTCAGAAGAATTTTGAAGAGCAAGGCTGCGTTCAATCGTAGTGTATATTTTGTTTGAGAGTTTTTAAAAGTATTCATTTTAATACGAAAAATATATTTTTATTGTGTTTATTTTAGCTAACTAGTACCTACCTCGTTAATTGTAAACAAAGTTACAGCAATTTGTTTTCTTCTTTTATATATAAATCATTTGTTATAAATTGTGGATATTTCAAACTTAACACTTCTAAATTTAATTCAAAAGAAGTTATTATGTTTCTAAAGTTCAAACATATAGAGATATTTAAAGAGTTAAAGTAATATACTTTTACATAACTGTCTCCTTCAAAACGTATTAAGGTATACTCTCATCAATTCGCATGTAGTCAACACGCAATAATATCATTATTATCTTAATTATTGTCATTAATTATTAGGTTAAAACAAAACATTTCGTTTATTAAGCGTGAATAAAGTTTTATGAGTGCAACTGTGAGCTGAGAGCGACCGGTCGCGGGTGCAGGATCAAACCCGGAACAAACCACGTCTCAAGGTTGCACTGTATTTTACTTCAGAAGAGAATTAATTATCGTTTACTAAACCAGTATGTAGATAGCCACATATAATTCATTTCATCAAGTGTAAACAAAAACTGAGCGTTCTTTTACACTTGGTAGGGGTAAGGTTTACAGATAACAAATCTCATTATAAAGCTTTAATATTAATGGCAACATTTAAATTATAATTATTAAAATTTTAACGGACGTAATTTTGTTTCTTTTTTTAAATTTTCAATTATAATTTATTTTGGAGTGCGAAAATTAATAATCGATTTTTTACGAAACAGATTATCAAGTGTTGTTCTTTGTTGTTCACTGTCAAACAAAGTTATGACATAAAAAAGTACCTAGAATATTTTTGTGTCCTACTTCCATCTATTAACGTATTATTGATGGCACTTCTTACAAACTAAAGATTCTAGTCGAGATAAATTGCTGATACTATTGCGTAGACATAAAAAATGTCTCGAGACTATCGCGACAGTAATAGATTCCATTGAAATTAACATACGAATATGAACCAGTAGCGGCCCACTCGTGTGAAACCGGTAAGTCACTCGACACTGGCTAAATAAATATGGAAGCTTGTCTTACGATTGTGAGACTACAACCTACACATCAACTTTGTATCGTCAGTCAAGATTTGGCGGCCGTCTAATGCAGAAAAACAAAAAAAAAATACTTTATACGTATATGCTGTATAAAAAAACTTTATCAGAATGTCTAGACGTTATATCGAAATGATAGATTGATATATTATTTTATTTTAACGATTCCTTCACAAGTTTTTTTTATTCCACCAATCAAGAATAACACGACGATAGTACTTAGATACTTTTAGTTTTCACTTATACAATACAATAATAAAGGGTTTGTTTCAAACTCGAATAAAAAGTATTGCAAGAATTTTGACTCCAAATAATTTATTAAAGCAAATATACCTAAATATGTACTGACATTTAATAATATGACGCAGCAAAAATCTTATTAGTTATGCATTAAATACAAAAATATATATAAATTTCGATTTCATTAAAACAAGACTATGAAAATCTATTATTTATTTGTTTCTTTTCCTGTCCAAGTTTATATAGGACGAGAAACAAAGTTGTTTCATCAAAATTCAAGGTCAAACGAAAGTAGTTTTTTAAATATAGCACGATATATCCATGTGCTGCAACAAAATTTTATCACAACATAAAGTGCTCATTCGAAAGAGAAGACATTAATTTATTATATTGATTTTTTTTTAACTAATGTTTGGAATTCCCGCCTAAATGGTAAAAAAATCTTAGGTAGTAGTCTATGCATTAATTATCTTGTCTATTTGTTAGTGAATAATTGTATATTTAAGTACACATATGTATATCGCTTGAGTAAGCGACATTTACAATAATTTAAAAGTTACTCGATGCTAAGTAAGACTTCGAGAGACGCTTGACTGAAATTATATATAAAAATGTACCTAAAATTTCTAGGTTTTACCTAATCTCTCAGGCACCTATTGGCTTTATTGTTGGTTGTAAAACAAAAAACTGTTCGAAGAAAGCAAGACTAAGTAACTATTAACAGTCATTCAACTTTGTACTGTTAAGTAATGACGTTATCAAAATCATTTATAAATATGTTACTTATATTTTTATGATTTACAAGGTCTATTAGAACTAATTTAAATAAGATAATATTTCAAATAATTGGGGATATCCGTGAGATTTTAATGTAAATAATTAAAAATAATTCTATGAAATCAATATTTCTTTCTAAGTGTGCGAATTGAATATTAGTTTGTTATAAAAAAATCAGAACATTTCATGGCTACATGTGTCATGTAAAATGTTTAGACTAAATAATAAATAAAGATATAGATAGAATAATATTCTATTGTAGTTTCCATGTTAGTTAAATTACGTTGCGATTTTTTATAGAAGTTTTAAAATATTATTTATGATGATGTCAATGAATTCATCACAATATGTAGAATTATGTGCTAAGTAATACATTTTAATCCATTTAAGTAACTTTTCTATCTTGTCACAAATTAACTTTTCTCAAAATACCTATAATCGGTCGTGATTTCGCGCCTTCTATATTTGTTTTCAAAACAGTAACAAGACTGCAAATACAGAAAACGTATTATAATAAATAAGTTTAGTGTTTAAGTTCGCGTAACTATTGTTTGGTAGGTCGTTAACACGCTCAAAGTAAATAGTTGAAAGTAAGGTACGTTATGGTTACTGGCATCGTTAAAAATGTTTCACAATATGTTGGACGAGAGCCACAAGATTTTACAAGTCATTGAAGACACAATTTGTAAATGTTACCAAAGAGAACGGATTGATTACTTTTTAAGTTATATGATTATGTTTCTAGCAACTAAAATGCCTTAAGGCTCGGTCACTTGTGTTCACGGGTTTATTAATGACGGCTGTTTAATTTTTAGACATCATATTTATTTTGCATAAAAAATATTAAGGTGCTATATTAATAGACATAGTTTCGTAACAGATAGACGGCTTTGCATTTGAGTGTTAAACAAAACGGGTTATGTTAAGCAATGAGTTTTGTTATAAGATGTGTATTTTCAATTAGTGTACTAAAAATACGTTAAGTATTACGTGTATGAAGAAAATGTGACTCGGCTAACAAGGGTTATGATACATGGCTATAACAAGTTGCGTTGTAAAAACAACTTAATAGCGTTAAACTAGTGTAGTCGTAAGGCAGGTGCGCTTTCAGGTGAGACAGGCAGGCGCTAGCTAAGTAACGGGTGACTATGCTAGCGTGCTAACGTGTTTTCAGTACTAACTATGAAGCATTTATAATTTGATATGCATTAATATACAACAAGCCGTCATTAATACAAAAAACTAATTTTATAAAATAACGTTATATAAATAAAAATATTATATTAATAGTTCTGAGAATAACGTTTTATGAAATGTAATAACGTGATGGTACACTACGAATTAGTAGAACTATTTTTTAAAGAAGCTTCATGAGAAAATGAATTTGTCAATCTTAAAAACTATTAGATATATTTTTTTATAATTAAAGAAGGTTTTTTTTAACTTTCAAAATATGTTTATGCAGTAATATCACTGTCTGCAGCTATATATCAAAAACTGAAGGTGTATACTTTCTGCAAATTTTGTTGTCTAGTTACGTGAGCGACTGTAAGTATTTTGTAATCGCAAGTAAGTTGATGTCATAGAGATTGGGAGCCAGTCGATGACCCCTGACACAGTGGTTATATGCATTTATGGCTAGACAGTGAACGACGCGTT